ATGGCCAAGCAATTGCCATAAAGCTCGCAAAGCAGATCGACAAAGTCGTCAAGTCCATTCACAAAACTTTGTCCGAAATAAATGGGTATCTTCCCAATGATGTACCCCAAATTCTTTATGACGATGCTAAGGATCCTAAGAGCAGCATTTACTCTGAAGTCCAAGAGGAAGGGGACACCGTTCCTGCTCTTGTTAGGAGGCAGATAATTGACCTTTTCTGCTTACACAACAGGTGTCAGGAAGAGCTTGAACTGTTGAAGGAGGAAATGAATCGCCTTGTCTCTTTTCTCCAAAACGAAATCAGGCTTATAGACGAATCAGTGGATGCGTATCTGCCTTACACTGATAACCCTCTTAATGCAGGAGTGATAGCCTGTCTTAAAAAGAAACGGATGATTCATTGTAATCACATTTCCTCGCTGCTGCTTTTATGGGGTGGTATCTTGGATTTCCCTAAACCTATTGGTCATGCTGAGGTAGCAAAAACCTATGCTAATTTGAGTGGTATCGACTATCCTCTAGATGACGAGAAATCAGACGAATCGATGATGGAGGAAGTTGTGGACGATGAGGCCTTTGTGTTGGAACTGACATCAGACAGCGAATTATCTGATAATGAATAAAACTCATTTTGTCTCTGGCGCTTGCCAAAACCATACAGAAACAGCCTCTGTTTTGTTTATGTGCGCGCGCCAATAGCGGGTAAACTTCTCGGAAAACCCAACAAATATCAATACATTGTGTAGGATTATACTGACTGGCCAATCATCACAATATGTTTTAATAAATTCTCACCGATGGCAAATTTCATCTCGGTGGTGATTTGTAGCAGTTTTTACGTTATTAGGATTATACGTAGCATGTGTAGACGGCGTATTTTATATGCTGATCGGTGCCGAAGTTCCCTCAACGGACACTCGTAAGTGGACAGCTGTACTAACCCACCTAGTCAAAACTCCGTTTTATTAGACTCCCATACAAACTCTGTATTCTGATATTATTGAAAATCATGTTTGTATGGATTGGAGTTCACTGGAGGTACAATTGTAAGCGTGGAACAGATGTCGGACCATGAGTCACCGTTATCAATTTTGAGAGGTCCACCATTGTCGAACAAAAACATTGGTCATCTTTGTCCATCTGTACCAAAAGGAATGATAGTTAAATAGATATTAGCAAGTATGGGGTGGGTGCCTCGAATATAAACTCCGTATTACAATTATCGCATATATAAGGCACTTTATAACTTAGGTTTGAATACTCTAGTTGATAAGCCAAATACTGAATTTGGTCGTTGTTCTTCTGTACATTGTCAATTCGGACCATTCTTACTGAACTGAGGTGACGCTTTTTGAGCGTTGCATGCTTAACCATCACCCGTCCAACAAAAATGGCCATGCAGATATACCCATGTACCACATTTCATTCTTAGATGGCAATGGATCTCATTGTGTAACCTTACTATACAGTGCCTCTTATGAACGCAGTCACATTAACTGAGCATATATATATACATGCTCCTAACAAATCTGTCTTGAAAGTGTTTAGGCAATACATATCTTGGTGGCATCCATGAAATAGTGAATATGAGCCACATAATTTCAAATTTCTGTTTTGTATGATATCAAGTAAAATATATCAGTATACGTCCTTCGTGAGGCCATAACGAAATTGACACACCCGTAACGGAATTAGCACGTGCCGGAATTACTGAGAAAAAGTTATAAGTTGTAATTATTTCAGGCGATTTAACGGATTGTGTTGTTGAAATGGTAAACAGGCAGTCAGTGCTACTCTGCAAAAGTGTCCTGCATATTGCGCAGTGGTTTAACGCATTCAATTGCTAACTCTAGATCTTCGCTTTATTCGTTAAGTTGTGTTGTACTGTCACTGTACATCAAGTAGCAAATGAACCACAAGTCACACGCGACGTCGATCGTCGTCCAACCTCGATGATACTAAAATATTTCTTAAAATATCATTATCCTGACGAAATTAATTTTAAGTAATAGTTTTATCGACTAGTTTCTTCCTAAAATTGTTCTAAAGGTCTTTTTTTTTGTCCTTTTCTAGACAGTCCAGTAGTCAGGTTTAGCACATGATTTCGTTATAGCATTAAACTACCGTATTCCTCATCAGTGTTTACAATTGTGTATACGGACGGATATTTTTAAAGATTATTTTTGAAGGTGAATTCATGTTTCTGCCAAAAGATATCATAACAGCCAAAAGATATCATAACAGCTATTTACTGTGGGTTGGCTAACCATGTGAAGTTTTTCTAAATTCTTTTAACGAAATTAGCACAATGAGTGCTGATGTCCTTGCGCCATAATAATATGAAACTTCTCCATTACATCGAGGAGAAGCCATGTTTTTCCGTCGATCAAAGTACCAAACGTAGAAACATTTTGTCTAAGTAGGGTCGGGGGGGGAGTTAAGGTGTGAGACGTGGGAGGCAGGAGAAGGGGGAGGCGAGGAAAAAGAGACGGGATGGTGACGCACTGAGACACTGAGACACTGCGATTCATTTTTTTTTAATCCATTGCAACTGGAAAAAAAAAAAACGCAAAACGTGTTGTGCGTGGCATATCTGTAAACTACATTTCCGAACTGAAAGATTCGGATCGAAGGCTGAGGAATGCTAGAGCAGTTTACCTCTAACATCAATGGACTGGGAACCAGACCCCCAGACAAGCCACAGGGAGCGAGGTCACGAACTTACGCTGCTCTTTGCGCCCTTTGAAATGTATTTCCATTTTGAAAACGGATACGACCCAAGCGATCTTGTTGTTCAAATTCGCCAAGAAAAGAAAGTGGCAAAGGATATTGGATTAACGCAAAGAAGCCACTTTCTCGGTTTAATGGAAAACCTTGTTTGTCATTTCCATGAGATCCGAAACGTGGAGTCGACAACCTCAATTCGTACAGGAATGTCAATGGAATTGATAAAGATGAAGATGTCCAACGAGGCCGAAAGCATTTTAAGTCATTTGAATGATCATAACCCGCCAAAGCCACCACAGCGGAAGAAACGACTGAGGAAAAAACTTTATAAATATCCCTGCAGTGTGAGTATGCAGCTTTCAATGTTATGCACTAGACGAGGTCAGGAGGAGGGGCTAAGCAAGGTTTGGGGATTTTGATATTTTCTGTCCAAATAATTTTCAAATATGCCACCCCAGTCTGGACACAGAAATTGGTAAAAATATCAAAATCCCTACACTGGGGCAAGTGAGTGTGGTCATTTATAACGAAGTGCCAAAATTCCCCATGCACCCCGGGGACATTACAAAAAATCAAAATACCTACCTTGGGGACTGCCCTCATAGTCAAATTTCCATGGCTAGCCAGACAACCCTCTTCTTCTTGGGCTTTATGTTGAAAGGTGCATTGAGAAAATGCCAATTAACTGAGAGAGGATGAGCTAAGCTTGCCATTGTATGAAGCATGAAATAGAAACTTTTAGGTCAACTCCACTATCTGGTTCATAAAGTAATAGGCTCCCAGGACCTCTTGTTGCAGCATTTAGATCACCCCTGATGAAGGCACTAGACAGGAGTGTAGAAACGTTGGGTCTATGAATCGTAACTTCTTCGGTTAAATTCATTAAATCTGCAAACCAGAGTAGCGTCAAACTATGTCCGTCTAGAAACCTGTTAAGCATTATTCCTATATTCCAACCCAGCCTATTTTAATTTTCTTTTGACTAATTTTCACCTGCTCTTTCAGCCTAAGACGGTTTTTTAGAATTGTATCCCATAATATCTCACCACCCTTATCCAACCACCATCCAGTACAGTTGGCACAGTTGGTGGAGTATAGACTAGACTACAGTGCATGTGGGAAATTTCATGTTGGAAACCCAGGCTAAAAAACTCACCAGGGTATTAAAATAACTGAAAAAAATGTTCTAATTCTGCATATACTGGTTAGATGTTCTATTCTTTTCTGATAAGGGTGGGTCAAATGACTCTGAAAACTCTGGGAAACAATCTGCAGCATTGCTGGAATATTTATGAGCACAGCTGTGTATGGGCATCTGGAATGTTATTTGCACAAAACAATGTTACATATGAATAGATCATTCTTTGTAGAGAGATATTTGCAGGTCATATGCTAATGCTTGGCCTATCTAAATGATGATCTCAACTAGCTGTCATTTTGCAATAACAAGCTAAGCAGTCATGATGATCTAAAATGAAATATTCACATATCTATTTTTCTATAATTTTATTTCCAGATTTGCCAGAAAGAATACAATAATCTTTCCAACCATTTGAAACATGCACATAAGCTGAGTAAGAGTGAAGTTGAGGAGCTAAAGAGTGAAAAGAATCAGGGAAAGGCCAAAGGAAATCAGGAAAATAGGTATTTTATTACATTTCTTATTGTTCAGTTCTGTTTTTCAGAGGATTGTGTTCATTGTAGTTACATAGATGAGTGTTTTCTCTACTGTACACAGCATTCTTGACTTTTTTCAATTCATGCTCATTTTGACACATTGCATTTTTCCTATATTTTCAGCAAAACCAAGAGGCCCATTAGATGTTGTCCACTGCAGGGATGTACCTGGGTTGGACGACGCTTTGATTACCACCTACCAAAAGTACACAATATTGGCAAAGATTCTGAAAAGTACTTATCATTAGTACACAAAAATGGCAAAATGTAATGTTTCTGGTTTTCTTTGTACAATCAAGCTTCTACAAGTGGTCTTTGTTAGAAAGTATGACATGCATGTAGCCTATTGTAATAGGTAATAAAAGTACTTTATACTGGATTTTGTATTCATTTGTAGACACACCACTTGGACCACTGAAAATGATCAACAAATTAGCAAACAAACTTCTAGGCTAACCATTATCTATAGTTTAATAATAGTAACAATTTAAGAACTACAATTTAGGATTCTCTGTATGTCAGCTGGCTATAAAATTGGCTTTCCAACAGGTACTTAGAAAAGGTATATTAAATTGAAAAGTACATATTGTTAAATTTTAAATAATAGTGCTACTTCTTAAGGCAGCAAATATTGCATTGTTAAATACTTCAGGTATATTAAAATACTGGTCATCTGAAATTTCCATCCCCTGCAAAAAATATAATGGTCCATAGGGTCCATTTTTGATCAAGTTGGCAATAGTAACATAATCCTGATGATTGTTCAGTAATTTGTAGTTGGATTGGCCTTGTAAGTCAAGCCAATACCCTTTTATCTTGTAAGTAAATGAAGCTTTGACTAGTTTTGATGGATTCTGGATAGTGTAGAAAAGCCAGAATTTCTCATCTTCTGACTCAGTAAACACTGGGACAATCAGCCCTTGTGCTTCTGTGGAGTGTTGAATATTAGCACCAACAGCAAGCCATGCATCATCTTCAAAATAAAAACTATATTCATTTAATCTTAGTCTCTCTTCCTGGTCAAGTCTCAACTCCACAACCTCCACATCTTGTTCTGTAATCTTGTCAGACAGTCTAACTACCCTTTCTGCACATTGTCTGTCCACTATCCTGGACAGAAGAGTGACTACTGTTTCAGGCTGAGTTGGAGAGGGAATGAAATCCCTGTTGCTTTGCAAGTTTACATTTGCATTACTGGTAATCACGAATTTAATTTCGCTTTTTTTCTCCATTATGGCCTGGAGTTGTTTAGTGCCATAATGGAAGGGTTTCTTAAAGAAAATGCCATCTGGGAGATTTTCTACTGTAAAACCCCCACGTAGATACGGCACCCTGCTGCCTGGTTTCTTTATTGCTTCACCTATTGTGCAAGAGAAAGAGAAATATTGATTGATAATGATAATAGCACTGAGTGGAGTACAATTCAGGAAGTAAGTGGGCAAGTAATGAGCCTGATTACCCCTGAAATGTATGACAGTAAGTCTTATTGACCATTTCCACATGTCCCATATGACACTTTCTTTGCCAAAATGTGAGACACAAGGTAAGAATAAGTAATTCAATTTCATTAGCTAGTGGCATTTTCTACTGGATTTTTATTGGCTGCATAATTGTCAGATTTGACCTGTCCAGTTAAAAGCAGCTGTAATCACACAGGCCAAATTGGACAGTTTTCTTATTACAGTATTCAGATTAAAGGATCAAATATTCGCTGTTCAGAACCAATCAGGTTTGAGGATTTTGTTATAGACATCATCAGCTTTGTTGTTATTATCATAGCTAATAATAATAATGATGATGATGATGATGATGATGACGATGATGATGACAACAATTACATGTTAACATCTGTACTATGGTGAATAATATGTATATTCTTAAACGTACTGTATTTGGAATTGAATAGCTGTTGTACATCTTTGTATGTGTACCTCTCATTGGTGCAAGCTAAATAAATAAATACAGAGGTACTATGTAGTTTCAGGTCTATTTTGATGATGTATTCACCTTATTTACAATCATGAATAATCTCGTCAATTGGATGACACACTTTATAGTATAAGCTATATAAACATCTGCTAATACAGTTGCATGCCAACAAATCAATAGAACACTTTCAATGTTTATAATATTACTAATTCAAAGTAATAATATATACCAAAGTGGTCTCGGAATTTGATGTTGATGTCAGGATTCAGGCATAAGAAAGAGAAACCTGCACTTGATCCAAAGTTGTACACTTGGCCTGAAGTGTCTTGAAAAATCAGAGAAGATTCACAGCCCAAGTCTTCTAGAAACATGATCTGAAGCAGATGAAAAAGTAAAATGTGACGCGAGGATTACTCAAAAGGACACAAACATCTGCATGTTGCATTAATTCCCACAAAGTACGATAATTAGAAATTACTCATCCACTTTTAATAAATTTTTAATTTATTCTGAATTTGCATGGTTTATGCTACCTAATTGGAATTGAGCTTGGCTGGAGATTATTTCATAAAGTGATTGAAACCTTTACCTCATTTAAAAGATTTTTTCTGTGAACTGATATCAACTTAGATTTTTGAGCCTCACTAAGCTCTGAAACATCAGGGACCTTTAAACTTTCTGCTTTTCCTTTGAATGCATCTTTTTCTGCAGATGTCATGTCACGCCATTTCTTGGCTGCTTCTTCGTTCTTTTGAGCCAAGGACAATTTCTTGCACTCATCTGGCAAAAAAAAATTAAAGCTTTCATTTCCACTGAATATCAATTCAATTGGTTTGATTATTACAATGTCACTGCATGATTTTCAGTTTCCTCGGCAATCAAAGATATTGCATCAACTAAAAATGAAAATAAATTAATCAGCAACTCTATTATGTGTCAAAGGTTAAAAGTAGCTGAGGATGAAAACCCTTTTGGGTTGCAATATAGAGCTCTGTCAGACCCCCACCCCTGCAAGTACCCCCCCCTGGGGTTTAGACACAGTTTAACAAGACCACTGTCCATTATTGATTTAAATCTGGTATCCTGGCACCAAAATAAAATAAATGTCCAGCAGGCACAGTTAGCAGAGAAAACCACAACATTCATTTCTTAGAAATAATAGACTAGTAGAGGTTTATTAATGATACCCATAGGCGTATGGGCACCTTTGGACTTTGAAAATTTTTTAAACTGGGGGATTTGCACACCCATGTCCCAGGACTGTACACCTCTAATGTTACTCTATATTTTAGCCATGGTCTATAATAGTTATAATGCATGTAAATAATCTGTCCTTAGTGTTTGAAAACATTATCAGGGTTCTCACCTGACTTGAAATACTCTGAACAGAACATGTTGTAGGAGTGTGAGCCACGTGAACCAGTTGGGATCTTAATTGGCTTTGGAGCTGCTTGTACTCCAGAATTTATCTTTTCCTTTTGTCTGGCATTTCCAATCCATTTCTACATAAATGTACCACATTAAAATAAAGTATTTCAAAATGCCTTAAGCTACAATAGAAACCCTTCCCTTTTTGCTCTCTTTCACTGGCTGGCCCTATAGAGGCCCAGCCAGGGTAAATTCCTACAGGGGACATGGTCCAAAAAGTAGCTGTGGCATATATATGAAAGTATGAAAAAATTAAGATCTTGTTCACCAAAATTCTGACAGCAACAACAAGGTGGAGAAATAAAGACAAAATAATAATAACCGTAGGTTTTTAAATTCAGGCAAGCAATGCAATACAGGGAACCCCCTGGCAGGGCCTGACCCTATAATACCCATGCAAGCTGCTCACAGAAACTCTGAGCTTGTATACAGAGCAAATTTTCAATCCAGTACAGAATGATTGGCTGGCAACAAATCAATAAAGGTAGATCTTCTTGGTATGTACATGTATGTCGAATGGATGATGTCATTATAACATTTAACAGCTCTAGATTGAGGATACCTAAACTTCGAACCAGGATTCGATCGTTAGCTATGGGTTACCTATTATTAACACTTTGGTTAGCCTACTTTTCAGCTCCAATTAGCCAAACTTGTACTCTGGTTAGCCTCAGAGCACTCAGGTTGGCCTAACTAGCTCTTCTGTTGGCCTACAGAGCACTCGGGTTAGCCCACTTTTAACTAAGGTTGCTTGCGGTTAGCTCTCAATATTTGTAATGGTAACACAATATATATTCTTAAATTTATAATAACGTATGAGTAAACACATATCTTCTTTTACCGGCATATTCTTGATCATTGATTATACTGCACACTGCAAGCGTATTTTCGAGCATAAAACAGCATAAAGCAATTATTTTCAAAAAAAAAAGTAAGCCTACTTTAATTAACGAGGGAAATAATTACCACAAGGCCTCATTATAAATAGTACAATCGTACAGTTAACTTCCTTGACCTCGGTATATGACGGATGAAATTCTGTTTAAGAATCAATCCTTTAAAAAGATTCGTTTATGCAGCACACAGAGTAAGGGAATTAATTCTATAGGACAATATACCGCTACATCATTTACATATGTCGGTGTGCTTTGAAGAAAGAAGCACTCACCATAATGATCGCTATTATTATTCAACGAGATGCAAATAAGTGGCGGGGTATTCCACATACATGAAACATGGTAGTGTTTCAGTCCAACTAAAAAATATCTTACCTTTACTTGATCAATAGTCAGCCCAGTTTCCTCGGCTGCCACTCCAATTTTTTCCGTATTATCAGAACCGCATGTTTTCATGCCGCCGTCATAATATTCTTGTAGTTTTGACCTTTGTACATCGCTTATTTTATTATATGTTCTTTTGCGAGCTCTACTTGTATCCTTGTCGGTCATAGTAACGAAGAAGCGCCAAAAGTGCACGACAAAGCCGATAATACCTGAACTTCCAAACCAAGAAAAGCTAGCGAGTTCGTAACTATTCCAATCGGTAAAGGTTTCCCCCCTACGAATCCGAAGTGAAGGGAGTTGATTGGTCGAAATGTTTATGCATATTTAATGAGCTACTGGGAAGACTTAGATGATCATTTAGGACGGCTTGAACCCAATGATCTAAATTTAGATTATATGGGTGTTAGCCATTTAGATTGTGTAAGTAGGGTGTACAGGGCGCCCTGAAAAAATGCGATTTTTTTTTTGTGTCCAGCTCCAGATCAGGGCCAGTTGTTCTAAGGCTCATTAACGCTAACCCAAGATTAAATTTTAATCCAGGTTTCTTTATTCCTATGTTTAATTGTCTCTCTGGGATTTTTTTCCGTTTTTTATGGAGCATCCAATTATCAATTTGTTGACAACAAGAATTACACTGAATTTTCTTTTAAAACTTTCAGATCTGAAATCAGATTTCATATTAACCCTGGATTATCTGAACCCACCTTAAAACAACCTGGGCTACAGGGTGTAATATTACAGAACCCCAGGGTGTTAGTACCCAAAATGAAGGTCTCCAGATTATCCAGGTATTTATTGCTTCATACTGTCAAATTGTTCACCCACATTTCCCACTAATTCGCTTATTTCACAAACCTTATATCAGATTTTCTCAAAAGCCTTAGCCACCATTCGAGCTTCACCAAAACTTTCCAGACATCAAAATGTAGTCACATTTATATTTTTTCCTGATTATATTCATCGTAACTTCTTAACTTTAAGAAAAGAGCGTTGCTCTTTACAAGTATTTCACACAGTTCAATTTTGAAATATGGCAACTCTCCTTGCATGTGACTTTCAGTTAGAAGTCGATCATCAGGGTTAAATCATTTGTTTGATCATTAACATTAACATTTTAAGAGCTGTGATTCAGCTAGGCCGGCATAAAAAAGGTCAAACTGATTTTGTTGAAAAATTTAAATTAATTTTTACAGCAAACTCCTCCGTGAACGGGATTAAAACAAGCCTACCTACTGAAACTACTCTGTCAAGTTGTTCTCTGAAAACTGTTTACTCCAAGTAACTGATAAATAAAAACCCTAAGTTTTTGATTCATTGTTTATTTCTCCAGTCAAAATCGGCGCACATTTGGTGAAGACATCTTGCAGTCCCTTAAATTGTTCCTTTGAAGCCAATTTCAATTCTGATTTCTAAATGCATGTACAGCTCTAGTGTGAAGTGTCTGCTTCATGCCAACAAATTCAGTTACTTCAAATTTTTAAAACTGACACTCTTCATCTTCAAGAAACCTGTAAGGATCTGCGATTGCTATTGAAGTGGTTGAATTACGACTATTACAATGAGGGGAATCACTTCTACCAGCATCAGACGATACCTGTTCCGACTTAGTAGGACAACCTTTGGCCGTATATCGCTGTGCTTGTGGAGGAAGATATGCTGAGTTATTTCCAACAGCCTGAGCAGAACACGCGGACGCAGATGCCACTGCTTTAGGAGGGAGATATGTTGGGTTGTTCCCAACTGCGTCAATCACTTGAGCTCCTGTATTTTGGCGCCCAGTGTTTTCCGTTATATTCTGACCTCTAGGTACGCGCTGGGAAGTATCGGCTTCACTTGCATTTGATGAGTGCTCATGGTCTCTGGAGTCTGGTGGCTGATCGCTAACTGCTTGATGAATGGGAGGGTATGGTGGATTGTTTGCACCTGCGCCTGGAGAGTTTCTCAAATGACCCGCGTGTAGTTCACTTCGATCGTCAACTGCGTGATGAATGGAAGGGTATGTTGGATTCTTTTCTCCTCCATCTGAGGACTGTTCCGTCCGCGGGGGTCGTTGATCTACGTCTTCTGTTGTGGGTTGATCTCTGACTGCTCGGTGAATTGGAGGATATTGTGGATTGTTTCCCCCTGCCCTTAATGATTGTTCTTGCTGATCGTGTGTTGTGTGTTGATCACTGATTGCCTGGTGCATGAAAGGGTAAGACGGATTCCTCTCTGCTCCATCTGAGGGGGGTTCTTCCTTGAAGAGTCGTTGTCCTATGTCCTCTGGAGTAAATTGATCTCTGACTGCTTGATGAACTGGAGGATACTGTGGATTGTTCGTACCTGTACTTGAAGACTCTTGCTGACTAGTGTCTGGTAGGCGTTGATCACCAACTGCCTGGTGAAGAGAAGGATAGGATGGATTCTTTTCTTCTCTACCTGAGGGGGGTTCCTCCTCGAAGAGTAATTGTCCTATGTTCTCTAGAGTGGGTTGATCTCTGACTGCTTGATGAACTGGAGGATACTGTAAATTGTTCTTATCTGTACCCGAGGAGTCTTCTTGCTGACCAGTGTCGGGTGTGCGTTGATCACAAACTGCTTGGTGAATGGAAGGATAGGATGGATTATTTTCTCCTCCACCAGAGGGGGGATCCTCCTTAAAGAGTCGTTGTCCTATTTTCTCTGGTGTATGTTGATCTCTGACTGCCTGATGAATTGGAGGATACTTTGGATTGTTCGTACTTGTGGCTGACGAGTCCTCTTGCTGACCAGTGTCTGGTGTTTGTTGATCACTAACTGCTTGGTGAATGGAAGGATAGGATGGATTATTTTCTCCTCCACCAGAGGGGGGATCCCTCTTGAAGAGTCGTTGTCCTATGTCCTCTGGTGTATGTTGATCTCTGACTGCCTGATGAATTGGAGGATACTTTGGATTGTTCGTACCTGTGGCTGACGAGTCTTCTTGTTGACCAGTGTCCGGTGTTCGTTGATCACTAACTGCTTGGTGAATAGAAGGATAGGATGGATTATTTTCTCCTCCACCTGAGGGGGGATACTCCCTGAAGATTAATTGTCCTGTGTCTTCTGGTGCAGGTTGATCTCTGACCGCCTGATGAATTGGAGGATAGTGTGGATTGTTCGTACCTATATTTGAGGAGTCTTCTTGCTGATCGGTTTTTGGTGTGCATTGGTCACTAACTGCCTGGTGAATAGAAGGATAGGATGGATTCTTTTCTTCTCCACTTGAGGAGGAATTCTCCTTCAAGAGTCGTTGTCCCGTGTCCTTTGGTGTAATTTGATCTCTAACCGCTCGGTGAATTGGAGGATAAGGTGGATTCTTCACACTTGTACCTGATGAGAGCTCCTTAGCACCAGTATCCGATGTGTTTTGATGGCTAACTGCCTGATGAATAGAAGGGTATGGTGGGTTCTTTTCTCCTCTATCTGGGGATGGTCCCACCTTAAGGGATTGCTGCCCTTTGTCCTCTGGAGGATTGCCTCCTTCCGCACCTAAGACGTGTTCTTGTTGAAGTCGTGTATCATTGTAATTTAGCGCGGTTGGGTCTTTCACTGCCTGGTAAATAGGTGGATCCGAATTTTCTTCAGGTTGACAATACGAAGGACTTCCATCACCGACTGACTGATCTATTTTTGAGGATGGTGTTTTGCTTCCACCATGTCCAAACGTGTACGGCATTATTCCATCTACCCTTATCTTTTCAGTAGCACAGTCCTGGCCATTTACTGTAGAAACCACTAGCAGCTGCATTAAGTTATCACCTGATGTACCGGCTTCCTTCCGTAGCTGATGAAGGTATTGTTGGGTAAATGCCAAGTGATATTCGATTTCCTCAATGATTGACGGCTGTAAGAACACAGTGTTACCACTTGGCTTAGCAAACTTCAGCGTCAATGTCCCTGGTGTGGTGTGCCCAACCTAGGATTAAAAAAAAAAAAGCCAAAAAAAAAATTAAACAAGTTAAGCTCGCCACTTGATGAACATAAAGTGACCTGAATTCCCGTCCAGCACTGTACATGGTGCACAAGACAATTTATGTTACTGATCTGTCAATCAAACTATATAATGGAATTTTGATTAGTTTAGCACCCCTCTTCCCCACCCCCCGCAATTATGAAAAAAAACGTGTATGCATACCAAAAAAAAATTTCTGTTGTAAGTAATACAATAGCGATCAGGGTGGACTGGCTGTAAATTTCTGTTGATTTCTGGCTCATTTACATTACAAAAAGTTCCTTTTTAATTGAGAAACTATTAATTCAGCCTGCTCATTTTCTGTAAGTTAATTTTAGCATACCCACTTCAATTTAAATCAACAATGCCATATCTTCTGATCAATATTCTGATAATTCACCTGAAAAAACATTTCTCCAACCTCCAGATGGTTTATTGGCCCAGATAGATGGAGGATAACTCTGCCATCCTTGACTAGAGGAAAACCCTAAAAAAGAGAGAGTATTAATTAAACTGAACTTGTATGACACCTGCCATAGAGTTATTCTGATATTTCTCTTGCCACACCCCTCCCCATGTTATTTTGCCTGGTATGTTGCATGTAAAGAAAGAATCTTTTAGATTATATGATGATATGCCATGGTTTTCAAATAAACTCTTAAAGCAGGCAAAAAGGGTAGAGAGGTCTTTTCCCGCCTAGTGCATTTGCCAATGTCCACCTTTTCGTATGAAACTGCACATCTCAGTTGAGGGAAAGTGAACCCACAGAAACTTGATTCTACAACTCAAACTGATGAGTTCCCTTACCTAACCAGTCCACAAAAGGCGAAATTAATACTAAATAAATCAAGTTGTTTAAGTCTAAGGAAGTGACTTCTTTATACCATTCACCCCAACATATGATATAAAGTGTCACTTCTTCTTGCAGTGAAAATATGTTATCTTACAAATAGTTGATGAGAACATACAAGCTTATCAGTTAGAGGGTATTTTTTGATAAAGAAGCAGATTCTCCTGTCTTATTTGAAAGGCTAATTTATGACTCTCTTGAGAGAATCACTCATCAGATTTTAGAAGCAACAGGGTAAAGCATTTGTGGCAGCTATCATGATTCACAAAATCAGTTCAATGCATACAATCTGGAAGATTATATAATATTCACCTCAGCTTTGAGTTTCTCCAGAAGTAATGTAGTTGGTCTAAGAAATTTTTCTGTAAAGCTCCTATGTGACCCATTAAACTTCTGATTTAATATCTCCCTCAAGCTTTGTTGAACCCTATTGCTACAAGGGTAACTGTTTCCATAGTGAACTGCAAGGGCACGTTGTGCAGTTATAAGAGTGTCCTGGAAATTAAGAATAATCATGCTTACTGGTAATTAAACACTTAAAATCTTATTCCCCCATTCAACAAGCAACACAGATCAGCTGTAAAATGAGGTATAATGTACCAAATCCTTACAATGAATTTTCACATGAATATACATCTCCAAAAGTAAAGGGAAGTCATATCAGACAAAAAAATTGCTGAAATAAATTAATAATCATTAAGAAATGAGAAAAAACTGAATCAAATGAACAAAACTAAAGAATAATGAAAAGGGAGAGAAAAGGAATAAAAAATAGATCTATTCGTTGACTGATGGCTGAATGCACCAGATGAGTAAATGACTGAGTGGTTGATTAGTTTATTTATTGATTAAAAGAAACAGATTGGCAACCAGGATAATTAAAGTTCATAAGGCAACCAGGTGTACAATCAGACATGGTTTGATGCTACTCTGGTTTAGAGATTTAATGAATGTAACTGGGAAGTTACAATTCACAGACCCAATGTTTTGACACTCCTGTCTAGTGCCTACATTAAGGGTGATCTAAATGCTGCAAAAAGAGGTCCTTTTATACTCTCACTGATTAGCTGCACTTTTTTCTGACGAGGCGTAAATAGAGGTAAATAGATTGGCAACCATTACCATTACATTTTTGGCTTGAATGAACCCAGTCTCTTTAGATGGCCCTAAATCTGCTGATCAATAGATTTCTCTATTACAATGCAATATTGAGACAAATCTTAACACTCATGGCTCAATCGTTTTGATTCAATTAGAAAGCTAGACTACTACTTGTTTTCTCCAGCACATTCATCATGCTATTTTTCTTGGTTATTCATCTATCAAATGTATCCATTTTGACCTTGAATGACTTATTGTGGTTTCGAACCATCAGTCCATATTGATTTCTTTCACTTTCGAAAATTTCTGTACAGTTTCTCTTAAATCTCCATATCAAATTCACTCATATCCAGTACTGATTATAACCAATGATGACCACAAATCATACACTTAACCTTATAACTCCCACAAGTGATTAATATGTAAGGTATCCTCCTAATGTCCCTACATTATCCAGCTAACGGGTAATCAAGTACTAAAAGTGATCAGATATAAGTCGTTATCTCGATCCAACGCTAAAATTTTGTTACTTATTGACAAGGAAATGTGTAGCAGCTGGAGAGTAAATTGGAAATTTAATAACCAGATCTTGGAAGTGAAAGGGTTGACAGACCTACACCAGAAGATTTCGAAATCAACAGCAAACAAAATTAATATTTGTATACAAATTTCATACTTCCGGTTTACCTAAGTCCATCAAATAATTCTGTTTTGCTTTCAAGGAAGTGCTCAAATCCCTTTTTTAGATTAAGTGAGGTAGCATATAAAGGGATTCAAACTTATGCTTTTCCTTAGACGATCACAGGTTACTTATATGAAATCCATGAACTGTGAACATGCATAAGTAAAATTTCACGGCAAACTGTTTCGAAGGCCCCTATATCAACATCTACAAACACTGGCTGTATGAATGAGCGTAAGGATTTACTCGATCATACCTGTGTATGACCGAGGAGAGCCTGTCTTTTTGTACCACCATATAATTACGATGAAAGAAACAGAAACGCTTACGATCGCAAGATTATTCACTTTGAAGAAACTGCTGCATATCAAGTAAAATTGAATGTGTACTGTTTGCTGAGGCAGTTCAGAAGTCTTTTTTGCTCGACATTGATTTCAACATTCATTTATAAATTAATAATAAAGTGTTTTCCTCACCTCTACAGTATGCGAAGTGGAAGCCATTGTAAACATTCCAGTTTTCAGTTTACGCGAAAAACCGGATGACGTAATTCTAAACCTAAAATTAGGAATTGGATCGGACTGGCCCATATCTTTCCAGAATGGACTGGGTTAACGTCAGCGGAGAATGATATTCTATGTTTTCGTGCCAATTTTTAAAATCTCTCTTTTTCAGGTTTTATTCTCTCTTATACCATATTTATAGTTAAACCCAAGAGCTACTTTTGGTCCAATTTCGCGGTCCTAACACATAACCCATTGTTTAGAAACTATAGGAGGGTTTACCATGCATAAGAATTCTGGTGCGAATTAATTATTTGTCTTCAGTTCATGTAAATGAGATAAGCATTGGTCAAACGAAACTCTGCCCTACAAACGAACACTCCTACACGGTGGAAGGATAAATTTACCAATAGTACAATTGAAATGGTACAACAACAAGCCGTGGAAAGAGCAATTATCCGTTTCCTTCTTAATAGCACTTTTTAAAATATTAAAATATCGAACAGTCTGAGTTTTCTATACCAAAGAAAGCACCCTTTGCCCGTTTCTGCTTAACCCTTCAACCCCGTCACCCATAATCCTTAACCCATTCTTCACACTATTATCCAACTCTTTTTCTGTGTCGGCTTATGAACAATCATCAAACTTTTATTATTTTTGAATCGTTTGATCTAAGAGCTGTCCTGAGTGGACAATAGCTCTATTACATTTGTATCAAGAAAGCTTCGAGTTCACTTTCCATTTCACCCATAGAAAGATATTTCGTGATTTGGCTTCTAGCTAAGAATTGCTATCAGTTTCTTCATCCCAGAGTGTGATGTACTGATTCGCCCGCAGTTGCTCTACTCCTGGGAGTCCTTCATACGGGTACTCTGCGTCAATACCGTATCCAGTTATGTACACCTTGGTTTCTTTCGGCTGAAATTAACAATTTAATAAATAGATAAATAAAAAAACTGGTAAATAGTTAGATAAAAGATGATAAATAATGGGTAACGTCGACTTTGGGAAGACTGATACCCTTAGGTGGTGTTTTACCAGTACCTAGAATCTTTTTTATCAGACTATAGTAATTTCGGGCGTTAAAAATTGCAGCAATATTTTATCGGTAATACATTGAACGAAAGATATTTGGAAAAATTGCTTCATTAGCGCTTTGATAAAGTATTTTTTCTGATTTTGGTATTTGAGGGAAATAATTAAAACAAGACAGAAACCCAAATAAAGTAGTTCGAAAGTTACATACCTGGATCTTCCTCACGTAATTAACCACTTCTGTAAACTAAGACAAAAGAGAGATTTCTACTGAGTAATTCGGTGGTTCTGTTAGCATTAAATGTTGGTAATCAATAAACTCCAAACACCAAATCAATCTTGGCCTCGCTCTATCTCTTATACACCTGTTTTCTTTCTTCTTAAGTAATCACACTATATCCGATAAAAAAAATTGTACCAGCAGTTGGAACTAAGTAAGAAACGAGGTGTAGGTTGACAAACTGATTTTTAGAGATTCATTTTAAATTTTGGCTGCATAAGCTCAGGTTTTTTCGATTGAAGACTTTCCAAATCATCGTTGCGAAATGAGTTTCATACCTTGTGGACTCTCACGCACTGCGCATTCATTACTAATTATGTGCCATTTCTTACTCTCCAATGCTAATGTAATATGTAGTCAGCTATAAACCCTCTGATTACTATACCTACCGATGCATGTTCTTTAGATGCATTAGACCTCGCACCAACTATCACAGTGGTGGCTTGGAAGAAAAAAATCGAACACGTCCTCCTTGAAGCCAGAGTCTACGCAATAACCAAGAACTGGTTTCTCCTTGAAGAATAGCACAAATCCTATGAATAAAAATTAAATGTTAACGATTCTTTTCATACTTCAAATTTAAAAGCTCTATTGGAATTAGGCGTGATCATCATCTGAAATTTACTTGTTCAGCTTAGAACTTACTGTTTGAGATTTGGTCTTCTTCTGGGCCGGTTTAAACTGGCTTAGCAAAGCTTTGTTTAATGCTCGAAGCGTAATTGTTTGATTGAAAGCCCGAGGCTGACAATCACGTCCCCGGCCAGCTACGCATTGACTTACGGTCTTCGCGACACAAACAGTTACCCAGGTCATCGTTCAAAGCTGTTTGTAACCTACCATAACATATTCCGCTATGAAGAGTTTTGTGGATTTTCATGGAGAACTGTTTTTCGTCATCCAGGTAGGTTGGGTCTCCTTCTTGCTGACATACTACCCAATCTGCTATTTGTTCCTTCAAGGAAGAACGAAAAAAATATTTAAATGGAAAAACACTGCATCTTAGCGCATATAACAGGTGATTCATGACTTACCAGTGTATACAGGTGGAGCATTTCGTCCAGTCTGCATGTCTTTAATTTATGTTGCACCTCAGGGCCAGACAACACTCTTAGGCGAGGTTCACCAGCCAAATGTCTCCTCTCGCTCTCGAACAAAAATAGCAAAGGGAGCTCACCGGCATGATCCAAGTGGTTGTTTGTGATGAAAACATTCCTTGGGAACTCGTTGTGAGCTGGAAATGCAAAATAAGGTTGTCTAGAGAATAAATATCTGTGGGGCAACATTCAACTGATAAAGATAGACTATGACTGAGGATTTCACACAGATGGGTTTAAAACACAAGGACAAAACTGAACGATCACTGCAAATCGAGGAAGGAGTGGTAGGAATTTCACTAACCGAGTCTCTCCCTGCAAGCCTTGAGGACACCAGCTCCAACATCTGCCAAAAGCAAAGGTTTTCCATCGTGAAACACAATTGCGGAGGAGCTTGGCTGGCCATGAAGGACGGCTGAAACCGGTTTCAAATGGCATTGTAAATAAATGATTGTTTATTTTTTCATTTTAGAGTAGACGTTACTTCTAAAAAGAGGGAGAAGGGAGGGGTTTTGGTTTGTGCAGAAATTTAATCTGCACACCATCTTTTAATCCTTAACCCTTTAACACCTAGGAGTGACCAAGACAGAATTTCTCCTTAAAATATCAACACAATGTCAAGAAGGCAAGTGATAAGAATAAAGAGAAATATCAGTTGGGCAATTGTTAGTTGATCCAATACCCAATTCTCCAAATTAACATCATGAGAACTGTATGGCAGACAGTAAGGAGAATTACTTAACAGATTTGGAATGAAAGGGTTCATCCTTAGCCACGCAAGCTATAATCGATACATTCGCCATGGCAATTGGCATGCCATGAGACAAAAGAAGTAAGGCAACTATCTGTGGATCAAACATAAAAGACGGTAAACATGGAGAGTGAAAGAAGCACTTGAAGGAATCTCTGAATGACCAAAAGAGACTATTCCAGGTGTACAGTTATAGGATATGGGGAAGTAAAAATCTCACGGAGAATATGCAGGAAGAATTCTGCTTAGGCTAAGCTGTAACAAGTTGACCAATCTATTTTACACTGAAAATAAGAAAAAAAAAGTGTGCAGTTTCTACAGTACCTGTTGTTCCTGTCCCAGTCCCCACGCAGTAAAGCTGCACTGTGATTTTGCGTGAAGTTATTTGTCCTCTTAGTATGTTGAGTAGAAAATTCATTTCGGGTCGTGATTTTTCGGGCTTCAGACACCCATGTATAATTTCTTTTAGCTTTAAAACCAGTTCCTCCCCAAATTCCTCAATAGGAATATTCTGGAAAAAATACGAGCGCTCTTAGATATAAAACATTACCAACGAATTACCAATAATACATAGAGTGACTCTGTCGTAACCATAAATAATTCGTTCACAACTCGTATGTTTAAAAGCTAATGTTTGGACCCCTCCAGTGATTTATAGAAAAACTTTCTGGTTGAAAGATTCACAGGTAGCAGGTTGTCCTCACTCGTTATAATACTAATTACCACATAGATATAGTGTTTTCCGCGCACGCTGATTGGTTAGCTCGGAAGTGATTAACCAGTACTATTCACCTCCGTACAGATGAAAAGACAAACCGCGTGTCAGTAGTTTAATTCCCAACCAAGTAGGGCATATTTACAGAAACCATGACACTAATTGTCGGGTTTTTTTCTTTTCATTTACAGTTAGATATTGATTCACTTTCATTGTGACTGAAAGTGGTGGATATCCATCTCCAATTTGGTAAATAATTTTCAATAGTCAATACTTATTTCACCATTATCCTTGAAAATTTTCCAGCATTTTTGTTCGTTTCTACCCACCGGAATGGTCGGATTCTCCCCCCGCCATTTTCTTGCTGAAAACCGTTTCATGCTGCAGAATGTTATCATACACCTCCCTGCCACTCAGGACTTCAATCAGACACAAACCTGGCGGAATCAAATTAAAAAAGCCTTAGTTGATAGGGCCATATTCCCATGGAATCTAATACAAAGATATTTTTGGAGATCGATATTAACTTGATGTCAATTTATGGATACGAATATCTAAAGGATCTGAAATACTATAAATTTATAGCGAAGACAATTTATTAGGACATACTCTAGTACCTCCTTATTCCTTAATAATTAGGCCGGATATGTATTTAGCTGTATTTTAGAGACAAGGTATAGTATCCGGTCTCAGGGACATAACAGACAAGCAAAATAGTGGGCAAATACACAAACAAACAAAACGGTGGGAAAGGTAATTAATACTCACTTTAACTATCAGTAAAACTCACCAAAACCATGAACATCAGCTCTCTTGGAATAACGTCCTCCAGAGGTGACCACAGGCGCCATGTAACGATACGAGCCAATCTGGGTTTTTGTTTGACGTGTCCCTTCAGTCGCACGAGCAAGACCAAAGTCTCCGAGTTTGAGTACTGTGTGGTCAGCTGACAACTGAAAAATACCGTGTACAATGGATTGACTAAAACCAGCCAGCTCGTGATGATTACCATACAAACACGATATGTGAGAGAGCCGACGCAAACCCGCACTAGTTATTTTAGCCAGTGCAGGGAATGATGAAGACAATCAATTTTTTCAAACTTACAAAAATGTTTTCAGGTTTAACATCTCTATGTACGATATCGAGCGAGTGAAGATGCTCAATGGCAGAGCCAATATCCTCTAAGAATCTGACGGAAAAATCTTTTCCCTGTCCGTCTCCATGGTTTTTCTCCAGATAGGCCTTAAGAGTTCCTCCCTCCATGAACTCCATCACTATCGCCAGCTGATTCTGAATGGAGATGCACTGAAGGACCTCCACTATTTTGGAGTGTTTTGCCTCCCTAGAAACAAGGAACGTTCACGACTGCTATAGAATTTTTCTCTCACAAGATGGTACTCTTTGTCAGGTTTATACGGAAAGAAGAATACAAAATGTTATTAAAGTGAATCTCTTTTCGTATACACGGACTAGCTTTATTGATTAACGATAAAAGCCCAGAATAGCTTTGATGCTGCCACTGTATTGAACCCTCGGCTTCTGGGGTATTGCATCTGTAATCTCTATTTGATAGTAACGAGCAGAATATCTGGCAAAAGTGCTATTAATGTCACAATTTCACATAAGACAAGATATTCGTGACTTGATTAGATAGCCTTTTGCAACGTTAATCAGTCTAACCATTACCAAAAGACACATTTTTTCTGCTAACATGTTCATGAGAGTCCTACGCTTAAACATGTTTTAGCCTTGAACCAAAGATCCGGACTCTGACCTCCATCAATCCGTCAGGAAGATTTTTCTCAGACATTACCTTTGATACCAGAGGGGAAACATTAAAAAATATTAGCGTGCGCTGGAGAAAAATGGATTTCGTTTCCTGAAACTTGACGTGTAGCGCTGTACCGGGGTTGAGCCATCGATCAGATATCGAGTTCCAAAATAAAGTCGCGTGTCAATTCATGACTAATAGAATACTTCAAACATCACTATTATACTAACCTTAGTGTGTCCACTTCTCGCTCAAAGTCCTCTATCTGTTTGCGGCTCTCGATATTCTTCAAGATCTTTACAGCCACATCACGGCCGCCCTTCTTAGCTCTAAAAACCTGACCAAAGCTGCCTTCGCCAAGTGCATCGAGGTAGCCTGGGTCTAGCTTGGTTATCACTCTCTGGCTTACCCGAGTCAGTGTTTCTAATGCTTCTAGGTCTTCTGTCTGTCGAGACAAAATCAAGCACACAATGATCATATGAACATCAGGGGCTAAAACTGAGGAAGGTTATCCCGATATAGTGGGATGCTGGTCTATCAGCAGGGTTTTTTAAACAATGCGAGATGGAGAAAAGAAGTACCATAAAAACTCACATAAAAAACAAACAAACAAAGGTATATATATAAACAAAAAAACAAATTGTTCATGATGTAGCTAACGTTGACAATGATGTGGCTAACGTTTGGTCCGATAGAAAGTTATTCAACTTGTGTGGCATATACTAAAACAATCATTTACTACACTGTCATTGACAATGGCTGATATTAACTTCACTTCAGTTAACAATGTTTATTAGTGTCCGTACCTGAAACCAGCAGTTTGTTGTAATTTGCAAATTGTTTACTTTAAGACGTAAACATTTCATTCAACACCATTAGTTTCGAGACTATTTAATCATCTGAGTTTTATGAGGTGAAACATTTGAACAACTTACTTCAATTGCAACAATGCCAAATTTTTCTCTCAACTCTGAACTTTCCCTCATAACTGCGGTAGCGAGTTTGAGAATGGAATCTTCGTTGCTCCAAGCGTTTGCACGACTTCTTTCGTACACTTTCCTTTTATTAAACACTTCAAAACCATTAATCTTGATGAGATAATTAGCAAACTTTCTGTCATCAGGAAAAGAGGCTGTTTCAGCGTAGCAAATAGCTTCATCTGTTCCACCTGTGTTGCAAAGTTAGGGCAGTTTTCAAACCAATAAACTAGCAATTAAGCATACAAAACATTTTTTGCTTCCCTTGACAAGACACTGGAAATAATGAAAAAAGTTGCTCCTTAAGACCTGACATTTCTTCCACAATAATGGCAGTCACCACCTAACGATTCAATGCAATGGAGAATTATTCTGGTCGTTACACGCCTTCAAAATTAGATGTTAGTTTGATAGGGGTCACCTACTGCATCACTGCTAAATGAAACAGCACGGTCACGAGAATAAGGAAAATGATCGCACAATAAAGAAGTTCGTGATTATCAAACAAATTCTCCTTGTCAGTAACATAGGAAATGTACCAGGAGCAGTATGGATAATATACACATTAAAGTGTTAAGTGACGAAGCTAACCTTTCAGGCGTAGTAGCGCAAAAGTTTCCTTCTCAGTCTCTTGCTGGTGACAAGAGTTTTCATCACCAACAATCAGAATTTCCAAGGAGCTGTTACTTCGCATGAAGGACTTACAAAGACGAATAGCTTTTGCGTATTTACTGATGGAAATCTTGCAATGTTGTAGGATTTTCTGCTTTACTTCTTCAGATGAAGGGGATGAGCACTCTAAAGTTCTCCATGCTTCTATTTATTTTTTCACTCCGTGGTAAAAGAACAAAGCAGTCACTTTGGTACTTGATTCTGTTATAAGCTGAAGTGAAGATAATAAGCAGGGTTACTTTGCGTTTGCTTAACACCGCCACGTGATTAATCCATAAAACACCTGCCATCCTCTCCACCAATCAGATTCCAAACTTCAAACAGTGTGCCTTTTTTACTTTGCGTTCTAATCACAACAGTCCTAATTGGCTGTTATGATTACTTTGATTTTGGTTTTACTGACCCGAATTAGGTTGTCACGCCTTGCTTTCATCGCATCCAAAGTCCACTGAACCTTCTCGACGGAGTACACGCCTAAGGATGAAGCCATTTTAATCTACGTTAGACTTATTTTCTTTGGATTTCCGTAAAGTTGACTTAAGATTCACGCTTTCCTTTGCCAGGTCATTCCATCCTCCCCTTTCCACTTTATCGTCGCTTCGAACCTTTGTCTCGCCCAGCTTAATCTCATATTTTCAAACTACAACCGACACTCAATTGCTTCCCTCCTTTTTTCAGCTTCAAAATTTCTCCTTTTTTTCTTTTACCTGGAGTTGATCATTCGCTAAGTGTACGTCAGTTGAAGGCTGTTCTTAAACACTACATACTTCGCATTGAGCGAAAACATCAACTTACCAAAGGGGTTTTTAGAGAATATGTCTTGGATGGTGGGACGAGACATCTGCTCGTAGTACTCGTCAGGCGACAATGCATTTGTCATGCTCATCGTGTGAAATATTATCTCCGAGGCCATGTTTTCTAGTGCAAGCTGTTGCCTAAGGTAATCTTCCCTTTGGATCCGCAGGTAAGATCTTTCATATTTCTATGTTACGGAAATTTCATTTAGAAAAAGTTATTGATACAGTTGAAGACTTTGACAACTTCCTCAGAGGAGGAAGTTCGTTAAGATTGGGGTTACTGTTGCTTTGTCATTTGGTACATCGGAGAAGGAGCAGAATATCTGCCAAAAGTGCCATTGATGTCACAATTTCACGTGAGACAAGATATTCGTGACTTGATGGGATAAACTTTTGCAACGTTAATCAGTCTAATCATTACCAAAAGACACATTTTTTCCGCTAAGATGTTCAAAAGAGTCCTAGGCTTGAACAAGTTTTAGCCTTGAACCAAAGACCCGGACTTTGATCTCCGTCAATCCGTCGGGAGTGAGTGAGTGAAGGGGTGAGTGAGTGAGTGAGTGAGTGAGGGGATGAGTGAGTGAGGGGGTGAGTGAGCGGGTGAGTGAGGGGGAGTGAGGGGGAGTGAGTGTGCTAAAGAGCGAATAACTGAGTGGGGAACCGACACATTTGCAGCTTACCTTTCCTTCTTTTATTTCTTCTATAATTTCTCCTGTACTTAAGAACTGTACGAATTCCCAAAGCTGTATGTTTGCCTTTAAAGCCAGAAGATTTCCCTTTTTATCAAGATCTGAGTCATTGGAAGTCTCGAAAGTATAATGCTTCATCTGTCAAAAGACCGAAAAAAGATACTTGTATCAGTTATAAACTCTAAATGACTCTCTATGAAAACAAGAAAAGCGCAATAGAAAATCCCAACGGTGCAATACAATTATTAAAACACGTATGTATATTAAAAAAAGGAAGAACCTTTGAGTGAACAGCAAACTTTTCAAAGAAGTTCTTGTATTCCGGGCGCTCGGGATCAAATCCAAGAAACAATACAGATCTTTCATTGAATATTTGCTGCATCATTTCCACTTCTGGGCTTTCCAGGGTGTTGCAAAAGCCTTCGAAGTATTTCATCCTTCTTGACTGAAATTGGATTAAGTAAAGATTGAAAGCATTAACCACTAACAGCAATTTCAAAATGCAGTAATGCGTATAATGAACATTAAGACATGGCAGGGCAAATTCAAAGGAAACAAATCTGTAGTCAATGAAGTTAAAAGCTAAAATGGTTAATACGTATGGTCAGTTGAAGTTGGATATAATTGCAAAAAACATCGTCAGATTACTTACCAACGTCCGTGCAGTAACATCATTGTCCCCAAGGCACTTTATGATCAGATCTTCCTGCAGGTGAGGCCATTTTTGGGAGAGACTGGAAATCTTAAACCAAATAAAAATATGTAAAAATATTAACTTTCAAAGAAAAACTCGAAAACTACAGTAAGCATCAACTAAAAATAAAAGTAAAGATTTCATCAAAAGTATTCTATTCATCATCTTACATCAATTATAGTGCGTTTCAAAATTCTATTTAATTCATGCTAGGCCATCTATCAACTCTTTCAAACCATCTCAAGAAACTACCACCCTGTTCCTCGCATTTTCAGCGTACAAAACTGACATGTGAACGAATAACTGCTCAGATTGCTCTGAGTTTAGCTAAGAAAGCTATGGGGTCTACTCCACTCTTTTTTGGCAGAGGATGTTCAAGAATCCATTAACTCAACAGAAGCACTTCTAAAGAACAGCGCTCTTCGATAGGTTTTGGCTCAGTAGGTAGGTTTTTGGATCAGGGTTTGGAAATACTTAAAGTCCAACTTCTACACCGACCTGGTCCAATTGCAGTGTCTCGCCACCATTCCCACTCTTCCAGATAAAACGTTCTAACAGGTCGTCCATGTTGGTGGTAATAATGAGAGGAAATTTCCCGACATTTCGCAAGGCATTGTGAACACGTGACGGAGCCTCGTCGATGTTTCCCAGGAAGTGTGCGTCCACCAAAATTGGTCCAACGCCTTCCTTTAAATTAAGTAGAATCTATAGTTTTGAAACTTACTCAAGAAATGCATAAGATGATGAACTTACAATCAGTAGTCTATGTCGGTGCTGAAATCACACAAACCTTATGCCTGAATAGAGTAACAGATTTTTTTTAAAATAAACGATATGTTGTGAAAAGGAATCAGCTTTTTCCTAAAATAAAGTCCGGCAAGCCACTAAAGCGCCTTTTTGGAATCATCGATTACAAAGAAACACTTCTGATTTAATTCGTTAAAAAATTCAATGAATGAATGGAAACTTATTCTCAAAAACTCAATGTATCCATCAACACTAAGAAGTTCTCTCCTAAGGAACTGTGCACTACGACTACAAATTATAAAATAGCACTAAAATTATCATTGTTTAAAGAGGTCATTTGCCTCAGAAGTTTACATTAAAAGATATCTCCCAACAAACCCTATTCACCACAAACCCGTGACCCGGTTTTGGCTACTGAGAGCATACTGCAATCTAAATCACAGCTTCGACATACGAAGTACATAAGAGCCTTTTTACCTCAACTCTTAAAGTTGGGTGTATTTCATTACAAATCCTACTTAGCTACAATTAGGAACTCAAAATTGTTAGACCCCATATTCAAGCTTCTTGAATTTCTAAACAAAGGACATTGAAGAGTTAAAGTAAAGAAAAAAGCTTTCCAGTTCAGCATCAAGGGAGAAACTTTTACGGACTTGTACAGCGTTAAAGCGTGATTCAGGTCATGTGAAACTTGACGTTTTGCAATCATGTGACTTAAGCGTTGTCGTTTGTTCGTTTTAAAATAATCCTTCTTACAGAAACGAATCATGAGTGAAAAGTGAAAATCGAACTTTCTGACTTCAAGTGAGGCGTCATATTTTTATGTATTAGACTTATCCGTTACGCGCCTGCCAGCACTTGCCGTAGGGATATTGGTGATTTAAACGGCTAGCGATCAGCAATTAAACTCTGAGTCCCTCCCCGACACGGTCTTACCTCATTATGACTGACAGTCTTCCACCAATCATCCAGAGATGGACGAGGATCTTCCGTACTGGCTAATGTCGACATTTGTTCTCCGATGAATAGCACAAGTTTTTCTTGGACAATTTTGGAACGAATGACATCGAGTTCCTCAGACAAAAGGGAACGTACATCAGGCTTCGCCTCTCCAGGTGTAGCCATGTCTAGAACTGCCTGTATGGTTTTTCTAGAACTCCTTGAGTAAAAATTGAAAATCAGCAGAAATTATTATAAGTCTGTTTACATTTCCTAAAGACATGCTCTCGGTGAATAGAGAGCACTAATATTAATGAATCAACTACGTTTCACATTTCTTTTCCAATCTTCTAAATAGAATATATGTTTACCTGCCTTTTATGTGTCAGAGAGATTTGTGATATCGAGTGCAGATTGGAAAAGAAGGCTTTTTTGATGAGAGATATGAAACCCTCTTTCAAGCAGACCATTTCAGAAACAAAGTAAGGTATACCAATGGCAAGTTATTTGTAAGAGGCAAAACCAATCATATCAGCAGTTTTCCTCAATTTTCCACAAAGGTGGTTTGACTTTCAAGTTTAGTCAGGTGTTTTTTTTACGTAGGTGGCTTTCCCTCTCCTTTTCCTTGCACCCAAGCTGTGAAAACTAAAACCCTTAAAAGAATATCGATGTTTGGGAAGAAGGAAGCCATGTTGAGCCGCCTTCAATCAAAAGTGCTAAGTCAGACAGATTGTAATTTTTACAAATCTACTTTGGTTATTTATAGTTTTGGCGCATGTATGTATTTACCGGTAATGAAGAAGATAAAATTATTGTGCCATTCAGCATGGATTTCCCACTGATCAAGAAATGTTGGCTCTTGCTATTTGTAAACTACGCCTTTCTATTACTTAAATTATCTTCCCTTTTTCAATATTTGATCGATCCCCATGTTATATTGTTAAAAAGTCCTTATATATGTGTAACCATTCTTACTATAGTTAAGAAATAAGCAGAGGACAGAGCGCTGTAACTTTAATAAAAGCGTTGGGAGTCTTTGTCAATCAATTTGCAAAGCTCAACGCAGCCCTTTCTTTTTCTAGCGTAATATATATATATATATATATATATATATATATATTTTTTAATTCCATGAAGGCATTTTCCGTTTCTCGGAAATTTTCAAAGTTATATTTAGTCTGCACAGTTCCAGGAATCGCGATGAATTCATCCGTAGCCTGAGCATGGGAAACAATCCAAAGCTTCCTTCAATTGTTATGTTCTTAGAAACTTCAATGAATTGAGATTATTGAACCATTAAAGGCGAAGATCCTGATGATAACGCCGTTTTGTAGCTCTAAGCTATACACCGCAAACAATACGAGTTAGATGAAAAATACACAAACAATGTCTATGAATACAATAAGAACCTATTCCGTATGCTCATACTACAAACCAGACAGAGGGTAAGAAATTGCTGTCACCCACATTTAAATTTTAGTAGTCAAGAACTCGAAATTCTTATGTTACAATCAGATATACTGCATCATTTTTGAGCAGTAACTGATTGTGATATCCTGTAAGGTCATGAGACAAGACGTGACCACTTTATATATGTAATGGTCGTTCAGCGGTAGTATTTAGTTTGGCGATGGTTTGCTTCTTGTTTCCCTTCATGCTTACCGTTCGGCAATAATCGGAAACCCCAAAATCGAATTATTCGGAATATTCGTGCCATCGGTAGGCTGCAATCTACCTTTACCACAAAACTTAACTTCATGATACGAGACACGGTCCAATAATATTCTCCCCACGAATTATCGTCACGAAACGCTCGTGTTATTTGTGAAATACATTTACTCAGTTTGCTACTAATTAATCGTTCGCAAAGTAAATATCATCAACTGAATGTTACAAAGAGAAAAATTATCACTAGTTATGAGCATTTTATATCCTTACCTTCGAATGTTTATTGCGAAGCATAGGACGATTTCACTCGTATCCAGTAAATTGATAAGCTCAGGGAGTCCCGGAAGTAGATTGAATTACATGGAGTACCAATTAATAATGTGCCAGCGGCATCCGGTAACAACCAAACGCCCTCTCGCTTGCCTTCAATATTCCTACCAAAGCCTCGATCAACAAACTATTTTACCCTAACTTTCAGCTCAACTCAGCGTCGGTTTTCTTTTTCAGTTCAACATTAGCGATTTTCCAGCAGTATGTGACTTTGAAGATTCTATCGATTTTTTAATCCACGAATCGAAAGGCAAGCTTGGCTGAATGGAAATTAGCGGTGATATTTAGTCCACAAACAGGGGTCAACGAAAACAGCACATAACCTTCTGTCAGCAGCAGAGGGTTTAACATTTACATTGATTACCATGATCAGCGAGCGGTGGATTTTACATTTAAAGTGTTACATTTTATTGGCTGAACACTAACTTTAAATTTTCAATTAGTTTCTTTCCGTTTGCTATCTCGAAGGTGACATCAGGATGACTACGAAACGTTGAATCAATTCGTTTTACTATTCTCAAACCATTTTAAAAGTTCTTCGTTTATTATCCTCATCCACTGATCTCCAATAAAATCCACTCTCGTTCTTTCTTTATTCTTTGGTCTTCCTTTTCATATCTTGTGGTTTTCTCAAAGTTAACGATTGTGATTTGGCTTTAAATTTCTAACATCCAAAACCGACCTAAAATAAATATACAAATATATCTCTAATCATAACGAAAAAATTAAAGAACTTCACTAAAATAAATACAGTCTTCCTATTGTTAAAGAGCATGAAATTTTTTTTTTTTTTTTTTTACACACCTATGTATCTATTAAATTTCATTTAAAATGGGAGCATCTTGTTATTCATCCTCAGAGGAACTTGATTTGGTTTTTAGAACTAACGGCCACTGGTTTCTTCATCCCAGAGTGTGATGTATTGATCCGCTCGCAGTTGTTCTACTCCTGTCAGTCCTTCCTCCGGGTACTCTGCGTCGACACCGTATCCAGTTATGTACACCTTGGTGTCTGAAGGCTGCAAAAAATAGAAGATAATGTTTAGAGTCGGGGAATGGTCAACACAGTCACAGCCTAACTACAAACTTTCTACTTGAAGGTAGCTAATGTGGATGTGTTGGTAGTTAGTATCGATAAGAGATAATGCCTCTCTCGGTTTTCAGTTGTCACCCAACATTCCAAACCTTTTAGCGGTACTTAACTTAGGATTTTGTCGAGAAAGTGAAAATTGGACATAGACATAACCTAGTTTCTTCCAGCACCACCGCTGGAATCGTCCATTTGGACCGTCCAACTCAGAGGCTAACACAAATTAAAGGAAAATGATCGACTAGTTTTACATCTCAGAAATCGACGGGAATTGCGTACAATTTAGTTGACAAAGCAGTACCGGGTTGTGCCTCAGGAAACCTTTCGCATATGTAGCGAATTTATTCTGGTTTTCACACTTTTAAAGAATTCATAAAGATAGAGTCATGGTTCAAAGTGTTCAGAGCCACTGAGCAAAAATGAGACTTTATTTCAAACTGAAGGTAATTTTACATTTTCTCTCAATCGTGGAGTCAAAGTATCACTCGACACGGCACAATATATCACGAGTTGTTCTGGACAAGACTCGCAAATATGATACTGCAACACGTCTTCACCACCACGCCTCAGGATAAGATTCGTCTCATCCTTGTACCCAGTATCACGACTATCTTTGAAGTTTAATCGGTTCAAATCAAGGTAAGGTTTTATTTTAAATGTTTTGAAGAAGAGTGAGGCAAATATGAAAAAAATATCTTCGTTGACTCTAAGACGCATTGGTAAATATACTATCGTTATGTAAACTGTAAAAGCTTACGTAACTTAGAAACAGAACAAAACAAAAAAATGTTAAAAAGCTAAGAGTCGCTTACCTGAATTCTCTGAACGTATTCAACAACTTCTGCAAACTAAAACAAGAGAGGATTGGTTAATGGTAGTCGGTGGGTAAGCTTTTTATGTTCACAGTAAGCTCAAAGACCTCTTGAAGTTGGTCCCTCCTCAAAGTGTCTGACAAGCACAAACCTAGCATACGCGAGCACAATAAGGCAACTGATGGGAACGTGATTTATTCTCTTATCTCCTTAATTGCATCAGTTGCGCCGCTGAGCGGCCTAAAATAAAAGCAACAACTAAATCTAAAGACATACCTTGAACGATTTCTACAGATTCTGCTTACATCGGTTATACGGCTTTGTATTAAGGTTCTCCAACTTAACTGTGCAAGATCCATGTTTTCAGGTGGAGAGAGTTTTAAGTTAAGAACAGACCAGTGTATATATAACTAAATTTTTGCCGTTTCATGGTTTCTATTTAGAAAATTATAACTTTATTTTGTACACCTGAAAATTAAGTACCCACCGAAGCGTGTTCCTCAGTGCCCTTGTCCCTCGCATCAACAATCACGGTGGAGGCCTGGAAGAAGAACTCGAACACGTCCTCCCTGAAGCCAGAGTCTACGCAGTAACCAAGAATTGGTTCCTCTTTGAAGTAGAGCACAAATCCTATGGAAAAGAACTTAAAGTGAAAACTCAGTCTCGTTTGCTTTCAGACTTGAAATATCAAATATGAAAAGTGGGTTTGACTATCAGAAGTGAGCGACATTTTTAAATAAAAACTTATTTCGCTTGTAATTCACCGGCTGACATTTAAATTCCTTCCACCTTAATTCTATCCCGGAATGGAGATGTGAGAATTAAGCTGGTCTTGCCTAACAGTACAACACCATGACCTAATCCACTTCTCAAAAGGGAACCGTTAATTCTAAAGCGTGACTTAGACCTCTATGTCTCCAGCCACCTTGTATTAAATCATACTATTACTGTCTTGTCGACACAAACGATTATTCTGATAAACGCTCAAGCCCACCATAGCAGATTTCGCTATGAAGCGTCTTGTAAGTTTTGATAAAAAACTGTTTATCATCATCCAAGTAGGTTGGACTTCCATCCTGTTCACACGCCAGCCAGTCTGCAACTTGTTCCTGCACGGGAGAACAAAAAAAAACACGTTTTAACTGCTATGTTTCATACGTTGCTTCAACTTGGCTGATGTAACACACAATTCCTTCCGAGAGTGGGCTATAACGTACTTACTTAACCCTTACAACAGAATTTAAACGAATCAATTTATTTAGATAGATATCACTGTGGTCGGTATTTGATGTTCTCTGTTCGCGACTGGATTTGTAAAAGGCATGTTCTTGCAATAATAATACTGATGAATGATTCAAGCATGAAACATCTAACACAGAGCCATTTAGACATTTTACAAGGAAGCAGCTCTCCTATAATTTTTTTCCATCGAAGAAAAAAGTCACAAAGAATAGTCAGTTTGATTAATGTCACTCCATTTGTGCAAGTTACCTTTGTTTGCATCATACTCGAAAGAGTGTAAGAGTGACCTATGACTTACTGGTGTGTATAGACTGAGCATCTCGTCCAATCTGTGTGTCTTCAGTTTTTGTTGCACCTCTGGGCCAGAGAGCACCCTCAAGCGAGGTTCGCCAGCCAAATATCTCCGCTTGCTCTCGAATACGAAGAGCAAAGGCAGTTCACCAGCATGATCCAGGTGGTTGTGTGTGATAAAAACATTCCTTGGGAACTCGTTGTAAGCTGGGAATGCAATAAAAGGGTGTCTAAAAAAGCACGGACAAATCAAGGAAGAAGGATAGAGAATTTTACTGACCAAGTCTCCCTACAAGCTTTGACGACACCGGCTCCAACATCCGCCATAAGCAAAGGTTTCCCTTTGTGAAATACAATTGCAGAGGAGCTTGGCTGGCCATGAAGGACGGCTGAAATCAGTTTTAAATAGTGCCATGAGTACACGTCAGTTCATTATTTCCTATGTTTCCTTTTGGAGTACGTTTTACACCTAACATGGAGGTATGGGGAGTAAGGAGGGTTGAGTGGTGTTTGTGGTCGCCATTATTTCATCCTTCAGCGTCAGCCTCGGAATTGGTCGCTAATTATATAAACTATATCCTTTTTTGATTGATTAACATGCACTAGGCAAAATACATGGAACTATGGCAACTTTTTGTGGGTCAAACATAAAGGACCGCCACTACTCTGTATTAATACATGCCTTTCATGAGTAAATAGATAGGCATAAAAGGCCGCAGTACGTTTACAGTCATAGGATCTAAGAGCAGAAAGGTGGAGATGAGGGAAGAATTCACTACTCTCTAGACTGGGTCGCAACGTTATGGCTTATAGATAAGTAAAGCAGAGTAGATCTACTCTACTCCGCGAAGACCAAAACCATGTCGTTGCATCAATACCTGTTGTGCCTGTCCCAGTTCCAACGCAGTACAGCTCCACTGAATTTTTGCGTGTGGATATTTTCCCTCTCAGTATGTTGAGAACAAAATGCATCTCGGGACGTGATTTCTCTGGCTTCAGACACTCGACCATAATTTTCTTGAGCTTTATGGCAAGTTCCTCTCCAAATTCTTCAACAGAAATACCCTGAAAGAAAAATGTGAGTCCATGTTAACAGAAGATTTCGCCAAAGAATCAAACGACAAAGAATGATGATGTATCACGTACATATTGTAATTTTAAACACCATTATCCACAGTTATTGATTCAGTGTCCTGCAGTACTAAATGAAAATTCATTCTGATGGAAAATAACGAAAATTAAGTCCAGTTGAAGGTTTCACGAGTGACACGATTTACTTTTATTAGTATAATTCTGATTCCACAATAATCCTAAACAATTTCTGGCTCTTCACAGTCTATAGTTACCGGAATGGTCGGATTTTCTCCAGCCATTTTCTTGTTGAACACCGTTTCATGCTGCAGTATGTTATCAAACACTTCCTTACCACTCAGCACTTCAATCAGACACAAACCTAGTGGGAGAAGGACAGACGAGTAACTGATAAGGCAACTTTGATGTTATTTTCCCACTGAATCTTGCTTTAACTGTTTAGGTATCTCTTAGATAGATATCAACTCATTGAGAGTGGAACAAAAGCTTTTGACGTTAAAAACTGTTAACTACACTACATATCCCGTTTTTGCATTGCTAACATGAGACTTAATGACTTCAAAGAAGGAGTATTTTTAAAAACTAATTTGTCCAAATGTTGTCCCTTGATCTTCTTCGTGAAACTTTCTGTTCTTTAACCGAAACGGTCTACCTGGCTTGTTCAAATGATACAATCTTGCAATTAATGTCAACCACAATCAATTCAAAGTAAAAGATTGCAGATATCTTGTGGATCGGAACTATTCTAAGTTGATAGCCAAATTTAACTAAAACCAAACAGAAGTACACTAATGTAATCGCAATTCCGTCGAATTTATTTTGAAAGGTTTTTCTCTACTTCCTACCAAAAAGCGGACTATATTCGGCTATCTGATTTCAGAGATAGAGAATGGTCTTAGTAAAATAACAAACAGGCAAACAAAACAGCGAGAAAAACAGCAAGCAAGTCACCGTTATATCATCATCGAGGCTCACCAAAACTGTGAACATCAGCTTTCTTGGAGTAATGTCCCCCACTGCTGACCACTTCAGGCGCCATGTAGCGATACGAGCCAATTTGGGTTTTTGTTTGACGTGTCCCTTCAGTTGCGCGAGCAAGACCAAAGTCTCCGAGTTTGAGTACTGTGTGGTCAGCTGACAGCTACGAAGTAATGGCGTAAAGAACAGACCTACTTAAACTGGTCGCATCACGACGATTAAAATGCGATGTGCAAAATTACCTCCAACGCATTGTAAGAAAAAAAACAAAATACTTGTCAATTTCTTGAGATGACTACATAAGATGGTAACGAACACAGCATTTAAGAGGAAGCCTTTTTGTACCTCGATAAATATAATAATGTTTTCATTTCTAGATGGTGCAGTCTAGGATAGAGACAGTGAAATTATTACACTCACAAAAATGTTTTCAGGTTTAACGTCTCTATGCATGATATTGAGCGAGTGAAGATGCTCAATTGCAGAGCCAATATCCTCTAAGAATCTGACGGCAAAATCTTTCTCTTGTCCGGTTCCATGGTTTTTCTCCAGATATGCTTTAAGATTTCCTCCCGCCATGAACTCCATCACAATTGCCAGCTGATTCTGGATAGAGATGCATTCAAGCACCTTTACAATCTTAGGATGCTTTGCCTCCCTGAAAAAATAAATCAATTAAAATAAGTGCTGTGAAATTCGTCCCTCACTTGCTGGCGCTGTTTGCCAGCGTTAATACCGCGAGAAGAATAGCAAAGTGTCATTTCAAGAATAGGTACATAAAAAACCAAAACAAACCAAGGCGAAAAAAAGAGATGGATTCGAGTCTGCTAGAGCATCGAACCGCCTTCTTTTTAAAAAACCTACGGGCTTACTCTACATCATTACTTTTATTGAGGTCACAATTATTGCAAGAATAATCTGCCGTTGAGATATACGTTTAGAAAGTTAATCAGGTAGGCCATCACTGATTAAGTTTAACAATTCAAGAGCTTAAGGATGGACATGTTGTAACAATGAGGGGAAACCAAGGAGTGGACTTTTATTTTTTATCAGTCAGTTGGAAAGTTGGTGCTCAGCAACTATCTTTGATCTGAAAATATCTTTCCGCGCTGAGTCCAGAAAAAAATTAAATTCGATGTTTTGACCCAGTTTGTGGCATTGTAAGGTGTGAGGTTGAGCTAATGTAACATATCAACGTGCATTTTACATATATAGCTAGATTTCTACAAAGATCACCTTTATTCTAACCTCAGTGTGTCCACTTCTCGTTCAAAGTCCTCTATTTGTTTGCGGCTCTGGATGTTCTTCAGGATCTTTACAGCCACATCATGACCGTCCTTCTTCGCTCTGAAAACCTGGCCAAAGCTGCCTTCACCTAGTGGATCGAGATAGCCTGGGTCCAGCTTACTGATCACTTTCTGGCTTATGCGAGTCAATGTTTCTAATGCCTCCAGGTCTTTTTTCTGTAAAGATAAAAGCAACGAAATCATTGGTCAGGTGAACTTTTGGGAGCTTGAATAGATGTATTGGTACTCCCCAGCCGGGAAGCAGATCCATTGCATATAGCCATTCAGCACTGAAAGGGTATTGGTAAACTTAAGCCGCTCATGGTGTCCTGGTGGAGAGAGGTGCTATGATAGCAGACAGTTGAAAAAAGGAGCCCAGATTGTTTATGCCAGTGGTAACATAACCCTAAACCCTATATCTTGCTCTAAAATTGTCCATTTTTTCAGCGTCTAGAAATCGTAGATACTTTGCCTCGATTGCCCCTCTAAAAGGAAAAGAACAACCGAGACTAAATGTGACTCACCACAGCAAAACGTGTAATTAGGTGAATGTACAATGGATTTTAAATGTATGACTTTTTCCGTTTTAACGCTACTTGTCCAAGGCCATGCACAACGACAATACTGTTGAACATCTTCTCTCAACAGTACGCACATACAACATAGCCCAGTCAGTAACATGTAACCTCATGAAAAGTGAGTTATTTCATGAAATACGCTCATTTGCACCGGGTTCTTCGAAGCCCAGGCAATTGATATGTTGCCCTGGCCAGCATTCAAATCTAATGGTAATCTCGCCAGGAAATCGAACAATTTAGCCCCGATCTAATCATTGACGTATAAAGTAAACCTGTTAACTGCATACAAGGGTATTACCAAACTCTGATCATAATGTTTAGGAGCATGAAGATGAAGCCACATACTTCAATTGCATCAATGTTGAATTTTTCTTTCATCTGTGCGTTTTCTTTCATAATTGCTGTGGCGAGTTTCAGAATGGAATCTTCGTTGTTCCAGGCGTTTGCACGGCTTCTCTCGTACACCTTTCGTTTATTCAACACCTCATCCCCGTTTATGTTAATGAGTTGAGCGGCGAATTTTCTATCTTCAGGAGATGAGGCTGTTTCAGCGTAGCAAATAGCTTCATCTGTTCCCCCTGTGCCATAGGAGAAAGAAAATACGGAAACAAACAATCAACGAGAAAAGCGAACGAAAGAAAACTATGAAGACGTTAGCCATTAACATCTATCCTTTACCTCAAACCTTTAAGACACAATGCCGTACTGCTCTAAATTGAGAGCATTCAAATGGTATAACACATTTTTAACAATTGTTTCCATTTTTATGCAAAAAACATACTTTCATTTTAACAAATACTGAGACACAAAACCTTTGCAATGTTAAACTTACTTATTTCACTAGTGGGCCTGGCCCAACCTGGTCAATAGGTACAGCGGAAATCACTGACATTATTATGACAGCATATATATATTCATGGTTTTTTCTGTCTTAAGAGAGATAACTTTCCATTCAGCTATTAGTCGATTTTATTCTCTTTAATGATATCAGAATATATACCCACGCATGTATTTCCATGAGCTATCATAATCCCAGCTATTAAGTTTTAGGCAGTGCTTTAAAGTGACTTTTCAGGTCACAAAAAAGAAGCATGTCATCGTATTTTGGACTCCGGCTAAGCAGATAGGGCTTAAATAAATAACCAACCTCTGAGGCGGATGAGAGCAAAGGTTTCCTTCTCGACCTCCTGCACTTGGTAAGTTTCCTCATCACCAACAATGAGAATTTCCAAGGTGCTATTACTTCGCATGAACGACTTACAAAGTAGAACGGCCTTTGCGTATTTACTGATGGAAATCTTGCACTTTTGCAGGATTTTCTCTTTTTCTTTGTCAGACGGAGGAGGTACCTTCTCTACTTGCTTCCATCCTCCTATCTCGTTCTTCACTCCGTGGTAGAAGAACAAGGCAGTGACGCTGGTTTTTGATTCAGTTATAAGCTGTGATCATAGAGATAGACCCTCCTTAGTAAACTTCCATGCATCAAAGGAAAGATTGTTTAACGACCATCACAATATTTACTCACCTTTATTAGATTGTCACGCCTTCCTTTCATTGCATCCAACGTCCGCTGAACCTTCTCCTCAGAGTAAACGCCTAGATATCAAATAAAGGAATTTTAGGCCATGCAGCCGCGTGAAAAGGAATTGTGAGGATCTCTCTGTCCATCCTTCATCTCACTATATCTGCCAGCTTCCTTGTCTTTCTTTACCTCTTTCAGATATCCCATTATAACTACCACAAAGGCAAAAACACTAAACCAAGAATGGACTTTAGGACAGTATGAACGGATGGTCAGGGCGTTGGGCTTGTAATCTGGTGGTTGCAGGTCAAAGCCCTCCTCTCAGCTACTCACTGGAATTCTTCCCACTTGCCCGGACCTCAACTCCTTGGCTGTGCTTTTCATAAAGCACCTCGCCTCCTACCAGATGGTCACGTTCATTCATTTTTTCACTCATTATTCACTCATTTACTCTTATTGTCCCTAAAAAGCCCCACGGGGTGGTGGGGGGGGGGTGGTCAATTAAGTATACACACATATACTCATGCATACCTACATACGTACACGCATACAGACTTAAAGTTTTAACTCTATTTTGAAATTGAACTTAGTTCGCACCAATAAAACGGCAACTCACCAAAGGGATCTTTCGCGAATATGTCTTGTATGGTGGGACGTGAAATCTTTTCAAAGTACTCGTCAGGCGACAATGCGTTTGTTATATTAATGGTGTGAAATATTATCTCCGAGGCCTTTATCTCCAGTGTGAGCTGTTGCTTGAGATATTCTTCCCTCTGGGTCCGCAGGTAGGATCTTTCGTACACCTGTAGGAAGAAAAAGGTAATAAAACACTTAAATAAAACTGAAAAAGAGGTTATAGCGAAGCGCCCCGAAAAAAGGTGACTGATGGTTGGGTGCATGGGTCAAAATCAGCTTGCTCTACCAACAGGTGCGTCAGCGTCAATGTTTTGTTATTTGGTTTTTGGATGACTTCAACAGTGGAGAGTTTTTCATCAAATGCATCCAGTTTATATTACCTGTCCTGGTTGTATTTCTGCTTGGATAGTTCCTGTACTCAAGAACTGCACGAATTCCCAGGGTTGTATGTTTGCCTTTAACGTTAGGAGATTTCCATTTTCATGAAGGTCTGAGTCCTGGTAAGACTCAAACTTGTAATGTTTAAACTGTAGAAAGAACGGAGAATAACGACAAACATATCGATTTCGAAAGAAATTTGATGTAAGGTAAACACGCAAGTAAAGAAAACCACCACGAGCTCTTGCAAATTTCAACAGCTGTCTACCTTGGCATTAACTGCAAATTTTGGAAGAAATTCTTGTACTCTGGGCGCTCGGGATCACAACCTGAGAAACAGCACAGATCTCTCATTAAATATTTGCTGCATTAATTCCACTTCAGGACCTTCAAGAGTGGTGCAGAAGTCTTCAAAGTACTTCTTGCTACTTGGCTGAAAATAATCAATCAAAATGAGGAAAAGCATATTCAGCATTATAGCTACATCAATAATTGAGAGTAATCAAAGGCAGCAGCGCAAGAAGAAAAGCACCAAAATAATTTTGCTACTGTTTGAATTTAATTACAGCTCTATGGGTTTTCAGTGCTACTTGGTTGAATGTCTGCACACTCCGCGATGTATTATGACTACGACATCTTGAAGTGGCAAACGACCAACGAATGGGACATTAAATGCCTGATACTTACCAACGCCCGCACGTTAAAACCACAATCCCCAAAACACTTGATGATCAAATCTCTACGCAGATCTGGCCAGGACTGGGAGAGACAGGAAATCTGGAAGACAGTAAGTAAAGTAGTTGAATAACCCGTCGAATGGCACCAAGTGGCACGAAAGCCTATTAGTTCCTCCCCTTCTCACTTTGCACGTTCATTCTATCATACAGGGCCTTTTTTCGTCTAGGTTGATATTTAACGGGAAGTGGGCAACTATCTAGAAAGCTATGGCAAAAAGAATCCATCTTAAATGTTAGGATATAAGCCTGGCTGCAAATAATTCTCAAACGCGAAACCTTTCATACATTCTTAACCAGATTTGTAAACCAGCAGCAAAGTTGTTTGAAGCGAGATCATCAAATACCGTCTGGGATATAGAGACGAACAGAGTATCATTTGTTTCAGAGAAATGCCCAAAGTAAAGCTTTATAAGGGAAAATCAAAATAAGTCTGCAAACAAAATCACACTTTTGTAAGAACTTTTTGGATCATAAGACCTCTACAAGGTTTGACACAGGAAAAACAAATACTTTGCAACAGATACATTTGAGTCGAATCGTCTTTCTTTTTTACCAACCTGGTCCAGTCGCAGTTTCTCGCCACCGTTCCCAGTCTTCCAGAGAAAGCGCTCTAGCAACTCGTCCATATTGGTGGTTATGATAAGAGGAAACTTCCCAACATTCCGTAAGGCATTGTGAACACGTGACGGTGCCTGCTGAAGATCTCTCAGAAACTTGTCTTCGAGATCGAGAAGTGCATTCGTGCCTTTCTGCAAATTAAGAGACACATGAAGAATTTACCTTCATATGGGCAGCGAAACCACCAGCAGAATTCTTTTGAGCTCCTCGTTAACATCAAAGCTTGCTCTAGGCAACGTGTTATAATTAATCAAAATTTAAGAAAGGTTTTGGTTATTTATCGTGGAAAATTCACTGGTAATTAAGTATCGTCGTCTGTGATTTACCATCGTAGCGTTTTCGCCTTAAGACGACTGGTACTATGCCACTGAAACTTCGCGATCTTCAGCGGAAGTGACTTCATTTTGAGAAAAACGATTATACCTCACGAGAGATAATTAACTCTTGCAATTCATTCATAACATCTTGGCTGGCTCCTCAACACTCCCTTCCTCCCCCGAGAGTGCATCCGGAGATACTCCGTTTACACCTACGAGGTGAGAAAACCAGCATAGTTTTTAGTCCTGAATTTTGTACATTATGCATGTCTGTCATCGCGTTTTCGATACCTTTTGGTGGCCAAGCAATTTTAAGATCATGTCAGCCCCTGGTCCAAGCCATTACCAACCTCAATGAATTTCTGGATATGAGTCCAATGTCCTAATAATCTCACTTCCGGCTACGCAGTAGACATTCTTACCTCAGAATTATTGAGAATTTGCCACCAGTCATCCAATGAGGGGTCATGCTTATCCGTACTGACTAAAGTCGATACTTGCTCGCCAATAAAGAGTACGAGCTCTCCTTTTACAATCTTGGAGCGAATGGCTTCGAGTTCTTCAGACAGTAGTAAACGAACATCTGACTTCTGCTTTTCCATTTCAATAACTGGATGCGCAATTCTTGACCTAAAACAAAAGAGATGCAAAGCACTCAATGGCTCGACTCTTCCTTTTTCTTTGTGTGGAAACATGTTATCCGTTCCAATTTTAATTTTTTAAAACCTTTTCTTCGGTATTTACCGTTGAATGTAGAACGGGAAAAACAGTGCTATGACTTGCTGTCAGATATTCAGAACACGAAAGAAATAAATGTATCTCGCAAACTGGTCTATTCTTCCTCCAAGGGCCTTTTCTCACAAGACAAATTAGACAAATTTTCCGTCATCACTAACATTTTACAAGTGCGGATGGTTTTTCGAAAAGAAAAATTTTGACTGAAGCGAACAAATTTTCAAACGGACCACCGACGAAAATCGACTAAATAAACAAACTCGGGGATTCTAAAATTTTAAAACGACTTAGGATAAATCCTGGAGTTCTAATCCTTTGGCAAATTATGCTGGCCGGTCTTGGAACAGATCATGCGCTGACGGAATCTGAAGGCTTTTAAATTTGTAATGCGGATGTAGTAGACGAAACAAAAATTTGAAATGATTTTGAAATTTGAAAAAAAACGTAAAAAATAAAAACTATGCAACAAACTATGCATGTATCTGCAAACTAATCATGAAAATCTATGAGACCGGAAGTTCGCGAGACCCCTCTGTTCCACTGTTCTTTCCTAAGGTCCGTACCACCTATGATTTTCATCAGATGCTGTTGCAACTTTCACCGGAAGTTGTGTCATGCAATTTAAACTGACCTTAGCAAATCGATGCGTACATCTAATGAGTTACGGTACGCTTATTTGAATACTTCCGCGAAAACTGATTCTTAGAAGATACCTAAAGGATAAAATTTACTCATATGGTAACACATATGCACAAACGTGGCAAGGGAATTTTCGTGTAGCAGTGGTGAAAGTCAATTTAATCGTGTCTTCAAAATTAAAGGTATTCTGACTTTATCGTATACATATCTTATTACACGTTTTGGTGTGTAGTCTCGCCGAGTATTTTTACGAATTGTGCCGTACTTTGACGAGACTTTAAGGCGCGTCAAAATACATAAAACAAGTAAAATTACTTAGCGATACTACAACCAAAACGTTTAATATGTTATTTATCATCCAAATACCTTTTTTTTTGCGAAGTATTTCTGCTCATTCCTTATAGGGTAGGAAAAGAAAAGTGGAGAGAGAAACGTAGGGCGCGCAGCCGACCAGTTAAACAGGTTTTTTTACAGTACAAAATAACCAACAGTCCAAATAACCGTACAATATCGCAGGGTATTTGTACTCTATTCACGCGTTATTTGAACTCTACTTTGTGCAGTTGGATAATACTGTAAACATTTTCGCGTTTGGTCGATCCTTCTTTACTTTAATTAGTTATTTCACGGACGTGCACCGGAACCTTAGTTGATGTAAATGTGTGGTTTTAGTCTCGAAGGAAGAGGCAAATGAGAAATGATGGCGTCTCTACCAGTAAGCTTTCTTCGAGTCACTTTGTCCGGTAGTAGCAAGTCCCTAGAGTCTCATTTGCGCGGCAGACGAAAACAAAGATGTTAGTCAAAGTAATAATAAGGATATGATAATTTCAAGTTCTGTGTATATTTAAAACATGCCTAAGCGCTTTGAGTAAAAGAAAGAGAAATTGAATTACCTTTCTCTCCGGTTCTTATACCTGTGGATGTCAGCCGTTTCTCTCTTCGAGCTGGAAAATGAAATTGAAGAGTTTTCACTTTCCAAATCCCGGAAGACTTTCGAAATCATGCTCGATTCGTGCCCAGGGCATCTCGAAAGTTGAATACCTCGTTTCCGAGAGAGGAAATGAGGTAAACAAATGGTTACAAATACATAGGAATGGACTTCAATCAAATCTTTCTCCTGTGGCAGAGTCTGGTATTGAAGAAGTCGATCCAGCTTGCCGACGTTACTTTAAATTTGGTACGAGTACATCAGCCTTGAATCAACAAAACCTCGAAACGCGACAAGCAACATCCACTTACACAATGGCTCAGCATGTCGCTCCAGCGTTGGACGTAAGTGCATCAGCCTATACCAATTGCATTGGGTAATCACCGTAAACGAATGAGGGGATCACTTCCACCAATGGGCTCGAAATAATAACTAATGGATCACTTGAGCTGCTCTGTAACTTAAAATTAATTGTATGAAAAGGTTTAACTTCTGTTTTGGTCTCCACTCTTATGATACAACACGCACTTTATCCCAGTCTAGAAGGATTTGGCAGAGGCCAACACTTCCCCTTGATCCTTTAAAATGGTCATGTGGACCAGATGTGATTGCCATGGTCATAACACATGGTATGCTTGTGAGATGGGCTTCAGAGCCTCCGTAAGATATGAAAATAAAAAAAAATAAAAAAAAGATTTTTAATTGTAAGTGAATACCTGTTAAAGACGTCAGTACTCACTCTGATTTTATCTGCCAGTTTAAATTAGCCACACTCAGCTATGATTACAAGATTAAAGGTTCATCCTGGTGGGAGCTATCCTAGTTTCAATTGCCTGAAGCTACCAAGAGTGTAGCTCAACTCCCTCTTAAATAGGATGATATCCCATTGCACCTACCTCCTCTCCCCACAATTTTATCAGGTTCCTGCAAAATTTTTTCCCTGCAAATTTACTCAGACCCTAGATTATCAACCCCCCTTTCTTGGAGAGATTGGGTACAGCCTGAACAAGAACACAACATTGTGACCAAGCTTTGGCTACAACCCCAGCCTTTCAGTCCAGAGTCCAGCTCTGTTTATCCACTTGTCAATGACCTGATCCCCTGACTAGACTAAGCTCACTCACAGGGGCCTAACTATACTTTTTTGGTCTGGAAAAATGTTGATTGTGTATGTTGGTTGTCTGGGTGAGAGTAGTCCTGAGAAAGACTGTTGTGGATTTACTAAGTAGCATTAATGACATTCTGACAACCCTAGCAGAAGTTATCATCAGAGTTAAACAAAGAGTTGTTGCCAGTCAAGTTATAATAGTGGTCCATGTAAACTGACTGGCCAGGGTTACTGTGATTTTATGGGCTGCATCTGACCCCAAAAAATATAAATTGAATGAAATTAAGATAATTGCAATGTATTACTTTTGTTTGGTATCTTATTTATTGTCAAATGTGTAAATGTTTTCCCCATTAGGATGTTATCAGTAATACTGTGGACATTTTCCACAATTACTATAAGTGTGACTATCCAAAAAGCCCACAAGTAAAGGATGGATTGAAGCGTCTTCTAAATGAAAGATACAGGGATGATGTCAAAAGCTTCATTGACCACTTTGTTCATCCCACACAAAGTCTTCTTAGCAGTTTGGAGGAAGAGGCACAGTATAACTTTTGCTCTAATTAATCATTTATTTTTGTTATTTTACACTGTAGTTGGGATGAACTTTGGAATGATGGTAAATAATGTACATAGTGTAATGATTTGCCGTGGGTGAGGGCTGAGCCTTGCAATTACATTGTACTACCAAAGTTTAAATGCTATGAAACTGTATAGTTCAGTTGTTTCCAGAGTGACACTGGTTGTTCAAGACATATGAATATTATTGAGAAAAGACTGTTTTAGGTGTTCTAAGTTTTTTAAAAGCAGCTCTCAAAGGTGGATCTTTCTAAATCATAGTGCTCTATAGCTCAAGTGCTATCCTTGCTAAGGCAATTACACTACTGTAGCATGTTGCATCATTCTGTGTCCAAATATTAGTGAGATGATAAGAAAACTCAATGGAGATTTAGTTACCAAAAATCTGTGTAAACTCAGCCATGTAGCCAAATGTTCCCTTACTACACACCTGTTACATGAATACGAGACTGAAAAGCATGACCTCATGACTTCTTATGTCATGCAGCACAACTACATGGTAGAATTTTGTTTTAATATAAAGTGATGATCACTCAATTTTATATTTTCCACTGTAGAAGTTTCCCCTTTGCTTACCCAATGGCAAAGTAGTTCTTCATCTGGTTCCTCCTTTGACCAAATTGGCAGTTGGGGAGTTCTTTTACCAGGTGGGTCTCATTAGAACAAGTGGGTTCAGTAATAATGTATATGGACCTGTATTACAATAGCTGATAATGAAACTACTATCTGAAATGCCCACATGTAAAAAATTCTACTTGGCAGTTCCATGTCAATCAGACATTTTGAAACTGATCTTGTGACTTTTTTCTTCTTTTCCACTGTCACATGTAGGTGGGCCATACTAATCCACGCACTTTAGTTGTTAAATTTGCAAAATACGAGCAGAGAGGGACTAAAGTGAATGAATTGCAGCGCTCAACAGTTCCCGAAGATGACCATGACATTGCATTCACCAAAGAGTACTTTGACCAAATAAGGAGTGAGGTTCCTGATGGACTGGGAGATGTTCTGATGCGTACCCTTGTTGTCATGGGTAATCCAAACTGGACGGTTCAGAAAGAAGGTGCAGCAAATCACCTTGGGAATGTAAGTTGAATTGTGGTAATTTCTTTTCTATCTTGTTCGTTCATAGCAGATTTAATAATGATCAAGAGAGAGGGGAAAGTGAAAAATTATGAAGGATTATGTAATAACCATCTGTTATATGCAGAAAATAAAGTTACGCTTCTCTTTTGAACAAATAGTTAAAAGTGGCCTATCAATGTTTTCGAACAGTCAGAAGATCACCTGCCCAGAATAGATTTCAAAATATTAGAGAAAGGGTGTGTTGTTTGAATTAGTGTGTATCATCGCACTTTGGAGTTAATTATACTTGAACTACTACAAAATTATGGTGAAATTGGCAATGGTAGAAGTCTACACTACTCTGTGCAAAATGTTGACAACATTTCTGAATTCTCAGTTCATACTGATCAGTTATTGATTCCTAAAGACTTCATGCCTCCTCTAGAGAACTTAGTGTTCCCTGTATTGTGTGGCAAGACCAAGGGAAAAACAGACTTGTGTCTTACCTGATTTAATGAATGTTTCATCATATTCATAAGTCATATTCATTTGTAAATATATTACATGAAAAATATATTAATCAATAGCAATGTCTTCCTTAGTGTCCAACAGAAAGGCATAGCAGGTTGAGGTCAGAGTCCCATCTGTCTGTTCAGGAAAGCTGCGATGATGATTCAAGCACTATGTCGGAGCCCAATTCTCCAACAGAAAATGATGATGTTTACCCATCAACAGATGGGGTATTTGTGCATACCAATGGTTGTGACAAAGGAAAATAAATATCTACTAACTTCCTCTTTAACCCCTAAGCAACTTATTTAGCTTCATTGTTATTTGTTATCAGTGTTTATTTGCGATGAAAAGGTACAGATGAGTACATGTACAAGTATTAGTTAACCCTTTAACTCCCATGAATGATCAAGGCAGAATTTCTCCTCACATTATCACCACAATATCAAATAGAAATGTGATGAGAAAAATGAAAAATATCAATTAGGGATGATTGGTTGATCCAATAGCAAATTCTCTCAACTAACATAAAGACAATTGTATGGCTGACAGTAAAGAGAATTAACAATGACATCTTGGGGGTGAAATGGTTAGGGATCGATGACATTGTGGAGTGACTGATCAAATCTAATTGGAGACTTTTTTATTACTTTTCATATTAGGATGAATAGGTTTGGTTTTAAATAAACCAGCCCTGGTTTTATTTTTAAATTCAAATTTTTATTTAAGGTTCCATGCATTATTTTCTTTCTAAAGATGCTATAAGAAAGTTTATTTACTACTGGACACTTAATATATATAGTTTTTCCACAATCATAATATATTAGTAAATATTTCATCTCCATGAGAAACAGGGGTTTTAAGTATGTTTGTTGGACTTAAACAATTTTAGAAGTTGAAACTGTTCAAATATGTTAATTGTAAAACAAACCTTCCCAACCACAGTTAGACTGTGTATATTTGTTTAAGTTGATGGTCAACTTTGTTAAGTTAAATTCTTCCACTGCCTTTTTGTGATACTATTAAAGGATGTGGCACATATATCTGGTGTAATTGTTGAGTTTAAGTTTCATAATTTATCTGTTCATTTTCTTATCTTGACTAACTCTCAAAATGGGTAGCTACAGGTGGTCAAGAATCCACAAGAAATGTTTGAATTAGCCTTAACAAGGCTCTTAGAATGACATTTAGGAGGAAAGATAAGGAGGTCCTTCCTTTCCTGTCCTTAGTGTCCCCTCATTTTTCCTCTTAGTTTCCCAACTGTTTCTCATCCTCAGAAGCTGACTTCTGGAATAGGCAACAGTTATAAAACCTGTATTTTGTCAAAAAAATGTTGGAGGAGTACCGGTAAACAAAAATTATTTTCATAAAATTCTGTCTCCATCGTGTTTAAAGAATAACAATAATTGAGATGATTTGGAATTTAAGATTTCGAGCCAAATTTCTGAGCCAGGGACTTGAAATCTTAAATTTGCCAATCCTAAATGTTTTGAAGCTAAAATGTAAATTGCAAAGTCATAGTATTTATCCAAACTTGACCTTCTAAATAATTGATGTGACTTTTATGTCCAGTCAGCAAATACCTCAAGAAAGGGCTTGAAATTCCCATCCCCCCTTGCATTATGATCATCAAGGATGGCAAAAGAAATGTGCTTGTATCTATTGGCAAATCTGCCTTCGGACAATACGTCCTTAAAAAGCTGGGCCATGTGACTTGCAGGATTTCTAAATGCTCCACAGCCAAGAGCTGAGAGAACCAGTGAGTCATGACCATAGTACAGACCAGCAGATAACATGCAACGTATCTTCCGTTTTGTGTTCTCAGCAGTCAATGGAATGAGTTTCTTCTTGTCTTTTGTTAGGGTGGGATTGGGGTATGCTGGTAGGGCCAAAAAGGACATTGGAACAGGGTTGGCAAGAAATTTATATCCTTCAGCTTCAGATGCTCTTATGATGAACACATTTTTTGAGTAGATGCATGAGAACTCTGGAATTCTGTATTTCCACTCTCTTTTGGGATCAAATTTTTTTTCTGGGTCTGCTAAATGTTGCACATAATTTGTACGACGGAACAAGTTCTCCTCCTGTGCACCTGCTCCTGATAAGTAACCTCCCCCTAAAAATGCAAACAAATAAAGAGAATAAGAAAGGCTATGTAAATATAGTGGATATAAAATATAGTGAGTGCACCAACATGTGTGTAGGATAAAAATACATTTCAATACATTTCAAAGAAACCTCCCCCTCTTGACAGAGGGAAACAGATTGTGAAAAAAACTAGGATTGTGTGTGGAGAGGGGGTAGGTGGTGTACTCTAAAGTGTGAATGATGGGGGTGAGTATCTCACCATTCATGGATCACTCTGTTGATTAGTCAATGTTTGCTGATGGCAATCAGAATTTGTATCCAACTGATACAAAACTGGTCAAAGGATTATTTGTTAATACAATGTATTTCGATATATATCATAAACATAGCCATTACTACACGAGACCTAGAAGTAATTTTTCCACTCACCCGGTCTTTTTGGTGAGGCCATGTTCAGGACAGCTGGGTTCAATCCCTTATTCTTCAAGCGGATGGCTTCCTCGAGACAATCTGCATTGACCACTATAACCTCGGTTTTAAAACAACTATCCTCATCTCCCTTTACATGTCTTCCTGGGGGTTCTTCATCAGTGTAAAGCGTAGTTTCTCTTGCATCTCTCGAGACACTTTCGTAATTTGAAAAAACGACCTCGGAGCCGTCTTCCAAAGTGTATTTGAAGTTTTCACATGCTTTGAGGGTTTGTTGCATTATTTCCGATCTAAGTTCTCTAAAATTTTTGGAAGATCGGAATTCTGAAAGCCATGCCTTGTGGTCAAAAATAACTCCACCTGCTCGCTTTGAGGCCATGTCGATATGATGATGATGAGTTCTGTTTATAGCTGATGCAGTTTTTGTATTTATATACAATATATGCTTCTTAGTTGCATTTTGTCCTTTCTTGCCTGTGCAATCGTAGACGTCCTAATCAACCAGGCGTTCCATGCATTTTGATCAGCGGGTTAGCTTATTAGACCCAGGACTCCCAAGAAGCAAGTCGCACAGACGTTGGTGGCCATTTTGAGCAGAAACCTCTTCCTTCAATCTCAACATGGTAAAGTAAACCGTGTCCGTGGCGTGGATCGTTGGTTTTACTGCATAAATTCTTGAAAATATCTGTTCTGATTTGATATTTTTTTACATCAGGGTAAAATGAAGAAGACGAAGAAGTTTGCTGCGGTGAAACGAATGATTTCACCGAAGGATATGAGAATGTAATTATCTACGCCATGTGTGTTTCAACTCTGTTTCATGGGACGATATCTGTGCTTACAGTTTCTATGCTGAGTATCAACTCATGATTAACTTGGATTTGATATCATCTTTGTCCTAGAAAAGAAAATCAAGAAAAAGAAATAGCGAAAAGGAAGAAGAAAGAAGACGAGCAAACTCGCCACGTGTATGTAGATTATATATCAGAAGTAAATGATCTGTTTGAATTCAGGTGTTACATTCAGTCCTAAAGTTTGCTTTCTTGTTCGAGGGAAGTCCCGAGAAAAACTGTGGTCTGTGACAGAGACTGATTTTTAGACATAGTTAGTCGAGTGGATGACATCGTCAGAATCTTCATTCAAACAGCTGTTCACTCCACAGTTAGTTGTTTTGTCTGAACAACACTAACCTTGAAATGAACTGCGCGTCACCGTATGATTTACCGTAGTCAAAAAGTCAGGCACTGTTCCCAATAGCAATCTCTTTAAGGACTGCCTTACATATAGCTATAGGGTCTAGGTATTAGTTTCTTATAATTATATTTTAATCTTTGATTTGTTTGTTGACCCTTTACACCCAAATATCAGTACGCATATTCTCCATACTGCTTTTATACATTTTCTAAGGTGCTAATAAGAAGAATTTTGTATCATTGGTGATAGTTTCAGTTATTCTCATGAACCTGAAGGTATGATTCAGGGGTGATCTTTTAAGGATAAATTAGATGCCAATCCCTCTTATACCATTTCATGAACATTGATATGGATCAATCAATTAGTAGAATGCAATTTACAGTAGGTTTTTTTTCTTCCTTTCTGTGACAGGGAACAATCATCATCTGCCTTGTTCTTTCAATACAACACTCAACTTGGACCTCCATATTATATACTGGTGGACACTAATTTTATAAACTTCTCCATAAAGAATAAACTGGAGATTGTGAAGTCTATGATGGATTGTCTATATGCAAAATGTAAGTCAACAGTCCCTTCATTCCTTGAATGGGAACAATAGAAAAGGAACAATGTTTTCTTGTCCATGAAAAAAAAAACAAAAAACAAAACACTATAGTCCCTCTGCTGTAGAAGCAAAAGGAATAGAAAATATAGATCAAGATTACTGTTGGTGAAGGTAATCAACTTCTAGCATCAGTTTGAAAGGGTTGAAAAGTGAAAAGGATGGGTAGGAACCACTACTGTATTGGTTCCTTTTCTTGGATTCTGCTATTAGCAGCTTGGAGCCTCTAGCTTTTAGCAGAGATTTCATTTTTTGTCAGGTTTCAGTCAAAGCAAATGCTGTGTGTTAGAAGACAGTCTAAATTTGTTAATACAGCTTTACTGCTTTTATATTTCACTTTTCATCATTGTTTGATTTTGGTAAAGAAGAGTTCTGCAAATTTTGGAAGCTATATGTATGTAACAAAAGGTTTGTAAGCTGGACATGAAGGGAAAAAAATGAAATTCCATACTATAAAATGAACTTACAAAACGTGTGTGGCTGTACATTGTATAAGGACAATGATGATGATTTGCACTGGGTTATGAGTTAATGATTCCTTTGCATCACTGAATTGATTGATGTACTTGTACATGTGCAGTTTTCAAATGTATCTCGTTTTCCTCTTTGATTGTAAATAACATGCTCTTATATCATACCTGTTCAATTGTGTCAGAGAGAAACACTGTACATGTATATCCACCATTTATTTGACTTTGTACATTTTCTCCCACAGCATATTGGAATGTTATGATATAGATCATATTTTTTAAATTTTATTCAGGTGTTCCATGCATTACTGACTGTGTAATGGCAGAGTTAGAAAAACTGGGTCCAAAGTATAGAGTGGCACTTAGGTAAAGTTACATTGTTTCTGACATCTACATGAATGTTGTTGTTTCATAATCCATGAGTAATCCCCCCCCTTTTCAGCAATATCATATGCATGAGTCGAAAAAAGACTTGGTGAAAGACAACAAAATGGATGTAAGTGGGTTTTTTCGAAATCTGGGAGTGAGGTGCACAAAGAGTAATCCTGTGTGTTGCACTAAGATCAAATTTTTCTTGCTGATTTGTTTTTATCACTTGTGCGACAGACTTTGCCAAAAAGGGGATTGCCCATAGTTTAGTGGTCTCATGCACACTGTTGTATTCTTTCTGTAACTCTTAAGCTTTTTATTTTAAAAAATAAATTCAAGGAAGAACTCACTGTCATTCCAACAACAACACCCAGTATTCCATTTCAAAGTTCAATCTGTAATTCCAATTCCAGGAAGAAAAAAAGTGATATATGAAAAGTTGTCACATCTGTTGTGCAAAGATGCCAACAGTTTCAAAGAAAACAATATGTAATACCAAATAGTATGTGCTATACATGTATACGTGTCTTTACCCTGGCAATTATAAGAATATTATTTGTGCTTCTATCCAGGCAACTGAAAAATAAAAAATGACTTTTGTTTTCCCCAGAATGGCCAAGGATCCTCGTTTTGAACACTTGCCTTGTATGCACAAAGGAACTTATGCTGATAACTGCATAGTAAACAGAATACAACAGGTAAGGTTACTTATTCTTTTTTTTGTCTTAATCTCAACATATCTTGGACTTGTTTTCTTTTTCAAGGTTGTATTTCTTATGAAAAGGTAGTTTTTGGTCTTCTATTGTTACTTCCTGTGGCAAAGACTTGACCATCTTAGGATGTCATTTTGGAAAGTTAGTCAATATTGGTAATAATGATGATTTGCACTGGGTTATGAATAGAATGATTCCCTCTGCATCACTGAATTACCATGGAGAAGCATCATTTTCAAGTTAATATGTACTTGCTGAACATCATGTATTTGCATTATGTGTTAGCTTAATAATGAAGTCTGTCTAAGGGTCCTTAATTGCTTGTACAGGGTGTACATTTAGACAATGATTTAACCTTTTGTCTACCAAGATGTACATGTGTGTTGTAAATATCAATCCTCTGTCCTCTCTTGGAAATTTTCATTCTGATAGTTAGTTGAATCTTTCTTGCCAATATATTTAGATATAATGCAATCCTGTGGAGAAATTCCTTTTTGATCACTCACAGAAGTAAAGTGCCTTATTTCAAGCTTCTTTATTTCAGTATTATGCCTGTAACTGAATACCTGAAATTTTAAAACAAGCCTGCACTCAATTTATATCAATTTCTCTCAGAGCATGTGTATTTAGTATCTTTTGAAACATGATATAATTACTGTTACGATAGGATTATTGAGGAAAGACTCGATTAGGTCTACTAAAAATTCACATTTGCTGGAGGATACTTAATGTAAATTGCCCATTCCATTACATCAAAATTTTTTTTAGCACAAGTGTTACATTGTGGCCACATGTGACAGAGATCTGAAAAGAAGGATACGCAAGGTTCCAGGAGTCCCCATCATGTACATTTCTCAACACAAGTTAGTCAAATTGTTTTTTCGAATATTAATTGCATGTAATTTTTCTTGGTACTTCTTGTACATGCTATAAATGCCTTGTGATAGAAGATTGCAGAATGAGATTGCAGAATGCTAACCTATGGGGGAGAGAAAGTTGGAGAGTTTGCAGCTTTTAGATTGTAAGATGAATGTGCTTGCATCATGCTCATTTGGACATCTTGTGCACATTGTGCCTGTATGTTATTTTATCTTAAAACCAACATTCACATGTGAGTAAAAAAAACCGAGGGGAGGGTTGTAACAAAGATAGAAAATATATGGGCAGCGTTTGCACAGTACGTGGAGAGTTAGTGTCACAGCTCCCCTAACTGTGAGATTTAATCTAATTTTGTTCAATTTTAGGTACACAATTGAAAGAATGCCTGATGCATATGGAGGTAACATTTTTTTCTTATGATCCTTTAATGCCGTCCCTAGGTGTCTCTTACCAAATGTGATAGGTTGAACGTTTTACAAAATATGTAACTTGGGAGCTCTGCCCTCTGATCAATTTGAAAGGGATTATTCACGTTGAAATTTTTAAGAACTTATTTGTAGTTAGGGCACAGGATAGATAGTTTGTTAGGCTGGAGCTCATCAACATTTTCTTCTTCCTTTTCAGCACCAAGAGTATAGGCAGACAGGGTGTTTTGAGTACATTCTCGTGTGGTCTACGAGATGTCACCTTCGGAAAAGTCGGAAGATGTGTGCATTCTGACGATGTGAAGCTATGTGTGAAGGAATAGAGTTAAGGACACTCACCTACATGTCTGCTATGTTCAACCAGCTATAAATAATATTGGAGAACCTTAAGTTTGTCTTAAAGAATCGTGCACCATACAATTTGGAAGAGTCTGGTTATCTTCAATCTCTCTTTTTGGGAACATTCATGGCACCCTATTGTCAGCGAATGAAATTAAAATGGTTATTGGTAACTTAGCATGTTTTCTTTTGTGAAAGATTCATTCATTTAACTTCTTCTGTGACCAGCTGAAGTTATAGCAATCTCAGAACTCACTTTATTGACTGTACAGATGTAAAACAAAGCCATTGTTGTTGGTTACTTTTGAACGAAGAAAGTAAAATTTCAATAAAAGACCTAATTAAAAGAACTTTAGTTTTCTGGCAAAAAGATTGCAAAAAAGTAGAAATGAATATGAGATGCTGAAGATCTAATAAAAACAATACAACATTAAAAGGTAAATTTGATTAAAGAGAAAGTAATAAAAACTGGACTTGTCCTATTATAATTCTGTGTATCTAAAACCCCCAAAAAACCTTTTTTTTTTCGTTATTAAAAAGATCATACCTTGAAAACTATATTTCCATTTTGAGTGCACTTTTGTTCATCAGTAAGTCATGCATTTTGGTAGGGTCTTTTTTTAATTCAAAAGAAGTGGCTCATTATTTACTGCGTTTATTGATATTGGTCATCAAAAGAAACCGAATTTGGAAAAGGATCGTGAAAAATTAAGACATACCGATATGTTCCCGTGTTCTCCATATTTCGGAACTTATAAATAGATTTGTCTTTTTGTGCTCGAGGCTTGAATTTGGCGCCAAAGCAGCGCGCGCTTTTTCACGCGTGATTACCAAGCAGCGTCATGATTGGAGATTTTCCGTTTCCATAGCAACTCCAACTGTCCAGCGCAGATGTCAAGTTTGAACAGCACATCTTCCTAGGAGACACGAAGACAAAAGAACAACAAAAGTATACGCGGAAAAATGTCGGCAGCTGGATTAAAAGCACTTTCTGAGTCTCCAACTGACAGTTTTAAAGATAGTGATCAATTTAGCATCAAGGTTAAACCTAAATGCAATTTAATTTAGCGTATTTTTAGAGGGAAATTTTATTAACTCAGATCCATGTGTATTGCTGCGTTTTCATTCAGGCTGATGTATTGACAGAAGAAAACGAAGATGAAGAAGCGGTTGAGGCGAGCGAAGGCAATAATGGATTTTTCATAAAACACGGAACTTTTATGGGAACAGAAAATGAACAAATGGCCTCGCAAGCCTCAGATATGGCTTCCAGTGACAGTGACTACGACACAGACCTCGAAACGGAAGGTAACCGGGAAAAAAAAAGTCAACATTTTGATATGAAGATGAAGGTCTTATCGTCCCTGCTCTTTAATCATAATTTCGCTCTCTTAATTGACAGCTCATGCGTAAACAGTATGTCTGTTTATTATTTCTGATTGGGGAGAAGTTTCACATTGAGGTTCAATTTCTGTTTTGATTCTCTTAGCTTTTTAATAACAGATTTTTAATATTTTAAATTGATGGCAAATGAACTTGAAAGGATTTGATTTGCATAAAGTAGAAATTACGAAAGGTCACCGTTGTCAGTAAGAAACGAAAAAATGTCATTTGCGGTTGTATCACAAAAAATCCGGATGTTTTGGACGAGAAAACATTAAATTTAACACAATTTGAATTTTGATTACGGTAGTTCTGACTGGAAGAAATATTCTAAACATGCTTAAGAAATAATTTGTCCCTCTTCAGTCATTAAAAATTTCCCCGTCGCTCATTTCAAATTAATTTGCTTGAGAGAGAAGAAACAAGATATACACACTAAAATTACATTAAAGCAGAATAACTTTGGAGGTGGCAAATATCACGAAAACCTTAGACAAATAAGGGAGAAAATGCAAAACTAATTTGCATTTGTAAACACTCGAATCTTGCGCCTAATTTAAGGATTCGTTTAAAAAACAAATCCTTTCAAATTTATTCTCTCTAGCAAAATATCCGTATCTAAAGTAAATTTGCATAATGCTACATTCGCAACTAGCAAAATATCTTCTTTAGCGATCTGGTTTTAGAAAGTCTCTGTAAATGGTTTTATTTGATAGGGAATAGTTTCTCTTCTGTAAAGTTATGACTTGCTTTTTGTAAAAACGATTTGCTCCATTTTGATGTAAACATACGCTCTTTCTCGCGGCCTATTTTCCCTTCCTAACGTCATCCTGGAAAAAGAAAGTTAAAAAAGCCGCGAAACCGAAAAGAAATGTAGCTTTATGTAAGAAGCAGCTGAAGTGTAATCCATCTTCGGCTGTCTCTTACAGTTTTTTCAGGCACAAAATAGATAATTATCCAGTGAGCGCATTACACAGACTCGGTTAGAGTGTTCCGCTGTCAAGTTCCGAACAGTAGATATGAAAGTTCCCGAACCTTACTCTGAAAAAAAAACAAAACAAAACAAAACAGCAAATAATAAAGAAAAAAATAGAGATCAAGATTTTGTTTACGCAAGCTGCGTAAAAACTCTCCCTCAAGAGATATCAGACCTTAAACGGCAAGTAGTCGTGTTTTGACTTTTTTTGACTCCAGATGTTCATTTCAATCGCATGTAGAATCCTTAGCGGCCGTCAGCCACTAGATTTAATTTTTAAGGCCCTAAGGCGAGACATCAATTCCGTGTAATAGTTGGAAATTTCATCGCCCTTGACCGACTATAATCAACCCTCCATGGCCAGTAGTGAGTCTGCACAACAACCTCTGGTCAGTGTTTTCAAATTTGACACAGTACGTATTTTTGAAACTTTACAGAGCAATCAGAGAAGTTCGATACCACCGGCAAAAAGGTCTACCTTGCTGCCTGTAAGTGTTTGGATATAACACCTGTTTCCTTTTTCCTGAAAAATATCCAAGAGAAACGACTCAATTTTAGGCATCGTTTATTGGGAGCCAAAGGAGGACAAGCCCTTGCACTCGCTCTAGAGGTAAAGTATTTAACGTACCGTACTCTTGCGCTTCTTCATCTCAAAACTTTGCTTTTTTTTTTCTTATCAAAGATGTTCGATGGCTTGTCGCTGGAATTACACCCCCTTCACGCAGCGCTTTTAAACATGCTCTTAAATTCTAAAACGAAAATCTATCAGTTCCAAAAGGGAAATTCATGAACTCCTTTTTACGGCTTTTTGCTCAAAATCTTAGCATACATTGAGTAGGGGAAATCTATAGCATGCATGATATTTACCCTCTCTGGTAGAGAACAATCTGTCTGTTACAGAAACATTCGTCTTTCGTAAAGTACTTTTTTTGTTTCTGAGAGAATAAATTGCTTGCAATCCCAAAGGTACTTATCGCCACAGTATCGATATAGTTTTGGATGTGCTAAAAATTGGATGACTATAATCACCAGGAACCCCTCACTGGGCTGTCTCACGGTCGGTTATAATTTGTACTCACAAATGCCGCACTGTCCTGTCTGTATCCTGATTTCGCAGTATGTGTTTCCTCGTAACAATGAGAAATGGACTCATACAGGTGTTTGGCCGATTATAACTTCTGATCATTTCATGCCTGTTCCTTTTATGTAGCTCAACACAACCTTAGCCAGTTTGGACCTCCACGAAAACTACTTGGAAGGGGAGGGTGGAGCGGCTATCGCAGCAATGCTCAAAGAAAACTGCTACATCACAGAACTGGTAAGTATATAGATAGGGTGATCGCATAAGGATATCGGCCTAGCTCACTTTATCAAACTGAAAAATTAAAACTGTCTCGCTCTACTCCTCATCCAATCAGTGCGTGTTTTTTATTCCCTTCATTTTCTATATTTCCTTTTTTGGTTAAATGGAGGATAGGGGAGCATTTAATTATAGATGGGGCCTGTTTAAACAATGGCAAGGCCAGACCGCAAAACCGGGGCTTGAACCTTCAATTCTGGTGCTCTATGAATGATATGTGTAATGGCGAAAAGGGAATGTGAAATGTTTCTTTTGTGTATTAGCACAGCGGCGAACATTACAAGGCTTTTTTGATTAATCTAACAAATAAAGATCCATAAATGCCGCGTGTAGACAAAATTGAACCTAAAATAAAGTAAATGTTTGTATTAAAAATGCGTCCTAAGAGGTAAAAATGCGTGATATCTGGCGTATAATATTGTCCCAATGCACACACTTAAAAGCTTCTTTGAGAAGTGTCCGAATTGTCGTGTTTAACGAGCCCATCTGCCATTAAGAGATATGCTAATATTCCTCATTTATATCGCTTCTCTTAGTTCTTTGTAGGATTTATTTCCTTCATTCTTGACAGGAAACGTTCCATTGCACTCACAGTCAGACAAACTTCCTCACCCTCCTCCCCCCCTTCAACACGGTATTAAAGACTCTCTATAACGAAAATTTATGCCAATAATAATATCACTATTTGGAAGGCTGGAACAGGAATGTCAGGCAAATCAGTGAGTGTATTTTTGCATTCACGGCTTCAATATTATGTTCAAATATGACCGGAATGTTAATTTCCACCAGAAGTCCGAATATTTCTGGTGTAAGAAACTTCTATTTCAGGGTCCCGGAGTAAACGATAAAACTTGATTGGTTCCCCGTTTGCGTTGCGTGGTCGGAAGCTCTTTTTACAGAAGTCCAAGTGGCAAAACCACTTGACCATGGTGATCCCAACGTTTTGACGCTACTTTTTTACGTGGCCGCCATGTTTGTTCAGCTGTCCCCTCGAGGCGCTGAGCTAGAACCCAGACCTCCCGGTATAAATGTTCCTTATTGGTTGATTGAGTTGATTAAGTGATTACTAAAGTGATTAACCCCCAACTCTCTCGATGGGTAAGGTTCATATGATCCATTTGCTGATTGATCGATTAATTGATTTATTGACTCAGAAACTGATCGTGCGATTTACTGACTGACTGACAAATCCGTTTACTGGTTGATTAATTGATTGATTGACTAATTTAGAGATTTATTTAGTTATCAGTTAGCTAACTAATCAAACGACTGATTGATGTTTCTATTCATTTATGTCAAATTAAAGGATATATCTTCAAACAAGCTTGGTGCTCATGGCTGCATGTCGATGTGTGATATGCTACAGAATAACGTCAGCTTACTCAAAATTGACCTATCAGACAACGGTTTTAGTGACAAGGATACTGTTTCTTTGCTTGACGCTTTCAAGGTAAGCTGAAAACTCTTTAATAATGTATCCAAAAGAAATTAATGCAAGACCTGCCAAAAGCATAGCAGTAGTCGGGCTTTCTTTTCGCCAGTAATTGAACCATCAGTTTTAATTCAATCATTGTTTTTATCCCAGGGAAACGACAAGGTCGCCTGGATGAACCTGAGTCACAACAAGTTCTCGGAGAGGTCTGGGGAAAATCTGGGTCTAGGAATAAGTATGAACCACAGTTACGCAGCTATTCCATATTTACTTTTTTCTAACAACTTCTTGCGATAATATTGTTTTCCTTTAGGGTTAATGATATTCCCTTATTGGCTAAAAAAAGCAAAGAAGTCTTCTCTTCAATTTCACCTAGAACGCCTTTAGGTGAAAAAATTGCCTTGATAGACTTAGACAAAACGTCGCAAAAAATTAGTAACTTCGATGAACTTAGGATTTTTCGTATTCTCTTATCCTAAATCGTGAGTTGTTTCAACATAGATATAGAGTGAGATCTATATCAGCACAGTAATACAGTTTTTAAAAGAATACTCGCGGTACTCAACTGAGCGTATGACATGGTGGCCTAATGGCTAATTGACTCTTAGTTACTGATTATGGGACAAAAAAATAAACTATGCGTATTTAAATTCTGGCTCCGTCACTCTGTTGTGTTCAAAGCTAATCTTGGCAGCCTAGTCTTCGCAACCCAATAAGGTCTAATACAAGAATCCTAGCTAATTTTCAATGCAATGATATTCGCATAATGGCATCAATTTTTTTTGTTATAAACGATAAATCAAGAACGAAAGAGGGAGAAGACTTAGTGGAAAAGTTAAAAAGAAAAAGAGAAGACTTCTATAAAAATATAAATTACTGTACCTAAGAGATTTTAGTTTTGGAATGATCTCATGCATGTCAAGAAAATAATTTCTCTCTCAAATATCTTAAAAAGTGATTTTTTATCTTAAATTTGATTGATGGGGGAAATCCAACCAAAGGCAATGGCTAACCCTTCGATGCCAGAACTGACATCCTATCAAGGGTGGAGTAGCATTACTCCTAGTCGGGTCATACCGTGATTGCGCAGTATTTCAACTTTACAGCTTGTGATTTTACTTACCCCTCAAGCATATTTCACTTTTTCCTTTAGGTTTTAACGACGCGATGGAATATCTCGACTTAAGTTGGAACCACATTCGACGTAAGGGCGCCGTTGAAATCGCGAATGGGCTCCGGGTAAGAATGAGTTTTTGGCGAAAACAACACTGACGAGAACGAGGATGAAAATGAATATTTTGCACTCACTAGTACTGTCACGGGCTTTTTTTCAGACGAATTGCACTCTAAAAACATTGAATTTATCGTATAATGGTTTTTCCAATGATGGAGCTGTTGCTTTGGGTGAAGCATTAAGAGCGAATAATACGCTGATTGAGTTGGACATCAGGTAGGTGAATGTAACTTTTACAGCCAGTGATTCAGGAAAATTAAGAGCCGACTGAGATTGAACTTAATGGATCGTTTGGCAATGAAGCTCCAGGCATCATAATCTTGTCAACTTTTACTTAACTTGTTACACTTAGTTGAAATGTATTTATACAATTATAATCAGGTTAGATAAGAATTTTAGACTCATAATTGTGAAATTTCAAGTTTTTTTTAAATATGAATTTAAAGATATAAAGTAAGGCGCAATTGAAAGAAACTGAGCGCCATTTGTCTTAATCATTTATGTCTGTTTCGCATGTGCTATGTGACAGTTCTACTATTGTCGTTAACTAGCAATAACCGAATTACAAACCAAGGTGCTTTGTGCATTGCTAAGGGACTGGAAGGAAACAACACTGTAGAGATATTAAAGGTAATTTACCTCAATTCAAATTAATTACATACTTATCTGGGCGGATCCAGGATTTACTGAAGGGGGATTCGGATAAACATCTGCTGAAAGCAGACTATCCAAGAAGGTCGAGAGACATGCCCCTCCGGGAAAACTTTGGCAACTAGTCCTCGGAAAGGTGATCTCCAAGCGTTTTGACGTATAATTATGGGCTGTTTCCTACCTTTGAACACAATTTATGTTTTGGACTCTTTCAAACATCTACTATTTCCGCCAACTCTTTCCTCAGAAACCGCACGTGTTGAAACGTATAGGGGGTTCGGCAGAACCATCCGAATCAATCTTAGATCCGCCCCAGCAGATGTCAACTTTTTCTTGAATTAGTTACTTTATTTTTGACAGTTCCAGGTCGTTTTCTGTCATCTACGTTTACTTAACTTTACCTCCCCAACAGCCTCGTGCATGGGCCCATCACTTGAATAAATTTCCTTTTCGTTCCCCTCGGGAAGAATGGTAGAACAAAAAGCGGCTCCAAACAAAACTAGCATAAAAAGTTGAAGATGAGGCTGCCGTCCATCTATAATTGGGCATCCTTTCGCACCCACTAAGGGGTAACTCTAGAAACGCCAGCCTTTCAAACTCTACCGTTACGGTTTTTCAGTACCCCTATAAACTTGCATTTTATAATCGTCTAATTTTCTAGCTGGAAATGAATCGTCACTCTCCAAAGAATTTTGAAGATCATGCCCTTTGGTCGCTTAAGGTCTTTAACACAGACTTTGATCCGTTGTCCTATCTTCCACATAACATTTTAAATGCTTCTTTGATGGTTACTGTCTATAATAGTTCCTTAAAGCATAAAATACTGGCTCTGAACTTAAAAGTATTTATTAAAATTTATGGGAGTATTATATCAAAAAGTATTCAACCGAAATAAGCAACGTGCAAAGCTAAAGCAAGAATGGAGACCTCTCAGCTTATTCCGGAGGGCTCGTTTACAAGTCAGTTCTCTGCTTCCCAATTTATTTTCTACAGATTGGTGGCAACCCCATCGGAGCTTCGGGCGCCATGGCTATAACATCAGCTGCGAAAAATTATTCCGACAGTGCTTTGACTGAGCTGCATTTTAAGGTGCTCAAGGTTTCAGATTTTTTAATAAAAATTCCAAAAGTGGAAAGCCACTACATTCGCTATTATAGCGAAGTACTGTTTGTTTACTGCGTACGACTGAGAACTATGAGGTTTAAATTTTATGACAAGTAAGTGTGTGCATATAGAGCACGTAAAGTAATAGTTAATTTAAAATTGGATTCCTTTTTCTATTTGAAGAATTCATTTCTTAATCATAGATGACTTAGTTTAATGAGCTCTGATTTCCACTTGGGAATAATCTTTGCTCACAGAGTTTACATACTTTGTATCTCACCTTAACCCCAATATATTACAAAAGTTCCCTTCATGTGAAAGAAAGTAGTTTCTAGAAATATAGTGGAAAGGAAAAACCCAAAAAGTGGGTCATAGTTTGAGGAAGACCACGACTCCTTGTGTCTTTTTCAGGACATATATCTCGATGAGGATTTCGATAAGCTTATGGCGGAGATTCGCGAAGTGAAGCCTGATATTCGAATCATAGCAAACTTACGGCCTGGTGTCAAGGATCCTCTCAGTGTTGTAAGAACCTTTGTCTCAAATAATCAGGATCAATGGCTTGAAATCTGTCAGCAGTTTGACTCGGAAAGCACGTTCAAGATTACGAGGACTGACTTTGTCAAGTGCCTAAAGGTAAGCATGCATTGAAAAGATGATTGATTATTGAGCTAGCACTTCTGTGGTAAAATTACCGGAAACATTTTGTTATTTTAGTTCATGAGAAGCATTTTTTAACGTGCGCGATATAAAAGTTACCAAACATTTAAACTTCGAGCGCTGTTCGAAACTGAAGAAGCTAACTGGCTTTTCAGATTGTCATAATGGCTCACAATGTGAAACCTCTTTGTGCGTTTATGACTTCCTAAAACCTTTCCTAACGTGTCATGACATGTCGTGATAGTTTTACTTGGTAATTAGCTTAAGCTCTTATTTTCAACGCTTTGAAAGCTTACTTCGATGCATTTTTATTGCTCCTTGTCTATTCCGAAAAATAGGGTATGTCCTGATATCGATGCAGACTACTCAGTATGAATGTTACCAAGTTTAGAGCTGTTTTGAGATGGTTTGACTGCACTTGATAATTATGAGATGAACCGGAGATAATCCATGAGCACTTCTTTGATTTATCTTTTATTCTGTCACTGCTACGTGCGTAAATTTGCTGTAAAATTACTCTCATCGTTCTCCAGCCCTTATTTAGGCTGAAAGTGGAATCTGTATTCTCTCTTTCTAGAAGGCTGGTTTTGAATTCGGAATGTGGCAAACCGCCCGACTACTCGCACAGCTTGACCCCGAGAAATGCAGTTTTATAAACTACTCGTGAGTATAATTTGGCACATTATAATACATTCTACCAGCTTTTCGTGTCCTTGAAAATCAGCTGTGGGTAATTCAAAACCGCTATTCAAGTTTAACGAGTTCATCTCCTCAGTAGGTCAGTAGGTCAGTCTTGATACCGACTGACTGGCTCTAATCTTTTCTGTTCCACTCCCTTTTTTAAGGTGCTTTTATATAGGCTCCTCCAATGGGTCAAAGCTACGTTTTGACTGGCAAAAGCCTTTTTATAAGCAAGGGACCTATTTTACGATGCTTCATATGTTGCTGTAATATCTAAAGACTATACCCTCTTAATAACAATTGCATAACAAATCATTACTCCTTCAAATTAATAACTGAAGTTTCCCTGCATGGGAAAGTGGTTGACTGTAATCATATCATGAATCAAGAAGAGAGGTGACCTCTCTGTGGCGGGAATGTAATCTATAAAAATTGCAATATTTTACTTTCCCGCATTGCAGGAGTAAGAGGCTAGGATATAAAGAATTACGCCTACAGGAGCTAAAGAGCTGATAGAAAGTGCAAGTTTGTCAAAATAGCACAGATTAATGTAGCTTAATTACAAAGTTAGATATCATGTTGGTTATCGATTATGACTTTGCGGAATGCAAAACTATTTTGTTGATTAAGCGAGATTATTACATACCCTTAGCGTAGTTGGTAAAAACAAGAAATAATTATAATAAAAAATGATTTCATAAATAAATGAACAAATAAATGAGAAGGTAAACTTCTTTTCCGTTATTTTTATTCCAAAGTTTGAGGCTTTCCTCCAGGTACCAGATTCCTAAGACGGTAGGGAACGTTGTTCTTCGAGATGGCTTCTGCTCTTGAATACTTTTGTTAGCTCTGTGTCTGGAAAAGAACCTCTTAAATTTACTTCGGTAAGAGATTCAAGAGAAAAAATTATGGACTAAACACCACTGACGAACAAAGGAGCGTTGGAATTATCTATTTTGGGCATTTATGACCTCCATTTCCGTTAACGCACGTTCTCTGCCCATAACATTTGTGGTCGCTTAAACGTTCAGTTTTGGGGAACATGGAGCTAAGCGAATTGCGTGCAGTCGGAGGGCCATCTACTGAGTCACGTACGCCGTGCTTGATCTAACTACTGGCCTGCATTCCCCGAACAACACAACAGATTATTAGAAGATCATGTCATTTCCGAGGAATCAAGTCGGATATCGTTTCTAGAACTTCATTGTATTTATTAACCCCTTATTAACTGCATGGCCACATAAAAAAAGGGCCAGCAACGGTGTGACAATATCTAAAGACTGTGTAACAGGAGAGTGGTACATAAAATCGGCATCGTAAAGATGAGTCGCCGTTGGTACACAGTGTTCACTACGTCTAGCAGCAACGACATTAACATAGCTCTTGGTCAGCTAGGAAGCTCCAAAAACACGCCGAAGGGCAATTGCAACTGTTTACAAAAAACACATTTAATATTCCTGACTCGTGCCGACGTCTTTGTTCTAGAGTTTCAAAACAGTGAACACCAGAGTGACTTGTGTAAATATGACGGCGTCTTGCAAAAAGACCCCCTGTCTTCTTTTTGTTTTTACAGTCATGTATGAATTCAGTCACACAAATACTGTTTACATGCATGGAAAGGTTTAAAATTTCTGGCACGTCACTTATTAGAGATATCTGCATGCCATAGCACAGTGCTCTAAAACATTCAGAGAGCTAAAGCTGCCTGTTTTCGAATGATATGGCACTGGCAACTTCGAGAACTGGTAGATCTTCCAGTTTTGAAGACTGGCAGGCTGCAAAGAGAACCATTCGCGAAAGAACATCATTGATGATAAATAACCCTCTGATGAGCGATGTCAAATTTGCAGTTCCTCTCGATCCAGGATCGAGTACTAGCAATGGCAGCCAATTAATCTACGCTCACAAGCTTCTTTTATCCCTTAGCAGCCCTGTATTTCATGCCATGTTTTACGGCAACATGGCAGATACCAGGGAAATAATTCCACTTTCTGACTGTCATTCTCGTAGTATGATAGAGTTCATTCGTTATTTATATTCGGATGTAGTGCACTTGACCTCTGGGAATGTATTCGAATTACTGTATTTGGCAAAGAAGTACATTGTTCCTTTCCTGGCGGAGATCTGTTGTCGTTTCTTGGAAGCGGAATTGAGAGAAACCAACGTCTTTAAAATCTTGGAGCACGCGAGGCTGTTTTCTGAGCCTGACCTTGAGCAACGCTGCTGGCAGATTTTGGACGCTAAAACAACCGCTTGCCTTCAGAGTGAAGGGCTTCTTTGGATCAGTCGCGACACTCTGTCGTCGCTTCTCAAGAGAGATACCCTTTCTTTGGTGGACGGAGAGTGCGCTATCTTTAAAGCTACGAGGAGATGGGCGGCTGCCAACTGCAAGTTGCGGAATTTTAAACCCACAGGCGATAAGTTGAGAGGTGCTCTTAAAGAAGTGTTATACTTGATACGCTTTCCTATGATACCTCCTAAATTATTTGAGGATATTGTTGTACCATCAGGTATTCTCACCGAGGAAGAAATATCACAAGTACACATGTTCCACAAACAGGGCGCCCCCACCACTGCTTGCCACTTCAAATTTTCATGCAAGCCTCGCGGCCTCCAGATTCAATCGGGAAGCTCAGACGCCCAGCTGTGTCGTTGCTATCGGTACAGAGAAAATCAAGCATTTCCAAGTTCCGAAAATTTTAGCTCAGTTTCTGAAAGCTTGAGATTTTCAACGAACAGAGAAGTGTACTTTGCTGGGGTTCGTCTTTACGCCCACAAAGACGAAGACAGACAGTACTCGGTTCAGCTCAGAGTTTCCGGATGTCACGGATTGAAAGACGAAGTTTCCGCTGCGCGTGGAACTTACACAGTTGGTAGCCTTGCGGGACAGGCACACAGTAGGCTTGGGTTTGACGTATTAGTTCCGAATCCATTTCTGATAGCAAGAGAAGCACAGTTCACTGTGAGAATTTCAATATCAGGAAATGATGAAGCAAAAGTATCTCCAAATAAAGGTATTCCTATGACTTTTGTGAAATGTGAAGGGATCGAGTTTAGATTCGAGGGAAAATCAAGGCAGATATTAGAAATACTGTTCTATACTGTTGATTAATAAACAGTCGATGATCATTACGTATTAGGTTCATGTAAAGAAGATAGCTTTTTACTCTGAAGGACTGAACAAACTTGATGGATTTATTTTTACTCCTGTGTAGAAAAAGTGATTGTAATAGCTCATTATCAGGTAAAATATAATTTTGGGTGTCTCATGGAAGCTAAAATTCAAGGAATTTTGGGATCAAGTGGACAGACGACCATTCAATGCGAGTAGGCGTCTTTTGATATTCCCTTCTGAGGGATTTAATTATTTCAAGTCAGATAGTTAGCTGTAGTTTTGAATAAAATGAAAGGAAAATTTGGATTACAATGAATCCTGCATTTAGTGGACACCTGTGCGAGACCCTTGCTACGTCCGCCCAAGCTACAGGAGGGCCGTCTGATACTGGTTCCTGTAAATTGGGTAAAGATAAGAACCGAACCTTCCGTTCTGTTACAGCGTCGTAAATAATATCGGTTCTCTTAACAACTGTTACGAGCCTCTTTCTGCTTGCCTTGTACCGACGGGTTGTTTATCTAGAACTGAGAATACTACCAAGCAATCTCAGTGAAATTTTGCGGGAAGATCCGCGCGCAATAACGTAGTTTATGCCTGTCTAATGTTTCTTTTTTTTTCTGAGCAGCTATCGTTTTGGGCCACTAGGGTATTTTTGCAAAACAGTTTAGGTTTAAACGTTTTGGTTGCTTTTTTTTTCGTTCGTTTCTTAATTTTCCGAAAATTGATGAAATATTTTATCTCTTTTTATGGTATTACCAAGCAGACAAGTGAGAAGATACAGAAAAAAATCAAGCAGAAGATTGGTAGTTGATCCAGTATCACATTCTCCGAACTAACGCCATAAGAATTGTTTAGCATACAGCAAGGGAAATTACTAATGAGATTTTAAGATTGAATAAGAGTCACCCTTAGAAATTCATTGCGTCTCCCTCTCCAAAGCCGAATAGCCGTGCAAATGTACCAGCGAATTGCTTGTGAGCAACAACTTCCACAAATAATAGAATCGATTGCTTTTGTTTTTCTTAGGTTGGCACAGAAAGCCCCGCCATAGGGCAAACACTTGAATAAGTTGAGCAACTAGTGTAACCAATCGTCTTATTTCGTTTGAATGCGTTAGACTCTCGGTCAATGAAGCCGGTTGAAAGATATAACTAAAAGGGTAATAAGTTGCTCTCTAAGAGACACCTCCCATTCTTTTTCACTCATTTCCTTAGACCGAGGCCTGGATTTACGGCCAGAACGGGAACGTGAATCCAATAATCTTGTGTAACGGTCAACGTTTAACTTTTTCAGTCTCGAAGAAATACTTGAACTATTAAAACCACTCCTGCTGTGAACAAAAGTTTATACATTATATTTCTGAATGTTGTACTTCTCAAAGACAACTAGCTTGAATCACCATTACATAACATCATCCTGCTACTTTTAGCCTATATTTATAATACAGTAATGGCTTCACTACACATGTAACACAATAAAATAGCGAAGAACGTTTTATGCGTTTTAAACAGGCTCAATCCACCTGTTCTTTAGAAGAAAAATAGAATACTTCACGAAAGTACTCAAAAGAGAGAAATTGAAAGCCCAGCCTTACTTCTGGGTGCTGCTATTCAAAGATAGATTTGGATCTCCTTTAAGTTAAATGCTTTTCAAATCTAAGTTTCAAAATAAAGCAATGTTTAAACAAAAAAAAAATTCTCGTAAAAGTTGACGAGAGATTCCTCAACAATTAAATACTCAGTTGGCCCCTTTGGCAGTAAGGCCTGACGGTAAGTTTTACAGTCGATCATATCTTAGTAACATCATCCTGAGCAACAGAGCAGAATGAATCTGCATTATTTCAAAAGTGATAAAATGGCGTTGCTTCCTGTCACTAAACTTTTTGCCGTAATTTCAAAATTTGTGTTTGCAGCTATGCCTTTAAGCTCTTCGTTTTGAATTTCGAGGTCACACCATTGTTGTGGTACATTGCTTCGCCCAGCACTCGAGCGCACATCTCTCTTTTTCAGCTACGCAAATCTGATGGCATACCTGGACCGAGGGATGGCATTTTAAGTGACATCCCAAGCCAAAACACTTTTGTATACATGTATCTGCATAGCATTCCAACAAGCCACAGTCGTTCCCTTCGCAAACCTGCGTACACTCACCGGAATGGCAAGACATCGTGTAACACTTTTGGCCAGTGCAAACCTGATTACATACTTCTGATCCCGTGCAGTTTAGCACACAAAAGCCATCACCGCATGTCTGATTGGAGACCCTCAACGGGCTAGAGGGTCTGTTTTCAAGGGAACAGCCTACACTTGAGCCACACTCTTGAACACAAGTATTGTCTTTGATTTCGTCGCAGGCAGTATTTGTTATCAGTCCAGGAGGCTCATACTGGAGAGAGTGTTTACAATGTCCACCGAAACACCTTGGGCTACAATTCTCACCCTCACACGATGTGACACAGCCTCCTCCAGCACAGGTCTGATAACATATTTTGGAGTTCGACGATAAGCAAGCCATCCTACAATTTCCTTCTCTACAAATTTGGGTACAAACTTTTGAATAGCACTCCATGTTACATCCTCCTGCGATGCATTCTTGGATACAAATTTCTGAAGTGCAAGTAACGAGTTGACAATGCCGTCCGACGCAGACCTGACTACATTTTTTGTTTGCGTTGCACCTCATATTGCAGTTGCCTCCATAGCATGCTTGGCTATGCATGGCAACATTAGTAACGTTCATCATATTGCAGTTCCCAGATGGGCAATGCTGGTAACAAATACTATGTCTTGGAAGAAACGCTCTATTGCAGCTTGAAACCACGGCCATCGCAGCCACATTTTCGGGCTCACTGTTATAAAGGCATTTGCTGTAGCGACAGGAGCGGGAACATTCTTTTCCTTGACATAGCATTAAACATCTCCCCGTGTCACACGACTGCTTGCAGTATTGCACTCCTGCTGGACAATGCATTTTACAATTTCCTCGACCGCATTTCTGAATACAACGCTTGACACCACTTGGACATTTCATCTCGCATCCACCTATATCACATTCTTGAATGCATTCTTCGGAATTGCACTCCATATTGCACCGTCCACGGATGCAATATTGGTTGCATTTCCTGGCGTTGCACTGAAGGGACTGGCAGTAGCCAGCCACACATTGCTGCTTGCATTCGCCTGGGGAAGAACATGTAAGATTGAAGGCTCCTGCGTTACCCATCTGATGGCAGTTCCTGAATTTATCACCACTTACAGAACAGGTCAAATTTCGCCTTCTTGCGATAGAATACTGATAACACGTCTTGTTTTGCCTCAAAACGCATCGTGTATTCGCACTCTCGGCTGAAATTTTGCTGTTCACCATGATGGAAATAAGCACACTAAGAAATAGCAGAACAAATGGCACTCGCGTATGGTCCATTGTCACCAGGGTCCTAAAACATAAAATAATAGGTGATGACTTTAGGAAGGGCACATAATCAAGGGACGATGTAACCGAATTAGTTAAGCTAAGGAAGAGAGAGAATAATTCTTTTGTGGGTTAGGCACTTGGACGTAATTTGATGACCTGGTTAAACAACACATTCTCCTTGCATACATCTTATTTAAATTAGCTTGAATTATTATCATTTTGTCATTCGCAATCCGTATCACTATTATTATTATTCTCTCGGTCTCGGTATCTTCATCCATATCGTTTTATTTCATTACATGCTGCCCTCGAATAAACGTCGTTGTCGACTAAATGCCGCACGAGGAAACAAAATTACCAATAAACACCGCTTCTTATCGGGAGGAATTTATTCAACCAGGATTATGAGAAATGAAATACTGCAACTAGTGCGGCGCGACGCATCAAAAACGTGAGACACTGCAAAATCTATACAAGTTTTTGTCAAAAAATAAAACGCAATTTATCGACCGAAATTTTTCTCAGAAATACGAAAAATGTGAAGCAAAAAGCTGACAATATACTAACCCTAAAGCAAAAAATTGGAAAATTTGAAGCAAACGCTCCTTGAAATAAAAGCGAAAAATCTATTAAACACCACCTTGCTAGTTTAATTACTGTATGTTTATTTCAAGGTTTCACCCAATTGAAAGTCGATCCTCGATGACCCTCAGATGATTCAAAATATCGTGTATTTGCTTGATTTAGCTCTTTATTATCGAAGAATGAGAACTAATAAATACAGAAAGAGGAAACGGTGGCTTCACGAGCTAACAGAGGCCTGTCAAGAAGTTCTGATAAGGGCAGACCACCATCAAAATGGAGCGCGTTCATCGTCTTTATTGTGTCTGCGTGACAAGTTCAAGTAAAAAAAGATATGACATGCTTCACGTTGAAAGATAGACATTGTAATCCGATCACATAACAGTGATCTGTGATTGCGCGGTAGTCATCGCTGCTAAGGGGTGTCTTTATGCTCTGTCGACGCTTGATGGGTGTGAAAAATCAATAAAAAATTATACCGGTTCATGTGCGTGAAAACATCAACAGCGTGAAAACTTACTTTAGCACAATTCGCGGCGTGACAAAAATACACTATAGTTGTGATGTCCACACGATTATTCGGTGAGGTTCAACATTTAAAATATCTACGTCTCTTCGAAGACGTAATTATCGTCTTGTCCTTTTGTGTTCGCCGCCCTAGTCTGGAAAATGTCATCTAAGATCATACTGCATTGATAAAATTAAAAGTTGTGCTTCAAAGTTCTCGATAGCATTGAAAACTGTTAAAACCTTGTACTTCCAATGTAATAAACTCGTTCTGACGGCGAGTTGTTTTCACGCCGAGTCACGCGATGGGATATGTTAAAAGACTGAGTAATAACATTGGTATCTCACTTTGATTTAACACGTGTTCAGTGGACTCCCAAAGCCGGCATGCAAGTTGATGAGCTATTATATGAGCTCCAACATATCAAAACAGCGGCGAAATTGGTGCGTGAAACAAATTATGGGTGGCAAGACACTATAGACCACTGGGATGATAGCTGTAGGTCATACTCGCGTAACACTTAATCAATCCCTTGTGGGACCACCTCAATTTCCTACACAAGGCTTGGAAAAAAGGTGGCATTTAACACTTTTGAAGAGACTTCTTTCATCTGACACTTGACTTTTGACGCCCTGTTCAGGCATCCTTCATGATCTCCTGTCATTTCTTATTCTTTACGTAAGACATTGACAATATACCTTTCCGTGCCACAATTTCTGTTATAATTTTCTGGCAGAACTGGGCAATTATCCAAGTCACAGACGATGTAGAAATATTGATACTACATAATATTTCCGAATGCTGTATAAACCGGAGAGAATAACTTGGTTTTAATCCCCTATCTCTTCTCTGATTAACGCCGACAGCGCAAACCTTACGCAGGGGAGAAAGAAAAGGTCAAGCACGATACATCCACAATTGTGAAGTCTGTGTCCTGAAACCGTTATAGACCCCCTCGTAGTAACTAACTTGGCAACTGAAGGAAAGAAAAAATTGCAAAGAGCTTCCTGTCGCCTTCTTTTTAAACAAGAGTATCCGATAGAAGGAGGGATAACAATTCAAAGCCAAGACCAAAAGGATCCCAACTCTTGTACCTAAAAGCTAGATGATATCCATTTACGTACAAAGAAAGATCATCTGATTGTTTACTTTTCATGCTGAGGAACATCGCAATACAATTAAAAACAAGGCCAAAATATAGTCTTTCAAATCGTAAACACGCTTTACAATGTTATGCTTCAGCGGTTCCTTGCAGGATGTTAGAAGATAAAGTCGAGAATTCTTTTAATACTTGGTCTGTACCAAAGACGGCCATTGTTTGAAGAGATAATAGGTTCCTATAATACCTTTTTTTAAAAATTCCTGGGTATGTAATCTTGTACGACGAATATTCCTGCCATATGCGTGAAATATTACTGTTTCAGTTGAGCTGAAACAGGACTGAAATGACAACTGCAACTGAGCTCATTCCGCGATAAGGCAATTTTCAAAAACAATAACTAAGAATTTCTCGTTCTCTGCAAAACGGATGCGCGTCACGTTGAAGGGTGGAATTGCTTTGTTCACAGTAAATATAAGCTAAGATGTGAACTTAGATAGAGAGAATAGTACTGAGAAATCTAGAAGATTTTTCAGGGCAGGTTCTTTCAAGATGTTTGACTACAGTGTACAGAAATAACTCACATATCTTATATCTAATCCTACCAGTCAAAAGCAAAGCATGGAAAAAGCTGGAGTGCGTTGACGATTACCACAGGGCCCTTTCTCAGTCACTCACACCAGCGAACAAATGTAGAGACCTGTCTAACACTACTAAAGACGATACACCATACTCGCCTCGTGAGTCCTGGCTTGTTTCGAGGGATATAAAACAAGATTAGCTCGCAGTGCGAAGTATATGAAACAGCCTCCTGTGATCGTGACCAGTTCGCGACAAGAATCAGCGTGAGTGATCTGCTCTTGTGAGCCCCGCCTTAGGGTGCGTCTTCCGTCGGGAGGAAGGCTTTAAGGTCTCTGGGGACACGAAAGAAGATTTATTGGTTGTAAACTAGTGATTTTCTCTCCTTACGTGTAAGTAAACACATTAAACAAGAGATGCAATTTATGGTATGGTGTTCAGCAGAGTTGTCCTGGTTAGTTTACACAGCAATACAAGGTTTTAAAAAAGAAGAGCGTTGTTTGCTCATTTCAGTCACGCAAAAAAAAAGTGACTATTATTATGCGTGACACGTTGAGAAAATTGTGGGCGCTCAGCTAGATAGCGAATAACACGCGCGCAATATAGGGCCCTTCACACTATGAGCTTGCTAACCTCGTTTAGCGCTTCCGCTCATCTTTCAGCAATAAAAAAAGAAGTGATGTTTAAAAAGCCTTAAGGATGAAAAAAGCAAAAAATAATAATAATAAAAAGAGATTTCTTAAGATGGCAGTTGATCAGAAACTCTGGAAGACTTAGATTCCTACGTATACAGAAGTATTGCGTTCGGTTAAATTCGCTTCGTCAGCATATTTCATATCATTTTCAGAGCCATGGAGATTTACTATTATTAGAATATGACTCCGGTGAAGTCGTCTGCTAAGGTATAGAAATATCACAGGAGGAAGAATCAACTAAAGAGCGGCAGGGATGGTTAAAGATGAGGAAGATTCACAAGGATGGCACATAGCAATCCTCTCAGGTGCAGATCTGTTAACATATACTTAGAACTTAATACTGCTCCGAATGCCAGCATCAGCCCTGTTCAGAGTCGCCCTCCGATGGACTTCCGACGAGAAAAGAAAGAGAGTCCTGAGAGCCGAAGAGCGAAATGAGGACTGAGACTGGATACGAGGGCAGCTTGACCGACTGGCAACTGACAGGAATCAAATGGCTTTCTCTGGTCGACACACGAAGAGGGCTAACTAACTCTCTGTAATTGATACCTCACACAATATTGAATGATGCGAGGAAAGATATTAAAAATGTGTCATAACAGAACTGGCGCAAACTGACACCAAGAGAAGTATTTATTTAACAATTACCCTTTGGACTCCGACATGACATACTTTTCACAAAGTATTGCCAATTCTTGCTTTCTATATTATAATCACTGTTATGTTCATACTATTACTTCAATTGTTTTTTGTCGCTCTCGTATTTTGAGGCAATTTTCTGCCGTTTATCAACATTTTTCGACCTATTTTCACTCCTCGAGTTGACAAAAATTTATCATGGGAGCGAATATTTACAACATTTTTGTTCAAGCTGACAGAACATGCGCGAAAGAAACTTCATCCATGCGTAATTATCTCATTCAATAAATATTGTTGATGGAGTAAATTATTTTAACGACTCTAGGAGTAACATTTAATGTTGTGGTCTGATCTACCGGGTGCGTAAGTGTGGTCCACAAAGAGATCGCTAATGACCTGAGATTAGGTGACTGATTGGGTAAAAAAGCCTGTTATAAGGGTCAAAAGCCTTTTGATGCCTTCAGATATGAAAATTTAATCAACAGTCCTGAAGCTATGATAGAAGAAAATATGGGCTACAGAAGCCTAGTGTTTAATCAAGTTACAGATAAAATATGACTGTGAAACGAAACTGCATTGCGTCTAGCCTTCGAAGGTATTTTAAATAACTTGTCATCCTCTTAAATGATTTTGAGAAACGGTGACGCCAGTAGATTTATTTGGTAAATTTGAAAAACGTCATTGGTGATAGAAGGTCGAGCCTTTACAGCACATTTTGGGGGATTAGACCTCAGACTTACCATAGTGGGTGATGTCACGTACAAAACGAGGCTGTCATCCTTTAAACATGTTTCAGTTACTCTGTGACACATTAAGGCTCATCAAAAACTCATTAATAATGGTCTAGACTAAAAGGAGGGGCCCCATCCACTCTTCCTTGCGTAATGGGGTCTGGAAGGGTAAATCAGCCTGTAATATGACACCCATACCATAACAAGCTTAAGATTGATTAATTGATGCCTATATTTTGGGAACAGGTAAAACAATAAGGCTGTTGCTGAGTCATGACCAGTATTAATTAAAATAAGCATGCTTGACCAAGAGGTTGTGGAGTTTAGAAATCTTAGCTCAGCAGTATCGCCTAAAGTAGGAACTTGAAGCATCATTAGAACTCATTAGAAGACAAACTTTTCGCTTTTAAAGTTCTTGGATATTTCCTCTTTTGTTTCCTTTTTTTATTCCTATTGTATTCTTGGACTGAGTATGCTAAATTTCCGACTGCATGAGCAGTTTGACAGAGGTAAGTTATTTGTCCTTTTTTTTAAAACTGAAAGCTAGCGTTCTTGCTAAGTTACAGATGCTTGCTCATATCTAAAACCGATAGGGGATTCATTAATCTCGCGTTGTAAAAATTAATCTCAGTTGCAAGAACATTCCATTTTGCTCATTAAGTGATGGGTTACAGATCATGGATGGCGTAAAAGTGGGTCGAGAGCAAGAAAGTCGCGCATCTGCCATTGGCAAGTGTGCCACGGATGTTCTAGTCACATCTTGATACCTTCCAATTAAGAAATGTGATCTTAATTAGGAAACTGAGATGAATTTATATTGGGTCAACGGTAAAGCACAGACTACTTGATTTCTGATTCCGTTTCGGACAATTTTTTTAAGTTGCAAAAACTCTCTCGATTTCATATATATATCTTTTTATACCACAGACAGTTTTGACTAAAAACCTTTTTTCAAGATGAAAAGTGAAAAGTGTACCAATATTACTGTGACATTGCTATGACACCAGCCACGTGTCTGTTTATCATGATCATTGGCCACAATTGGTCACCTAGCACGCTGTTTAAGTCCATTGTATGAACGAGAACAATTTTGGGATTGCTGTTAACAAGTGTGCCCTCTAGGACAGCTCTCAGTTGGTAATACACACAAAGCATCTCATGTTCATCCCAGAAAATTCTTCTAAAAAAAAGATGCAAGGTCTTAGCGTGCCATATTACTATCGATGAAATCATCGACACTAACGGAAGATGAATGTCTCTAAAAGTAGCACGATGTAAGCACACAACGGTAGGCAAATAAAAATATTCTCATCAGTTTGCGTCAAATTGTAACAGAAGAGACACAATGTTCCATTGCAAGTTTGCCAAAATCAAGACTATGATGGCTGTATCGTGTTTCACCCCCTTTAATGTTGAGGGAACCGCTTTTCAGCAAGTCGTGTGATAGGTGAACGAGCAATTTTTCGAATTTTTAGGCCCATAATGTAAGTGCTAAGCGACAAATATATTGTCATCTGTTTCACTGGATTACTTCCCTATGCACAAATCATCCCTATTAACTGAAACAGGTTAGGTCGGTCGGCTTTTTTGTATCGGTCAGCAAGAATGAGTTCGTTCGAAGAGTCATTATTTTTATGATGACTGAGAATACAGCTCTCAGACTCAAAATAAGGGTTACTTTAAAAGCAAGAGAAAATAGGGGCAAAATTCATTGAAGCTGTTGAAAACTTAGCTTGAAATGACTGAAACGATTTAATTTCCTCTTTGATAAAATTAAGTATAACCCACCATTTCCGCCATGACCGGCAGAAATTGAATTTCAGAGAAAGTTTGATGATGAAAGTTATGTATTTAATGCCTATTATATCGTGATACTAAAAGACAGTGACTTAAAAGGGAAAAGGAATGTCCACAAAGAAATAGCGAACCACAAAAGAAAAGGCGACTGTTTATGACTCTAATTCCATCATCAATACGATGACGTCTAACCACAAACTGCTCTCCTTAAAATTCTTGTGACGATCAAATTCTTCCGCAATTGAAGGATATCACTTATTTAACCGCCATATGAATACATAAAGGCTTATTGAGGAAACATGAAGGATGAAGGAATGAAAGACTGACTTGTGATTAAAAATTCACAGGCTGACCCAGTGCTACGATACTCTATAAAGTGTATGCTCTTCCTACCTTCTTTTTTTATGGAGTAAAAGGGTCCCTCACTTCGTCTTTGAAGAGGCAAGCGAATTGTCTTCTTTTCTGACGTTATAATCTGCTGAAGAGCTCAATCTTCATCGAAGATTGGATAATAATGGGCAAAATCCTGGATCATGTCTTGAAGCTTTTAATCCTGACTGAGAAAGTTCGCTTTGACGTCTGTCCTGCATGAGAGAGACTAATACATTTGACATCTATCCAGGTGCCTTGAGGCGTTTATGAATGCCTTTTAGTTAATCAGTTCAACGTCTGTCACCAATAGAATCCTGTATGTATATTTCATGACAGATGAAAAGCCTTGAATTTTATCGTTTTAATCTATGCATGGTTTTGTGAACTACGCTAAGTAGGAGAAAACTTTGCCTTTCAAAACTCGGAAGAGAAATGGTGCTTGAAAATGAATATTTAGAGAGAATGGTACCAATTAGAAAGAATGGCATTCCTGACGTCGTAAAACAAATGAATACTTGATTGTCTATCTAGTTTTGTCGTGACTCAGTGTGGTTTTTATGGGGAAGTTGATAGCGCAGCGACGAGGATAGTGAGGTCAACAGTGTGGTCCTCCAACTTGCGTCAAATTAAAGAATTTTTGTTAAGTGGGCTAGGCACATTCATTACATTCTATGTTTCGCTGTGCAAAGGGCCCCTCTAGATAAAATTTGGATAATGATACAAGGAAGAAAACAATACTCCGAAGCATATGCTTTCTGTTTTTTTGGAAAAAATGGCACAAGACATTACAAAAACATGCTACTAAACCATGACAGGAAAAAGATGATTTTCCTTAAAAAGAAAACGAAATTTGAGGGAGAGGACGATCGCAAATTTATGCAGGAGACTTCTTATCTTAGAATATCAAGGATTTAAGCGAATATAATGGTTTCTGAAAGGATATTTTTAGTCTTGCTATGGATATTTTCTCAGTTGGCGATTAATTTAGAATCCGTCTGTCAAACAAAAGAAATATTTCCAATAGCTCTGAGAGCTGGTCGTCTGTTGTTAACTTTATAAAACGTAAGAGATGGTGGCTGCCTACAATCGTAGAAAAAACATATTGATAAGATAAAGCTACAAGCTGAATATTCCATTCGGCCAACAGGTCACTTGCTGTTTAAATAGTCTGTAACATATGGAACACAGGTTTTTCAAATGTGGAGTCAAGAAAGCCCAAAGAAATCCTCACCCTGACCCTGGCGAGCAGATGAGGCAGCAACGAATACCAAAAAACAAACATGCGATTGAAGTTCAACTTTCATTCTTCAGTTGAGCTCTATGGTTTTCAAACGATTGTTAGATACACGTTCATTTAGTGTATGAGTCGCGATAACCATTAATTTTCGAAAGATGCTTGCAGATTATTTACCCCCTTCTCCCTTCCGCCACGCCGATAAGCCATCTAACATCTTGATTCAACATGTTGACTTTTGGGGTTATCTTTTCGTTCTTGTTGTTGTTGTTTTTTTTCTTAGTCGTTTATGTTTTTGTTCGGTTGTTTCTTTCCGCAATTGTGTTCATTTTATGTTCTTCATCACTAACCTCCCACATTTCTTTCCTCGGCGTTTTTGTGTAATAAATTTTCTGAAGGCGTAACTTTAAAAGAATTTATAATCGAGCTCATTTCCATCAGCCGCTAGAAAGTTCACCTGGCTCATATGGTCTATTAACTCTTTGCATATTTCTGTGTGTCTTTTTACCATCTCAGTTTCTTCTTTCTTTGCGTTAGGCTTCCTTAATGAATCAATCAAACCTCTTCGATGAAATATTACTGAACGTAAAGAATGTTCATGCGTAAGTAAGCTTCCGGAGCCATTTCACCAAATTCGTTCATTTGTATCTTTTATTAAACAAGGACAGATGTGGCGTATGACACGAAAAACACACGCTTATTCCTTGAAGCATAGTTTCTGCTACAGTCCTCTACTGCACAACTTTCATTTCTTGACGGTGACGGTACAACTCCTTACCATTAAGAAAAAGGAACTCGAGTTGGGTATAATTTACTATTGTTTACCTTTTTAGAAAGGATGAAGATTGTTCTATATGTTGAAAAGTAAATTTGATGAACCCCTCCGTTAGACAGCCTAAAAATTTTTAAGTGAAAGCGATAAAGAGCTAAGGATCGTTAAAAGACAAGCATAGGAAATTAATAATTATTAATGGTGTGTTTCTCCACAGCTTAAGAGTCAACCAGTTTGGTAATTGAGCCGCTAATGAGAACAAGAATCATGTCAAGATATAAATGGCTAGTGTCATGACTATGGGGATAGACATTATATATAGGCTAAAACTGTAGAAGACCACTCCAAAATAAGAAGCTATACATTTCACCGGCTTTAAGGAGACGGCTTTTTTTCCTTTAAGGTTACATATGTCGACTAATTACAGAGCTTTGGAAGCGAAATGATTGTCGGTCACAATGACATTGAGTTTGTTGCTTTTCTTTCTTACCACGATTACTCCCTGGTCCTATTACTGTACATGTATGAAATGAATCTTTTGATTAAAGCCACCTAGTTTTTTAGAACGATCTGCAAGAAAAACATAAACAAATTCAAATGAAGCAGAGTCTACGAATTTTTTTGTCATCCACCCGTGCCCTATCCTTGACATCGGTGTCTATGTCGGTCAAGAAAGGACTTTCGTCAGTCTTTTGTCGTTATAGACCCGCTTACTTAGTCAAAAAATTGGTTTATAATGGGTAGTTTGTAGCATCTTGTCTTAAAGCTTTTAACCCTCACTGAGAGAGTTTGCAAACCGACGACGTCTAGAAAAGACGTAGAGACTACACCGAATAGACACTGTGTCAGATGCCTGGGGCATATGAGTGTTTCTTGAGTTTATCAGGAAAACGTCTGTCACCAAAACTATATTGTGCATAATCTATTGTAGTGGAAAAGTTTCGATCCCTCCATTGTGATAAAACTCAACAAAGTGAGAAGGCAGTTCTACTCAATTTTCTGCAGCCAAAAGGTCTTCGTTTGAATAATTAAAATTTATCTGATTTGATGAACGGTACAAATTACAAAAGGATGGCATTCTTTGCTGCTTTTGGAATACTGTCGGTACGTAACGAAATATTTGGTGGAGTACTCAAGTTCTTAAGAGACCTGAAAGGGATAAGGTCTGCATAAAAAGTCTCATCCTTTACTAATGCGAATTCATGGTTGTTTCGTGATTGGCCACCAAATGAAGACTTGTACGTTCTATTTTGCTGTTGCTATTGTTAGTTATCCAATTTCTTTCTAATTTGAGATATTGCAGTTTTCAAAATGAGTGGAGCAAACCAAGTTGATCTCCTATTGTTCAGAAACTAAGGCAGACTGGTTCACTCACACATGACTCAAATTATATTGAAAAAAAAAATTAATGATTTTTGTTCTTGGGATATAATTCAGAACACGATTTTCCGAAACAGTGCACGCGCGGAAGAATTTTTATTTTAGCCAGTTATTAATTTTGATTCTCGCCTCAGCTTATAACTGCTACATTCAAAAATTGTCACATTCATCTGTTGTGACAAATGTTGTTCAACTGAAACTGACAATGCTCCGTCAATAGGTGCTTCAATAACACGATCTTATCTCGCCAAGGAGATAAAACAATCAACTGAATGATACATTTACCTTTGTTGGGCCAGCTTTTCCATTGTCTTTTGAACATATGGAGCACAGGTTTTATGTGTAATCAATTTTTAAACTGCGGGATCATCAGGGTTTAATAAAAGAATGGAAAACACGCTGAAAAGGGCGGAAAAAGAACATTATGATGCGACCAGTTTCCACGTTGATTTGAGGAATCTAGTCCTGTTAAGGATCGATTGTTAGACAGACATATCTTATAATTCCTCTGTCGAAATTGGACATTTGAGAAAATCATGTTTATTTGAACAGATAAGGCGCTCTTTCGTCGTCTTAATAGCAGGCGTTTCCTTTGTTTACTTTTAAGTTCAGATCGTTTGTGTCGCGTCCCTCTCACATTTTTTCATCTTTGTTGTTTAATCTCACCAACAATTTGAAACTCTAAGGGAAAAAGAGAAAAGGGGGAAATGAGGGGAGTTGATCGATCATAGCCATACAATACTAAGTTTTTTACAACATAAATATGATGAAAGCTGCATTAAGGGGACAGCCAATTAACTCTCGCTGATTTCCACTAAATACTAAGTGTTCGCTTGGTGCAAGTTCCTCTAACCGCAGATAATTAGGACGATAAACCGTATGCCCCGTCTCCTACATCTCCTCCGTACTAGTTAGCGGGGGACGATGAAGAACCCACGAAATTCTCCTAAAGATTAGGGAGCTTAGCTCCCATTGTTGAGGTCTAGCCTTTTTAAGATCTAAAGATTCCCAATAAGTATTTTCTACCTGGAAAGAGATGACAAATTGAGGAAAAATTAGGAGGAAGAAGAAGAATTGACCTGCGCAAAGATCGAATAGAAATTTTGATCTTCGTTTCAAACTCCTTCTCTTAGTGCTCCTGTGTGGCTATTAATTCAATAGTCTTTATAGAAGAAAGAGCATCAAGTCATTGGTGCAAACTCTTCCATGCTGAGTTTATTTTTTCTTCGATAAGAATTCGTTACGATTTACCTATGTCATAATTACGTCCACTTATCTACGGTCATCGATACTGATGAAAACTATTACCATCAGAGGGTTATCCTTGATATTTATCTAGCTGTAATTCTTTGTATTGTTATCATTATTTATTTCATCTGTTCATATTTTTTTACAAGCTCGAATCTCTTCCTCTTATGGTTTCAACTCGCCTGGCGTTGTTCTCCAGTGCCATGGACGCCATTCCAGCATTACTAATTGAAAATTTCATCACTAAGGTAGTCTTGCCAAGCATGCTAAACACAGCCCTTCTAAATCTCCTGTATTTTATAGAGTAGATGATAGGATTACAGCAACTGTTCATAAAGCCTACAAGCATAGCTAGGGCGCCATACGGTCCTTCAACTTTTTGCCCTGTTCCGATCTCAACGAAGAGTAAGATACAAAATGGAGACCAGCATATGAGGTACACTAAAGTTACTATTATCAATGTGGCCAATCCCTTATTTCGTTTTAATTTCCTCGACTCTCTATTGTTTTCCGGCTGCCTTTGGGTGCTAGGTGTAACATCCTCAATGCGTTGAAGTTGACTTCGGATTACCCGCGCAATCTTCCAATACACGTATACCATCGTCATCAAAGCTACTCCATACGTTCCTGAAACAACGGAAATTGCGAAAGCAAAGTTTAATCCATACCTGGACCAATCTTCTACCTTACATGTCCCAATATAGGTAACAAAGCACTCATATGAGCTCACTCCAAATAAGGGCAGGAATGCCCAAACGGCAGAGTATCCCCACAAGAAAAAACACAAGCAAATGGCGCGCGACTTTGTCATCTCAAGCGGATACAACAGTGGACGAGCGACTGCCAGGTATCGATCAATGGAAAGCATCATCAGGTGCATTATGGACGAAATGCAAAAGAGAAAGGTTGAAAACCCATTACAAACGCCCCATATCTTTCCACATCTCCACCAACCGCTGTGAACAGCATCCACAGCGCACGGCATTACAAGTATGGCCACAAGTAGATCCGCAATCGACAGAGAAAATAAAAAGTGAGAGTTGATGATGGAGTTGAGAGCCCTTGAGTAACGAACTACAATCATGACAGTAATATTTCCGATTATTGTCAAAGCAAGAACGAAGATCATTATGATCATAATGAGAATAGTCCAGCTGTGAGGTAGATTAACAAGCTTGACGTTGTCTTCACTTTCGGTAAAGTTTTTTACCATTACTGTCCCGTTCATGACGTCTCCTGTTAAGAAAATGTAGATCGAAATAATTTTGGTCATAAGCTATTAATGCACGTCAAGTATGTTGACTTTGCAAATATACATTTGATTTTTAACCAACAAACTAGATCACGAAACACATCACCATGTACCAATCATGCCATGATAATTTCCAAACGCGTATAGAAATGGACCCTTAGCGCAAAAAAAATGTACTTTTCTGAAACAACTTAAGTCATTTTATTGGTGTTGCATCAACCTTCCTTTTAGAAAACAACAAACCTAGTTATGAAACATATCAAAAATTAATGTCGTTAGAGACTGTTTACAAGAGTAGATTTAGCAATGAAGCCGTCCTCCTTAGTAATTTACCGGTTTACTTAGAAGCACTAGCAAAAAACAAAGAAAAAAGAGGAGCGCAGCTTTCCCGGGAGTAAAGTTATTTGAGAAGGGGAAGCAATGATTTTGGTGAAAAACGAGTTTTAAAAGCGAAGGCCTTAGATATTACTTAATGTTCCACTAAACCATCTTCGCCTAGTCGGCTACACAGACAGCAGCATGCTCCATGATCTGAACTACCTTAAAAGGTCCTGGCTGAGCTAACTGATTTTAGGGGTACGGTCGATCGGAATGAAAAGACTCTCAAGATTGTCCTTTGAAGAAAATTTTTGTCACCTACTCATTCACTTCCTCACGTTTTCAATCAATACTTAACGAGTTTATTTATAGCAGCGTTTTGTACCATCTTGAAATATTATCCACATTTGCATATTAGCTTAGAAAAGTTTATCTACCAAACTGAATTCTTCATCTGCCGTTTTTTCTGGATTCAAAAAGTTATGATGATGTTGACTCGGAAACTTGAAAAGTTAAAGGCTTTCAGGAAAATAATTGAAAAATTTACAAATGCAATATTTATCGGACATTTTTTCCCTAGATTCAGTGATTAAGATGATAAACTTCGATATATCATTGAATGAGAGAAAACTTTTTGACCACATTTTTACCGGCCTTTTTACCCTCGACTCTAAGAAATCGTGACTAATCGTTCAATAAAATTGAAAATTTAAATATTATCTCGTAAATAATTAATAATGGTCTAACCAAGAAAGCTAAAGGTATCATAGAGAAAAACACGAAAAACCTGTCTTAGTGCCTGAGAAATATTGGACTACTAAGTAAACTCAAATGATTATCTCGGTTCTTGTCTGCACATTTATAGACAGCGGACAGCTACAGCTATCATATATAAAACTTAAAAGTGAACGAGAGAATACGAGTGAACTTACATACCAACTAAACATTACAGCAGATGGTTTAAACATGTCAAATGTTGATTGAAGCAGGTGCTTAACGGAGCTAAGGGAAAGTGACAATTATTTTTCTCAAATTTAAACTGCTTCGAACTCTTCTGAAAACTGATATAAATCTAATGGCAGATTTGAGGCTGTTGAGATATTTGGCGATGTCACTGAACATAAAAAATCCGGTATCTTGAAAACAAGCTTGAATATGAATGGCGTAGATGTTTTCAGATACATTCTTTGTACCGTTCTAGTTGGAATATAAGGACCCTTTAATCCGGCTGACTAGTCTGGTTTCACTTATCACGAAACTACGAAACTTTTTTGATAATATTTACGTTCCTACACATTTTTTTTGTCGATACAAGTCAGCCTCGGCAATAGCAGTTATTTAGGTCTGCCAGTAACCTGTAGCGCACGTTACGCAATTATTCAACTTTGAACTGAAGCGAAACGAAATGAAATTCAAATGTCTTCAAGAAATTAAGAAAAACTTTACCTTAAGAGAGGAAGGCCACAGTGAAAATCGACAGCAGGAACCAAAAACTGAAATTTCTCCTTAAATCCAATTTCTCCTTAAAAAACGATTGAGCAACTCGAAGTTACAGTGAGTTAAGAGTGTCTTATCTGCCACATGAAGTCTCGAGCTGTTTTCATTTTTTCTAGGTGTCCTTCTTCTTATTATGGACAGAGTAATGATGTTGAACTTGTTATCGTTGAACCGCGGAATTTTATAAGCTATAGTGAAATACAGCTATGTTTTGCTTTTAACTCGTTTGATAGGTACGGTCAAGAGCGACTTCCTATTTACATCTAATTGAGTAACGTGGGCGACACAAACTCACCTACTAATTGGCTAGAGGCTGAAAGATGACAGCCATTAAAAAAAAAAAAAACTAACTAGCTAATTAGTTAATAAAACGGAGAGCTGTCTTCCTCTACCAGTAATAACATTTATAAACCGGAATATGTTTGAAACACACCACCAGCTAATGAGTTATTACAACGTAGTGCTGTCTTTCAAAGCTAATAATAAGCCAGAATAGATTTTAGCCAAACGGCCTCGAAGGACCTCGTAGGACAGGTGAGAAAGATGGGCAGTAATCCTCTTTTTCATAAAATGGTTGTTTTGAAACAGACTTGGATCAAAGGATCGATGCAAAGCGCGCCCTCGTCGGTTAAAAAGCGTAACCTTAACTGAGTTTGAGACAATTTAAACCGATGAATGACGGACAAGTCTCTAGCTTGCTTAATTGCATGTTGACGAGCCTAAACCAAATTGAATATTTATACAGTGGTTCTGAAGACAAACTTGAAAAACTACTCTGAATTTGGCAGTGATCGTAGACAAAATTTACATTACTTTATACAGGTTGAAAAACTCGAAATAGACAAACTCAACACAATGAAACCAAGCAGAAAAACTAAACAAAACAATAAAACGAAACAAAAGTGAAAAAAAAAGTGAATAGAGAGAAATGGGTCTGAACGGACAGGATTAACCTGGATTATACGGCGATGTACCTCAACTAGAAAATTAATTTCCATCGTACTGCAAGCCGATCAAAAATCAACACTAATCAACAGAACCAACAATGCATTTCGAGCCTGTCTAAAGTTCCGAAAAGAGGGAGATCTATCCTTATTTCCTTGATAACGATTGCCGGTTAAAAATATATTGATAACTCTATTAATTAATACCAGTTCTAATTTAAAGGAGAAAGTTATGAGAATAAAATAAAGTTCACTGTTTAGACTGATAGTCCAAAAGCTTTTTTGAGCATGCATTCGAATATCTTATTTCCTGCGTGACACTTAAAACACGCTTGTAAGATAGTGACTTTCCACAGGCGTTAAGTTTGAAGTTATATTTAGAACTAGTATTTGTTATTCAGATAACTAGTAACGCACTGTGCATTTTTAACTGTAAGTATTCTTGATCAGTTTTGCGAACTTAAGGCCTCCTTGAGGAATGAAATGTGTTTCTAGGCTTTCCAAGACCTTTTCTAGCCATTTCAGGCCTATTTTCGCTATCTAATATTCAATTCAGATGGTTTACAAGACTATTTCAGTTTCAGGTAGTAGCAAAACCCTTTAAGTGACAGAGTTGTGTACTGAGTCCCGAGCGAATCGATAAGGAACTGCATCATCTCACTATAGAGTTCATGAAGGATTGAGGCCGGACGTAATTTTCTAAGGGATTTCTTTCCCCTATAAGCAACAACGATTACAATATAAATCACTACTTGAACGTCTTATCTTATCGCACTTTTAGCTGAGGAAAACCAAACTTAGGGACTCAATGGGATGATAGCTTTAACGGATTGCAATTAATTTTTTTTTTCCAGTTTTGACAGTTGGCAGTTAGATTCTGTGGCCTTCGGCGATTGATGATTAATATTGAACAATTTCCTCTTGATTTAAACTATTGGAAATTTTAACAGTACCTGGATTTAAGTTTTAAACAAAAATGCGGCTGAATAAAAATGTTTTTTGGTCTTGTCATTAGCGTGGGACGAAGAATTTATCTGAGTTCCCACAAGGAACCGAACTTTGCACTTCAGTACCCTACTGGGCCAAAGAGAACTGTATAGTGTACTATTGGCCTATTAAGACACTCCAAACAGTGTTCCTAAACGGACTAAAACGCGATCCATATGCCATAGAAACAACGATGCAGCAAGGTTCATTGTAATTCAGTATTTTCACAAAGTAGTGCATTCGAAAAAACTGTTGAGTTCCTTTACAAACCATTTTCAATGGCGTCTTCGTAACACAAACTTCAGGCCATAAGCAGGAGTCATGTTCACGGTCACCTCATGTTCTAGGCTTGGGGCTGTGGTCCAAAATGTTCGTTACTATCATTGACAAATTTGAAAGGGGGATATATCATGAATTACGCCAAGGTTTGCTGTTCGATCACTCTCGAGTAAAACAGCAATATTTTACGAGAACGGTAATTGAGTGAAACCTGCAATAATGAAACAGTCATTAGTTTGTCTAAATCGTGTGCGTTTAATAGTTTCTATTCAATGATAAGAAAATATTGTTTAGGAGAGTGTCAGTCATGAAAATCATTGCTTGTAGTGGAATTGCCTTCTCTGAGTTATTTGTGTCAATATTTGAGCAATAGGTAGCATGAAAACAACGTCGAGTCTGTTACACAGCCCCTCTATGTTGTATTTATTTACTCATTAAAAAGCAAATTCAACTTTAAGAGGCGGGTTATTAAATTGGCACGGTCATCGTGTTATATCGGGCAAAGTTGCGAGCAGGATCTTAACACGTTCCTTTGTTCCTACCGTGCGAAACAAGACAATGACTGCGAAGTTAATGAGGCAAGTAAATAAAACGCAGCTAACGTGTTAAAAGCTCGTTCTTTGTCGTGAGAGTGCGTTCACCTTATTCCCTGGAATCCCGTGGAGGGTCACATTTAGAAAATAATCGTTGAAAATTCATGAATATCGAATGTCGAGCTCTTAAAATGATCTTGAACTTGCTCTTTTATAACTTTTTAAACGCTTGATTCTCTTCTTCCTAAGGTTTGAACTCTCTTGACAGTATACTCTTGAACCATGGAAGACATTCCAGCGTTATTAGTAGCTGAAAATTTCAATACGAAGTCAGTCTTGCCAATCATGCTTAACACAGCCCTCCTAAATCTCCGGTATTTTATGGAATAGATGATAGGGTTACAGCAACTGTTCGTAAATCCAACGAGCATTGCTACGGCGCCATACGGTCCTTGGACCTTTCGACCAGTTCCAATCTCAACGAAGAGCAAGATACAAAATGGTGACCAGCATATGAGGTACACTAAAGTTACTATCATTAAAGTAACCACTCCTTTACTTCTTTTAAATTTCCCAGTCGTATTATCCTCTTTGTTATAAACTGTCTGCTTTTTGTTGTTATTTCTAACAACCTCAATACGTTGAAGTTGACTTCGGATTACCCGTGCAATCTTCCAGTATACAAAAACCATCGTTATTAAAGCTAGTCCGTAGGTTCCTGTAACAACGGAAATTGCAAAAGCAAAGTTTAACCCATACTTGGACCAGTCCTCTGGCTTACATGCGCCAATGTAGTTAATGAAACACTCGTAGGAGCTCACCCCAAATAAGGGCAAGAAAGCCCAAACGGCAGAGTATATCCACAGTACAAAACACAACCAAATGGCGCGCGACTTTGTCATTTCAAGTGGATACAACAGTGGACGAGCGATTGCGAGGTATCGGTCAATCGAAAGCATCATTAGGTGCATGATCGATGAGATGCAAAAAAGAAAGTTTCCAAACCCGTTACAAATGCCCCATATTCTTCCACATCTCCACCAACCGCTGTTTACAGCGTCTAAAGCGCACGGCATTACAAGAATGGCCACAAGAAGATCTGCAATTGACAGAGACACTAAAAAGTAGGAGTTAACGATGGAGTTGAGAGCGCTTGAGTAACGAAGGACAATCATAACAGCAACATTTCCAACGATTGTTAAAACAAGAGCCAGGGACATAATGATCATAATGAGAATAGTCCAGCTGTGAGGTAGATTAACGAGCTTGATGTTGTCTTCCCTCTCGGCAGAGCTTTGCTTCATTAATGTGTCATTCATAACGACTTCTGCCTAAACACAAAATGATGAATTAAGATTAAATTAACCATAATAACTGTTTCTCACATAGCTTTTTGATAAATGAAGAAGTTAATGTGAGGCTGCAGCTGTTAAATTATTGGTGCAAGGATGGCAATTTCCCCACCATAAATTCATGCAGCATGCAACTTCAGTTTTTAATCGCGGTGCTGAACACTATGAACGCTCGCAAAGATATTTTTGTCTAAAATTTGTTCCACTTTGACGTTAGAAACTATGTCTGCTGCAGACTTCAAATATGCCTTATGTGATGCTATGATTAAGAATTGTAGGCTCCAAAAAGAATAAAACGCAAAACCTAAATTTAATGATAAATCTCTCGTATACATGCACTGAGACTATAAAGGTACCTGATTCGGTTTAAATTCAATCAATCAGAAAAAAAATATCCTCACCCCACGAAAATGAATTATCGGTATTTTCAAGGTAACTAAACTCGCTTCTCTTTAAATCTCTTGCAAACCAATTTGGTAGTTCTCAGGGTGAAGAGAACTAATATACATTAGTATTTGAGTTTGACAAGTTGATTCGACATGCTGACTATTCCAAATTATTTTTGACTTCTGAAATATTGATTCAAAAATATGTACTAAATTTTGGGCTATTTACCTATCTAAAATTAAGGTATACCGAAGTGGTTAAAGTCGCAGAGTGAAAGTGTTTTCAAGAGTTTTTTTTATGCCCATAACATAATAAAATTATCTTTGATAGCCATCGAAACCTGAAATGTTTTGCAGTGTAATAAATGTTTGACGGAAATGTTCTATAATTGGAATTCACTGGTTTTTCATCTTAGCTTAATACCCCCTAAGATTTCGGAAATCATTTTTCCTTCAGGCCACTGAAATTTAGACAAGATCAGAAAAGGTGATCGATGGAGAGGATTTTTAGATTTTTCCTTTACTGCAAAAGACATTTTGTGTAAATGCAAATCGTTAACGTTGTTTTCATGTCAAAAAGGGGATTTCTAAATGTTTAAAAAGATAGTTCCGGCTATAGATGATGATGTTGTGGTTTTGTTTGAGCTAATGAACTTGATTGATGATTGCATTTCCAAGGTCTTCCCTTCATTTTCAAGAAATTGTTTTTGAAAAATAGCAAAGGAAATTTTCGCATTTGTTAGTAGTTTTCAAGTCAACTGATTTATGAAAAGCTATGGCCATTGCCACAGGGACAACAAGGGTTTCGAATAATTTCGACAAACTGCAAAAATTTCTTTCTGACAATATAAAGTGCATTTTTCGATAAGGGTTACTTTCGTAAACGAAGACGTGAAAGTTAATATCATCATCTTAGTGCGCAAAATTTTAAGGGTAGAAGGGTGCGAATAATGAGAAACTGGCAAAAAATCTTTTTTTGTGTGATCCTTGCTAAGCTTCAGGAATATACAAGACACTACCCGGCGATAGAAACTAAAGGGGCACATCTTTCGCATTTTAAACTACACCTTAGGCAATGAAGGGTCCATTCATCTTAGCTGTATGCTATCGCTCACAGTTTTGATTGATTTTGTTATTACGTTCATGAATATGAAAGCTGAGAGTCCTTTGTGTAACTGATCAAGAAGACTTGATGAATGTTATTTTGCATTCTCACCAATCGCAAAACTTCTGAAAATTAGCGATAAAGTAGTAGATTCCCGAGTTGAAAATAAACACCTTCCTACCAAGATATATTCGAAAGGGCTACCATTTTAAATCGCTATAGATTCACGTCTTATTCATATATTTGAAAATTTGCCTTCACCACAAACCGAATGTCTTCATCTGATTGGCTAAATCATGGACTTAGAACACTATATGTGCTCCAAAAAGCATGAGAAATGGAAATTGACCGATAATTTGAGAGTACAGTTCAAGTGAACATGGCACACTGTATCCGGTGCTTCCAAGGGCTTTTTTCGCTCCTTGTAGTCGAGAACTTTAAAATAAAATTTCTAATACATCTCTCTTAAAGAATAGATTATAAAGTAAATATGGAAGCGATCTTCGCAGTAATGAACACTACTCAAGTAGTAGTGAAAATAAGGCCTGAAAAAAATTTAGGCCTGTACGGGATTTGAACCTATGACCTCTGCGATATCGAAAGAAACCCCATGGGTTTAACTGGAACCAACATAATGGCCAGCTCCCAATTGTCTTGTCAGCTCAGTAGGTAGAGCATTGCGAAGATCGCTTTTACGGATATTTCTTTAACGGCAGTTCACAATATGATTTTCATATATTTAAAGTCATTTAAAAATGAATGTCTGCCACTTGTGAGATTTTAAAAATTCTGTCCGATTTTTGAATCAAAATATGTCTCGCATGTTCTCTATTGACCTCTCACTATGGCTATTGTGCAATTGCGTGATAAACCTGGGTTTTGCCTTACCTTTCTTGATACTTCACAGTATGGGTTGTTTAACAGGATGTCACCTTGGTTCACACCTATATTCCGATACTTTTTTCCATGATTTACGGTTTTCCTTTGCCGCGCCAAAATTTTTCTGTTAATTGCACCAAGGTGGATGGCACTTTTTATTCATATTCAGATCCAAAAGCTCCTTGAAAATGAATCTATGCAAATGTTCATCTTTAGCTTTTATGATGTTGATCACTTTCTATAAGACAAATTGATAATCAGCCTCTCGTCATAATACAACTCTCACAAAGACTGCCGCGTTGGCCGAGTCGCCGCAAAATAATCTCCCTTTATAATAACAGAATGGCAATTTTAGGGTAGACTACCTTAGTACCTAGAATTCCTTTAAGTTGTTCAAGTGTGCGAGTAATCAATGAAAGCCGAACATATACTTTTTATAACAGAGGACGAAATATGCCTGTGCCATTTTCATATTTTAAATGACCCCTACAATGCACTGTATTGCCACTTTCTGTTATGGCCCGAGGGCATAATAAAACAATTATACGATAAGATTTGTAGCCATACGCATAAATTACATAAAGTTACATTTATTTATTATTTTCTGTAAGTTCTTTCCGTGGCATAGTCCTTAGCTTGTGTTGCTTGGCAACGAACAAAGGTAAACGTAAGAAAACATGAAATATTACCATAAAGTAAATGAAGTATTATCTGCTTCCATCTTTTAGTTTCTGTTCTCGGTTGAAATGTTGGCGGAAGCTAAAACATAGATTGCAAATTGATGGATCCTAACAAAATATACTATTTCAATCTTAAAGCAGTTGTTTGTGAAACTGTGAAACAGAAGGTGCGCATTTTCGAAAAATCCTATGTGAAATGCTGACGAACTCCCTCACTACATGCGCAAAACAATTATGTTTTTTTTTTCAGCATTAATTCTGTTTTTCCTTCATGCCGGCTGATAACTTTCGTAATCAAGGTACACACAGGTTTTTAATCATCAGTTGGGAAAATATTTCTGTTGGCGACCAGCTTGTTTTCCATTCCATATTGTTTACATCTTTTTTCGGAGTTGTCAACCTGACAATTTCCTTTTCTGGTGATATTCCCGAAGTCAAAAGGCGATCACACTTAGCCATTTTTCTCCTCAATATTTTTCATTTAGATAGTTTTCTTGCGGTCGCAAAGAAGTAAAAATTTCCAATTTTTTTTAATGGAATTATTCTTCATGGTGGTTATGTCACAAAAATTTAAAAAATATTTAATTCAAAAAATAATGTCAATAACATTTTGACGGTCACCCAAAGCTACGTTGGTAGGATAACGAGGTCGAGTTAAAAACTACCCATCCTTCTTGATATTTTATAATGTACGAAGTCGTGATTAGTTCAGCCATTAGCATTTGCCACCGTGAGAAGGGGCCACATGCAGTTCATGATCAGTGAAAAAAGTTTTTTGACAGTCACCCGAGTTTACAATGTAAGGACAACAAGAGTGATCTTAAAACCTCGTATCTTTCTCATTTTGTTTTCTCACGCGGCGATATCGACATTGCTGATCCTAGCTGTCTGCGAAACGCTTGTAACATATGAACCTAGTTATGTCCCGTTGCATTAGGAGGTTCTTTAAAACTCATTGGTAGAGCATCGAAGCGCTAACTGATCTAAACGTCTGAGGTGCGATTCAGCAAATGGGTTTCAGACTTTTTCTTTGTCCCATGGTCGGACAAAACGAAAAACATAATATTTTGCAAAAGAGGATCTTAATTACGTCTCTCGGATTCTCAGATCGTTGTAATTTGACCTACCTAATCTCCTGAAATCAAATGTCGCCACAGTTTTGCGAATGTTAGAAAGTTATTGTCTTCTTGGACGTTATAATTAGTACTTGACAAGGCCGTATATCAGATGTAAGCTTGTGTTTAAGACCATATTATATTTTTAATGTTTTTTCCCAAGGGAAACGGTTCCCCCCCCTCTGAGGGTCTCAATATTGCTCCTTAGAAAGTCGAGGAAAACAAAGACTCGAAGTTAAATAAATTGAAATAACTCTTTCCCTCGAGAACATAAAAATATATAACGAGATATTTCACACAATCAGATGAAAAACAAATAAACCTTCAATAAACGGGCGTTAAAAAGGAAAAAACTTTCTTCCTTCGAAGAATACAAAATGGATCCAAGCAAACGACTCTAAAATGTTGTGTTTCGTCCTCTATGTGTTGCTTGATCATTTTCGTCGGATGTCTTTGGATAGATTAGAAAATTGTATGTAGTTTATACACTGTTACGTTGCTTTCAAGCTTACTTTGTTGATGGTAGGCCAAAGAAAAGGGCGATGTATACAAAATAACCGGTGGTTTCATTCTCTGGGATAAAAGACGCCAACAAATAAATATTGAAAAGAGACTGAGGCTCCAGACCTCACAAACAAATTTTCAATACGTCAATTAAATTAACAAAAACACGAACATGAATAATTTCCCTAGCAAGTTTAATCAATTTAACAATTTTCTTTCCCTGAAATATTTGTGGGGAAATTTGAATTGTATCGCTGATTAAATTCTGGCATTGAAATTTTTACAACTAAGAAACTTACAAAATACTGCAGAATAAAGCTTATCAAGTCACCAAATTTATTAGTCTCAATGAACGTTACAACAAGGAGGTTATATCAAATATGGAAATTATAATGGTGTCTCAGTGAGCGATGGTTTTGTCAACCTAAGCATTTGTCATTAGAACACTCACAAAAATCGCGAATATCAATATTGCATTCGATAGCCTCCAGCATCTGAAAAATGGCGGAAAATTAGTAAACGAAGGATGCGTTATTCCCACTCGCTACACATACTTGCCTCAGATGTACACAATTTTAAATTCAAAGCAGTTTTGTGGTTAGTTGAGCAAGTACAGGTGAGTCAAGGGAAGAACCTTCCAGAAACTCCCAGATTTCGTATCTTTGATATTGTTTCGATGTCTTAAAAAAGGCGCTAAATATCTGTTTAAAAACTTTTGGCGCAAATCTTAACGAGCCCTATTGTATTTTTTTCCCAGTCGCCGATTTTGAACATTACGCATGCCTACCTTTAAGCTTTAACATTCTAACTAATTAAGCGCAACTGTTGCTAGACGAGAAAGCAAACGTCTAAGGGTTTTCACTTAAAAATGTTAGATGTCCGGCGCCATACTCTGTGGTAGCACTGACACCTGACACTGCCGGAGTCTTTTCATGCTTTTCTTTGTAGATTTCATCATAATGCTAAAAGCTGTGCCATACCTTAAAAACAAAACTATCTAGGAGATACTTTCTAATTGCTTTTTGAAGGAAATAAAATGTACGCTGAACGCGTAGTGCCCAAAACTTATCTTAGCAAACAGGTATAATTTCAAACTTTCCCTATCAATACAACCGTCTTTAGAATTTTGTTGCCGCTTCTAAGCAGGGATGTCTTAACTTTCGCATCTGTATTGATCTCGAGTGAACTTTCTATATGTATCTAATTGCCAAATGTCAATAGCAACTCTGAGACCCAACATGACGTCAATCAATTTAAGTAACAAAAGATTTATATTGTGCAGCCCACACAGAATTCACTTAAAAACTTTGTACCACACGAGAAATTTGTAACATATCTTTAGCTATCCCTTTTTCCTTTTCACCGTCTATGAGGCTCTTCCTCCATAGTTTAGGAAGCTTTTTCAATCACTCTTTCGTTGACTTTCGTATAAGCAAGAAACCCGAAAGGCTTGTTGTTAATCTAATCAGTTCATGAGTGGGTTTGTTGTTTCCTCGCCGTGTGCTTTCTTCAATTCGATATGCCCTCTTTCGCGAAATTAGTCTGAATAGAATTAACGGAGAATGAATGAAATTTTTTCCCATGACTATAACGATCTTTACATGAAACACAAAATACACGAAATGTTCAGAACTAGATATTCTCTTTGATTTGAAAGCAGTGAAAACAGTTGACAGAAAGAAATAGTCGTATTCGGTTGTCTTACTACGTATTAGAACTCTATGTATTCAGTCGTCGTTGTTATTATCTTTCAGACCATGAAAGTGTTTGCTTTTTTGTTTCTTCTCTATTTGCTTGGGTGACCTCTTTTTCCATTGAAATACCAGCTCAAGGGATGTAATTTAACAAACAGAAAAACCAAACTCAATTGAAAGGTTTCAATATTGACTTTGGAACGTTTTTCATTTCAACTATTTGAATAGCTTAAGCTTTTTTATTTACCCAAGTGAAAGGTGTTTTTGGATTTTCTCTTTTAGACTTCCATAATCACAGGAACTTGATATCCCAACCTTTGCATTAGCATTCTCAATATTTTCACCCGTATTATTTAATACTTCCTTCGATAGTTCAAAAGTATTGCAAAACAATAAAGGTGGATTTGCTAATAATAAGGGCTTGGAAATTTTTGACACCAATTGCGGTTCCGATTCATTTCGACGGATACTTTGTCTCATTTTCAAAAAGTTAGTTGTGTGCTCAAAACGAAGGAAATAAGAGAGAGAGAGAGAGAGAGGGAAAGAGATTAAATATGCCCTACAAAAACTGAACAATGACCCTTGCTCCTGACTCGTGGAACAAACATGATTTTCCACGAAGCGAAAAGTACCTTTTTGACAATATAGAGAGCTAAAACAGATTTCGAAATTTGTTTACCGCTGAGCTGCAGCGTAGCAAGATTTACTGATTTAAATTTACGAAAACGAACAAAAAAAAGGAATAATAAACCACAGAGTGAGCTAATCAATACGATAAATATGTTGCATGTCTTAAATAAAAACAGGATAAGGCTTACCGACACACAGAACTTCATTTTCAGTTTGAGGCGTATGGTAAAAGGATATTTTAAATCGCAAATTCAGTGATATCAAGAAGACACAACTGTTGATGATGAATCTGAGCAAAGCCATTCAAATCCGGAAGGTGTGCATTTGTTAGCTTGTATCGATTTATTTTCAACCAGTGAAATTCTTCTTAAGTGACAATGGCGTACCTCAAATCAGTTTTGCCAGCCTGTATCCTTTTTTTTACTCTAATTGTGCATCTGACTTGTACATGACCCTTGATTTATAAACTTGAATAACAGGAAACGAAATGAAACACAATAATTTGCACTCACCAGGCGAAAATCGTGTTTTGCTCGCTCACGTATTCTAGAAGGTTTTTAATTCCGGTCTTGTTTCCTTCAACGCTTTGCTTCACAAAGAAAATAATAACCGTTTCGAACTAATGACGTTAGTCTTATTGTATAATTCCAGTTACCACCTCCGAACAATTAACATCTATATTTGCATTTTGAAATTCAAAGTGCTAAAAGTTATCAGCTTTAAATCCATAGTCCGAGTACAGCTTTATTGCGCCAATTAAACCAAGTCCTAAAGGGAAGACGCGGTTACATATATCTGACTGTTAAGTGCCAGTTCATTTAAAAGCCAAGAAGTGATAATTCAAGAAAAACGTAATAATAATCAGAATAAAACCCAGGCGATACCTATCTACAAATCAAAAGGCACATAGTAGGTATTTTTATGACAAAAAAAATTGTCGTTGGAGTAATTAGTATTCATACAAATCGCAGCAGTTGACCGATACGTCATCTCCTATATCTCTTTGATTTGAATACTTGAAATAAATATGAAAAAAATACTTAGAAAGACACAAGTGTGTTCTCGGAATTTATTTGAAATTGAGCTTCGTCGCAACGAATTCTAAACTCTTAAATTGAAGACTTATCACCCTAACAAGCAGCTGACTAAATTATCAAAATAATAATAGTAGAAAACTCTTGCCTTTGGATTGTTGGTAAACTATTGCCCTTTAAAAAGATAAGGAAGGTAAAAATTCACATGTGAATACTTTTTTTCGGTAAATTTAAGGCCCCATTTAATGTAAAGGGAATAAAGGATAACTGTAAGAAATTTCATGATCCCATTTGTTGTCTACTATGTCATTTCTTTCGTCTATGAAAAACTATCCGAGGAGCGATTCTCAGAAGATGCGCTGCTCGAAAAAGTTGTATATTATTTAAATTATTTAACATGCTATCGCATGTATTTGGCTGAATTCCGAAAAAAACGGTTGGGGGGGGGAGGGGAGGGGGAGTCATTGAAGAGATGGGAGACCATGCGATAAAGCGAACTGCATGGGATAGAAAGAAATAAGGTTTAACCTTTACTGACCGTGTAATGATATGTATGTTCAATCAAATCGATCGTATGGCATCACTAAGTATTTGTACGCGTTTCGTGCGTCTGCATTTAAAAAGGAATTCAGTAAAAGGAATTCAGTAATGATAATGATTATAATAATGATGCACTTATGTTGCGCGTTTCCGTATTAATAATAATATACATGAAAAAATTACTCAGTTCTGATCATGATTGGTTAAGATAATGCAGTTTTCAGGTAATTCAATGCAGAAGAGGGTTAATTCAGTGCAAAGAAGTAACAAACCAGACATTCTGATTGGTTATTAATCAAAGAAATTCACAGATAGCCAATCAAATGCGAGCCTTGGATGTCGCAAGATTTGGATACGCTAAAAATTTGCGAGCGAAATAATGGCCGGCATGTTGATTAGGTTTTCTTTCGCCACCGCAACAACAATATAGCTGCTGAAAAACAGCTCTAACAACGAAAACACTGTAAAAAGTACTGTTTTTTAATTGTCCGTTTGGAAAAAGTGGTGTTTAAAGAGTCTTTAAAGAAGGGAATTGCCAAGGAAATCGAAAATTACGAGCCGACCCAGGTTAGCACTTTGCTCGAGCGATTCTACGCCGAAATAAAAATCAAACATGGTAAAACTTCGCAATTCCTTGAACTGTTTAGCCGGACTTTGAACTTTTTTGCGCCTTAAAGGTGTGAAAATATCATTGTATATTACTGTTTTGATCGTACGCGGTTGTTTTAACCGAACGCACAATGTCACCTGCAGGGCTTGAATAAATATATTTGCACTCGATGCGCGCGCTTTGCTTCTGCGTAATTATGAGAAGCTATCTCGTATTTTTTCATGTATATTATTAATACGTAATCACATGATTATTCTCGTGCAATTTGGAATAAATAAGCACTTGTTAATTTTTTTAAAGACCACAAATTGCACGAGCCCGTAGGGCGAGAGCAATTTTGTTAGTCTTTTATGTACTTTTAAATTTACTCGTGCTTATTTATTCCAAATTGCACTCGAAATCATGTGATTACCTATAGTAATATGCTCTTATGCGCTTTACAACACTTTGATCAGTGCTATACTCCTTCAAAGTGTTTATTGTTAAGCTTTCCGTCTTTCTTTTCCCTTCCTTAACTCTTTTTTTCCCAGTTCTTTTATCAAATGAAAGGCACGGAAAACACCTACAAACAAATGCGTGCGATTACCGAACAAGTGCAACACTTAAAACGAATGGCTATTTTTTTTTACATTAAAGTAACCGAGCAGGTTTTTGCCAGACAAATAGACTGGCAGTTCAAATTTTGAGGATTGCAAGACTGTCTGCATGTTTTAACTGTCTCAGCGCATTTCATTTGGCATCCCCCTCCGCGACAAATCTGGGTGCAATGTTCAGATTTACACTCCATATTGCAGTTAGCTCCCGCACAGTCTTGTAAGCAATTAGTTGAGGTGCAAGCCATTGAGTAGCAGGCTCCATCGTTGCAAGTTTGTGTACATTTAATGGATGCTCGGCACTCCATTCTCCGGCAGTCTCCTTCATTGCAAATTTGATTTATTGATCGGAAAATGCCATAATGTAGCCATCCAAGAAATGAACAGCTTCGTTTCTGTGGGCACTGCTGATGACATTCACGTGTTAACATTGAACATCTAACCCTCCTTGCGATTGCCTGGAGTTTGGGAGCTTGGGCAGGAGTAACACAGCTTCCAGACTGACAGTAACGTTTGCATTGTTCTGCTTCACATCCAAGAATACAGTTGCCTCCAGGACACCACTGGAAACATTGCTTAACATTCGACATGCAACTCATCCTACAGTCGCCTCCTCTGCATGTCTGAAGACATGTTTCTGCTTCGCATTCCATCGTGCATCCCCCAGCGACACATTCCTGAATGCATACTCTTGAGTTGCATAAGTATTTCATGCATTTTCCTCCAATGCAGACCTGGGTGCATTTACGGGGAGCTTTGCAGTCGAAATGGCAACTTCCTCCCGCGCACACCTGCAGTAACGAGCTGTGATGGCTATATTTATATTTCATGTCGCAATTTCCCTCAGAGCAAGTCTGCATACAAATACTCTCTCTGAGATCGTCGTTGCAGTAAATGTATCGTGGTGCACCAAGTACTGCCTCTAAACCTCGAGTAACTTCCGCACCGTAAGTACATTCTCCTCCTCTACAAGAACGTTTGCATTTCTCTGCATTACAAATCATGTTGCATTTTCCGCCATTACAAGTCTGCTCGCATGACTTTACGCCAGGAGGGCAACGCATTGTGCATTTTCCCAATTCGCACCACTGTGTGCAGGTTGTGGCTCCTTTCGAGCAGAGCATGTTACAGCCACCCATAAGACACTTCTGTCTGCAGGTCTCTCCACCACAATCCATCAGTTGACAGCTTCCTCTTGTGCAATCTTGTCTACAATACTTGGATTTACAAAAGATGTTGTTACAACGGCCAGCCACACATCGCTGAGTGCACGAGTTTGAAGTATGGCAATGCAAACGACAACTACCGCTGTTACAAGTTTGTTGACAAAGCTTATGTTGTGCGCTTTCGCGGCACATAATTTCATGATTTCCCGTTTCTCGGTATTGATGGCAAGCGTTTTTATAGATTAAGTTGCACTGCGTTGGCCGAAGGCCGCCTCCTACTCTGAGGATCAGGATGGCAACAGCAACCAAAACAACTGGGCCTAGCATCTTTTCCTGGAACGTAAAAAGGTAATTAGCACATACTAAATGACGAGATAATCCTTCAAATGGAAACGCTTTACAGCACTGCTTCTAACGCAGGTGACCCGCAGTTAACCCATGAAGGAATCTTCTGTTTACCGACTGAAAGAGAATATTTTGCGCGTCATTAGTTTTGAGTGGTAATGCAAATATGTTTGGCGAATGTTCTCTGAAAACACTGAAGCGAGGCTCAGCGCGATCTCTAATCAGCATATTGAAAATGTGCATTAATTTCTAAGGGCCCCATGGCGTAGTTCTTAGTAATAATTCTCCCTTGACTTGTCTCTCGGAATTTTTTCTGGAAAGGCCTTTTCTCGTGATTGTGGAACATAATGCGACCCTTCAAAAGACTTCGAGGCAATAGATGATAGCACGCCAACAAGACGCTTCCGCCAGAAAACAAATGATTTCTCTTGTTTCAGTAGTCACGATAAGCAGAAAATAGCGCGATACGTCAAACAGTGAAGTATAATACATTGAAACATAAACCTTGACAAGCTTTGAAAGTAAACGAAGCGTGCACAAGTGAACTAAAAGGTATATCATCGCTTGCAATGCTTGCATAGGATGTTCCTCGGCCACAATTATTTCCCATGATTCCGAACAACTCAGCTAAAAAGTATATACCTGAAAACAATCTCAAAAAAAGACTTTAAAGAAGAGAACAAAAAAATGATAAAAAGATGTGTAAAACTTGACAAAAGTTTCCGACACTATCAATTTTTGGCTTCCACTGGACTAACAGTTCGCCTCCCCTTCCCTCGTGAAAGTAGGCACATTCTTTGTTTGTTGATAGCTGCCTACGTGTTGTCTTTAAAGCTTAGGACAGACTATGGAACAGTTAACCATTACACATGCAGGAAACGATACCGTAACCGAAGCGATATAAAGAGGTACTTGTTAGAAACAACCCAGAAGAAGCATATCTACATCACTCCAAATAAAATGTTTATGTAACTCTCTAATCTAATCTTAAGTAACTACTTGTTAAAACTAACCATGTTGTAATTGTTAGATAGAAGATAGATAGCTTGCGAATCGATCAGATAACATCGTGAACCATTTGAGCAAAGGAATATAAAATGATGAAAATGGAGCAGTGGAAATGGATTTGGAACCGTGTTGTTGCTCCCTAGTAGTAAACAGACACCTTTCCGATATCAAGGTTGACAATGTTGTGTAGCAATTGTCTTGTGTGATGGAATTTCTGGCAATATCCTAATTGCTCCATAATCAACCAACTCAAGAAATATCACCTTTCAGTTTTATTTTATCTTTGGCGTGCTCACCTCTACTTATTCTCGTATCATCTCAGATTGATAGCGCGGTTTATTATAAGCTGAACTCATAAATACCATGTTATTTGGCTTTCAGGGCAAGGCACGTATTTTATGGTAAAAAAAAAATTGGCCTAGCGGGCGAAATAACTTTTAGAGATATGACTACAGCTGACGCGTGTCTGATGATATCCTTATTGAAATTAGAATAAAGTTAAAACATGATTTTAATAAACTGTCTGAAGTTTTCATCTGGATAAGCAATAGGTACATACGCTAATATCATCGAGGTAAGTTCTCACTTCGATTAAGAGAGGCTGTCAAATTTTTCCGAGTGGGGCGACCCAGTTAGCGCATGATAACAGCTAAAACGAAAACCTATAAAGCTTTTTTCGGGAAGCTCCCCTTGCCTGTATGCTAACTTCAAAACAAAGCATCCTCGATGTCGGGATCAATAGTTTGGATAATGTCGAATCCAACCAAATATCTATCAAAATGTTATAAAGAAAAACGGGTCAAAAGTCATAACAGTTCGCCAAAGATTTCATTCGATCCTTATCTAAGGCTAAGAAACTAAAGCACGTTCGCAGATAACCTCTTTGCACTGATTAGTCTGGAGAGAAACTCAAAACTGAAATATTTTCTTTTATCAAAGAGCTTCCAGCTAAAATATATTAAAGTTCACACGGCAACCAGGTGGACAATCAGACATAGTTTGAAGCTACACTGGTTTGCAGATTTAATGAATCAATCAATAATGAATTGCAGATTTAATGAATGTAGAACAGCTTCCAGCTGTTGAAAAAAGTTTTCTGTCAGGTTTGTTGCATTTCATTGTTCAACATGATGAAGAATAGGAAAGTTGTGAGAAAATGAAAAAGAAGGGAAAACTGCAGGTGAAACTATCCTTAGCCTCTGCTGTTTCGTCTCCTCAATGCGGTATTTGTTTTTAGAATGATTGCGTTCATGACCTTCACCAGAGACTGATATTCACCGCTTAAGTATGCGAAAAAAAATATTGGAGAACCCACAAAGAAGCTTGTTACTTCTTGGGCGTTCATGACCTTCTCATTGGAAATTTCTTATCCTCGTACTGTTAAAACTTACAACCTGGGGATAAAGCCATGTCGTGAGATTTTGACGTCGACATAGGCGTTGTTTCTACCATGAAGCCTTCACTAATGTTATCTTTTAAAAGCACGATATTTAAATTTGCGTTTGCTATTGACTATATTGAATCTTTATTCTGTACTGCACCATCCCTACTTCGACAAGTGTAGATGTACATGTTGTGCCTAGCACCGATAACCGTATTTTTAGATCCAATCAAGAACACTTAGACTCCTACTATACATTTAATGGACTTGTCCATCCACTTTCCGTGTCCATATTATTATCTATCACAGGCATAAGGGAAATTCCATTTATCTGAAAGAAGGTCTAGTTAGATACGCCCACGAAATTCCTATGGTAAATTAATTTGTGTTATCGAACACCTTCATTGTTGTTAAATTACTTTCGTGCAGTGTTCTGAGTGGGAGGTCATTGCTGTTAATCAAATGTGCTCTTTACTCGCTGTCTCTATCACCTGGCATCTTTATAATTAAATTTGTGTGCTTCATAATTATGTGTAATTCAGTGCTGACTGTTTATGGGGTCAAATAATCCAAAAGAACAATGATACTTTTTCATTGGAATCTACAATCCCTAGAGATACATCTTTCAATGGTTCATTGATACCAAGCTCATTTGAAAGAGTGGAGAGGTGTTTGATAAGGAACAGTACAATTAAGGGTTTCGCCAGTGTCTTTATCTCTCGTTCCTATCATAAATAATATTCCTAAACGCCAAAGTCATAAATTTTTGGCAGGGGAGAGGAGTGAAACGAAGGCTGGGAGGGAAGGAGGGGGGGGGGGGGGTGGGGAAATGGATAGACGAGGATTAAGGGCATTGAAACAAAATGACCAACAGAAATACAAAAGCTTGATGAGGGACTGTGCGCTAGTATATCGTAAATGTAATTAGAATTGCCCTTGTTTTTTTGTAATTTTTCTCTTCATGCTGGCAGGAGCCCATCATCCATGATGTATCTAATACCTGATATATTCTTTCTTTCTTGCTTCTTTTTTTTACTCGGGATCGGTTACATGATTAAAGAACTACGTGTGCGTATTCTTTACGACTAAAACTGAGACAACATACGCGATAAGAAAGGAGGTACATTGATGTCGGACAAGACTCGGTATAAGCACACTTGGCAAAGCAGTAGACCTAGACATCAATTACTAGTTACATTGAAGCTGTACAGTAAATGTGCTAACACAGAGACAACAATGAGTGACGGCGCCACTTTCGCCAAATGTGTAACAGATACTGATATCGGCAAAATACACAACACACTTACGTACCAAAGTAGTGACCAACCGTTGAAAGAGCTAAATAAGTGTTTCTAACATCTAACACTCCAGTATAGTCCTAACAGCCGCCAAGGCTGCTGTTAACCGACGAGTCTCGCAATAATGATGGCTCCTTGGTTCCATTCGGGAAATTACACACTTAATGCTTCTAGCAATTTCTTTGCAATCAGGAGTTTGATCAAAGATACTATCAATTTAGTACCGCTACAGTTAGCTGGTTAATACATGATGATTAACAATATTTGCATCACTTCCTCGCCATAAAACACTTAGATCAGGAGGTAATTTAGATTCAGTTATAACATGTTTTCTTATGTTACTTAAAAACCACACTTCAAGGTTTAAATGACTCCAGTAGGTTTTATCACTGTCACGATCAAACTAAGGCGTAGGTGAAATATTTCGGGTGCTCTTCAATTGAGTCTACCCTGATAAAGATATCAAATTGGTTCTAGGTATCTGAAAAAAGATTGCAAAGTTCAAAATTCATACTTGGCAGTCCTATTACAGATGAAATTGAAATTTATTTTGAGATTATTGGAGGTGAAACATTTGCGATAACAATCTTCATTAGATCTTACCGAAGTCTGACCTAAAAGCACAGTGGTCTGTATCTGTAAGGTACTAAACCTTCCAACTTTGTAGTCAGCTTCGACAATGAAACGCTTACTCTTAGGACTGCTTTTTGCTAAACTTTAAGAAAGTTTCTTATGAATCATTTATGTTTTTAATTCAGACTTTGAAGATTATGATGCAGTTATATGTATCTCTCTTTTTTCATGTTAGTAACAGAAGTTACCGAGTCAATGAGGACATTCCTTGCTAGTAAGTGAAGTCGTAAAATAGAAACCTTTGCATTATATTGCAAGAACTTCTCTATGTTAGTTTGCCAACAGTCACGTCGGCAAAATCGCTTACGCCGCCTTTTCTATCGATAAGCTATTAATTACAACAACTTCAATTTTTCAGGGGAAATCTTTAAGCAATTAAAAGAAAAATGAAATCGAACATATATTTTTTTTTTCACCATAACCTGTAGAAAAAAAAAATGACATTGAGGTCTCCTGTAGAAAAAAACAATGACATTGAGGTCTCCCGATAAAGCGATAATTCTAATTTGGTAAGTGTGGTCTTCATCATTCACATGATGTCTTCTGCACAGGTACAGGATCTCTACCTCATGATGCGATGACAGTTAGTATCAGAATATCTCGGCCCGTAACAGACTTCAGGTAAATCGGAGATAAGCAAATGAGGGAATGAGAGAAAACAGCCATTTAATTTCATGGGGTAGGTTCCCTCTTTTTTTTTTTTTGTCTCTCGTATGTCACGCTTTTCCTTTTACACTTGTCCTCACGAATTGACTGCTAAAAGCATAGTATGGTTTCCAAGGGCGCAATCTTTCTAAGATTTTCAGGGAAGCATTCTCATCCCGAAAGTTCTTTTAGTATTAATTTTTCTTTAAAGCAGCTTTCAAAGTCTCCACTAGAGGTGACTGACGTACCTGGCATGATGTAAACGTAGACTTAATTTTCCACCAAACGGACAAAACTGAGGAACTTCCCTTGGGCTAAGCAATCCCGTTGAGGAAAAAAGTCCCCTCTTGCTTCAAATAAAATCTTAGAAAAAAAACTCAGCCGACGCTAAACAGTGGGTGGGTTTAAACCTTAGCTAAGGCTTATTTTTCTTACAACGCCTCTCTCCATCTTAGAGCATTAATAAGTGCCAACAAAGAAAACCTGATGAAATCATTCTGAGAGGTGACCTAGCGAAGGTTGCTCGCCTCCCCCAATTCAGGGAGGGATAACGATCCAATAGTCTCTTCATGACTATGCACGATCGGCCTTTAAAAAATTTCAAAAATTGTCACTTAATTTGAAATGTCTTCTCTTCAAGTTGATTTTAAGCCCATTACAAACAAAGTAATGCGCATTAAAAAAAACTTACCGTTGATAATTATTTGATAATGATCTAAAAAAGCGCTGTAAACAGCGATGCGATAATCTTATCACGATTACATCAGAGTAAATTGAGTATAGTACCTCACAAAGCGATAACCTTATCACCTTCATACATTGTATCAAAGTAAATTAAAATATTTCAATTTCATCATCTTTTGCGTACTTTTCGCCTTAAAAAGACTTCTTCTTATCGCGATTTTAGCAGTCTTTTAAAAGGACGAGATCTCGTTGTATTTCATGTAAATCACATAACGCTTTTTTCTCAGGCAACCTTGGCGCAAGAGGAGATTAGTGCCAGTTTTCCTCCACTTCATTCTCCTGTATCCAACTGTTGTTAATGCCAGTTAGCTCGGAACAAAGCCTAAAAGGCCAGCATTTGATAATCATTCACGTATACATATAGTTGTAACTAAATGCTGTCGAGTTTTGGTAAACTACGGCCTGTGTGACTAGGTTTTCTATTTATATCTCACTGTTTACATCCTAAGTCTTATGTTTTTAATTTTGACGAGAAAACTTCTTTGAACTGAAAATCACAAATTTCGCTGGACGACGGTCTTTAATTTCGTCCGTCATACTCAATTAGTCTTAATTATCTCTATCTATGTGTCTAGATAGCCTGTTTTTTCCTCTCGATTGAGTCAACCAATTTTTTTAAACCCCATTTTAATCAATTATAATCTTGTAATCATTTTTTTTTTATTTAATTAGATTATTGATTTGACTGCAGACTGATAATTCTGTTTCCGGTTTCCAACCGCGAAACTGTTTGCATAAGACACAACTTGGCACATTTGTCCCACCAACTGAGTAATTTGGAAAGCAGGGCAATTAGTTGAAACAACACCCGAAAACACCTGTTTATATTAATGCAGGATACGCATGGTATCAAGAGCCATCTTCTCTTTATTATGAGGATAGATTTCGCCATTTTCAAATCATAGAGAGTTTACTTTGGGGTTTTTTCAATCTCTCAAATTTACTCTTTTGCTAAGGCGTTAATCTTTTTTATGTTATAGTATCTTCGTCCTTCTCTGTGTACTTAACCTTTGTAGACTTCAGTTTGTGGTTGTTTCCATTTTAGGCAAGATTTATTGCAAATTTGGAAAGAGGAAAAAAAGATAACTAATGTGCCACAGGATTCCTAACTATAAGGAGAAAAATGGACATCAAAGTCCAACAGTTGCCTATGCTTTTGCCAAAATAAACTGTCATTGATCCGGTCAAACTAAACATTAATTTTAGAAAGCAGGATTTGGCTTACAAGTCGGCAAACATACTTCCTCTTAAAGTATTATGTAAGAAAACATGGGTGGTGTGTAATCAAACCCTGGACTGCGGAAACCAATACAGAACATCAAACATGAGATTAAAAAATATTTACGATTTTAAGGTGAGTAAATACACGTAAAAAACAACTTATTATCTCTCTTATTCTCTTTATTAATAATCCTCCTGGTAAATGTTTAAATCAAGAAAAATGCAAAGCGTAAAGGCCGCCAAAAAAAGTGTGCATTAGTATACGTAATCTGTATTATGCTCAAAGAGAACAACCTTAGACTTCATCAGAGTTAAGTGCTTCTCGTGTAAATACCATTTAGATAAAAAAGCAAGATAGTTTGATCTTATCTATTCCACGTGTGCATTTTCCTAATGAAGAGATTTTATCTAAAATTAACGTTTAATGAAAACTCATCATTAAGGTTTGAAGCTGAAAAGTGTTCCCTCAGCTTTGTACCAATCCCTATGTATTGCAGATTTCACTACTAAGCTTGTCACGCATGGAGATCTTCGCGTACAGTCATAAAAGACTGGTAGAAATTTTTGAATTTCATAAGCTAGAGTAAGAGAACCTGCCTCTGATGATGTTTTAAAAGAATGGTCTTAGATACTTACTGAAACCCACCTGTTTCTTGAGACTCTTAAAGACCATTAGATTTTATCTTCTTGAGAGCTGAGGACGGTTAAAAAGCCCACCAAGTTGCATTCTTCATGCCAAACGTGTCACTGACTACCTTTTCACTAAATGGCCCTTCGTTACTCACTTAAAAAATCATATTGGCACTGTTCCTACACACCGTAGATACGATAAGGTCTAAACAATAGCTAACATAAAAGTTTACCGGACTCATCCTTTTGTAAGAAGATGTCAACAACTTGGAGATAGAGCTTAGAAAACTTACCTTTAGAGGACCACTGACTCGAGGTGTGCGAGGTGTGCGTGATAAAATCTTCGTCTGGAATAATAATTTGCGGTTACACAAACTTGACGTAGCATGAACGTTATCAGATCACAAGAACATTCTCGAATGTTATTGAATACACCATTACAGGTTCGTAAAAATCACGATATGTGATGGGGTTGATGTTGATCCTAGATGCTTTTAGGGGAAACACATGAACATGATGAAGAAGATTTTTACGTAATCTGTCATGGGGTAGACAACATACCTTGGTAATACAGTGTTTTGAGCTTGGGCTGATTAGTAAATCTCAACCTTCGAGATATCTGAAGTTTTCAGACTGTCAGAAGTTGATAAACTTTATCCCTGAGTGGAATTTCGTGCAATTGGGCTCTAATATTAGGACCTGGCGAAACAAATTTGAGTGGGGGAAGAATTTTTATAAGATTCCAGATAGGTGGAAAACGTCCACGAGGAAGGACGGCGTTGTTGTTTCTCTCGTTAATGATGTTGTTGTTATCGTAAGGATTGCTTAGTAAATGAATAACACATGTAAGGTTGAGGCGGTCAAATCAAGGGTGAAATCGAAGAAAAAGTAGATGTGCGTCTGATATCAAATATCTGAAATAAACAAATTGTCGAAATGTACAAAATCCCACACAGCCGTTCAACTGACCCTTCAGCTGGTGTTTTCCGCGTTTCTTCGTATCTGCGCACCTTTTGCTCCGGAAACGTCTAATTATTCAATTGAAGCCTGGTTGGGTCTTATTCGTAGGCTCACTTGATCGTTTTACATAAACACCCACGAGAATAGAACTACTGTCTCGTTATTTGTTTTCAACCAAATCAGATCAGCACTGAAACAATGTTTTGAAAAGAAAAGAAGAACACGTCTTCCTTCATGTTTTTTAGTTTAAAGCTGTAGAAATTCCAGATTACTTCCACATCACAAAAATACCTTTCAGAAAATAGTATAATTTCTAAGTTCTGCCGCCTAAAACGGTCTTTTCACTTTACTCCTTTACGTAGGTGTTTCACAGGATTTTTAAAACTATGTAAGTCTTGAGAACAATCCCAGCATGAGACACGTTGCGTCTGAAACAGAGGTCACCTCCTCATACTGGAATGTTTGAAAAGAGTATGGATTTCATTAATTTTTTTATTTTTGTCGCTAAGGGATCTCAATTCAGAGCGTTAAAGTCGTATTAATTTTGGCACGAGGTAAATGGGGGTGGTACCTTTGGGGTAAAAGGTTTCTTGTCGTTCCAAGTCACCGGTTAATGACTTTTCTTTCTTTAAGAAGTGTTTGTTATAGAGCCTATGTAAACACGATTTTTGCTTAGCAGTTTCTTCGTTTCCGTAGAGGAATCTGATCACAAAAATTGCCACACTTACAAAATGTGGTTTTGGGTATTCCTAGATAGCTGAACAGTAGACTGGGGCAAGCAAAATACCGTCCTTTTTTAACATGTCGAGGGGAAAAAAGTGCTTTCAGAATTCAGAAAAATTACAACTATGTACTCGCGTGACGTAAAAAATGCACTCGTTTTCAGCCAATCAGAAACGCGTAGTTTTTTTCACGAATATTGTTATATCTCTAACACTGTGTAGTTCATGTATGAAAAGACATATGACGCATCATCACTGAGAAAAAATGGCAGCTGGTAACTACGAACACATTCTCATAACCAACTTTTTACTGATGTTTTGAATAATTTGAGCCTTCATTGCAGCAAACAATCATAAGTTTAGGCCTTGTTCATCAAATGTAAACGGATTTGAGCAAAAACCTCGATGCCATTGGTAGGAAATCAATGACTGTTTACTTTTCATTTTAAAACCCCGATGATGTTTAATATTGAAAGTTCCATTTACAACGTGGCACTCATTTCTAAAGAAGTACACACTAAGTCAAATAAAGCCGGTAGTATCTTGCCACCTATCAATCAAAAAAGGACCAATTAACCCTTTCATTCCCAATATCTCTTTAGTAATTCTCCTTACTGTCTGCCATACAATTCTCATAATGTTAGCTTCGGAGAATTTGGTATTGGACTAATCATCCCCTAATTGATATTTTTAGCTTTTCCTATCCCTCGTCTGCTTGATATTGTAATAATATTGTATGGAGAAACTCTGTCTTAGTCACTCATGGGAGCTTATGGCATGAGATACACTGATCTCAAGCAGTTATATTTTTAAGGGAACGGAAAATTAGGCGACGCAGACAAAAAGTGACTATCCAAATTTAAATGAAAAAAAAGTGAGTTAAAAGATCAGGAGAAACGATCTGCTTGAATCTTGCTTACAACGCATCTGATATGGTTATGTGGATGTCGGTTTTTACATGGCTTCTTAGCGCTCTGGCTCTACTGGGAAATGGTTTGGTAATTTACCTTTTGGTTGTCAGGAAACGACTCCATTCGTCAGCCAATGCATTCATAACTTCCCTCGCCTTCGCTGACTTTTTCGTTGGGCTCTTTACGATGCCATGCTATCGTATGACATCAGTTTTCTCTGGATACCGAAGCGTACGGCTTTTGAAATCATTCCGTTATTTTCTCTTTTACACTTCTGCCAGCAACTTATGCGTCGTAACAGCGGATCGATTTGTCGCCGTAGCCTGTCCTCTCAGATACATAACTTTTATGACATGGCGTCGCGTCTTTTCCTTCATTTTTGTAGCATGGCTAACACCCTTCACAGTCTGTTTTCTCCCTGTCACATGGATATATTCGTCTTCCGTAGAAACGCAAAAAATCTGCAATAAGGTTTTCGTCGCCTTTCTGTTGACTTTTTTCGAATTTTTACCTTGCATAGTGATGGTAAATACAAGCTGGCGTCTTTTGTGCATTTCTCGTCGGCACACTCGCCAAACTCTCGCGCTACAATCACAGTTAAAATTCAACCATCCCACTCTAAACTTCTCTTCTTTGAGAGAACACGGAGAGAGGAATATGTCCTCAGCAAAACTAATCAGTGTTGTTGTTGCACTGTTTGTATTTTGTTACACTTCAGAGATGATCTCTTCGCTTTTTCATCTGCTAAATTTACACAAAAACATTTGGAGAAACTATTTTAAAAATGATGGAAGGTTCTTGTTTTTGATAACTAATTCAGCTGTCAACCCATTCGCGTATGCTCTACTAAAAAAGGATATTCAAAATGAGTTTAGACGTTTCTTTTCTCGAAAACGTTTTCACTGATGAGACCTGATGAGTTATTATAATGTTCCCCCTTTGTATTTACCAGCGCAAAGATTTGAAATTCATGCTCTACGCATTACGCATATCCTAGATGGAAATTTTCTGTAGCAATTTCAGCCCTATCTAATATTTTGTCATTTTTGAATCTTTTCTGGTCCTTTTAAAGACTTATTGTATAGATAACTAAAGTCATACAGATAGAAATGATGCCGGAATTATTGCTAAGGTATCCAAAATCCTTTAAAGAAGCACGCTCTCGAAAATATTAGATTGATGTTAAAATTTATGGCTGTATTGGGTAAATTTTCTTTGATGTTGGATTAAAACTGATTTGTTTTGAACACTTTTCGATTCAATTGAAATCTACTGTTAAACGTTGTACGCCATCTTATTTTTCAAACAAGATTATTCAAACAATAGACCGCACTTTCGACCGGTTTACCGGCGTAATAACCCACAAGGGATATTGGGAGGACACGAGCAGACTCGCCAATTTACAAGCCGCACTACGATCTGCACTTCAAAAGTCAGATAGTGCACACAAGTATGCCCCCAGCAGCGAATCGTGCGTCATACACTGTGAGGCAGAACTTTGTCACTTGAATTGCGCTGATGAGTCTTGCACCATTGTCACGTTAAATACTCCCCGAAGTAGTAGTAGTAGCAGTCGCCTTCAGATTACAGCCTCGCTTGTATTGATGTTATTGTTCCCGGTGGCTGTTTTCATGCGATTGCTGTCTGGCAAATCCAAAGCTCAACAGGGAGACTGTACTGATTTTATTGTAATGTTTAAATAATTTCGAAAAGAGAATTGTTCTCGGCAGCGCAGAACACCCAAAAATAGACGGCTCCACATTTTCGATATTTCTCTTTAGTATTAATGAAACTATAACGGGTTCTTCCATGATGATCAGTAAAGAATAAATAATGAGTCGCAACCGAGATTAGTGTCCTCGTACTCAGAAAACAAATTGTTAAAAGTTATTAGCAAAATCTTGGGCCAATCGAGGCAGGACATGTCCTTAGTACCACGGCGCATGGTTTTCTATCGAGATTTACATCATTTTATTGATAGATACCAACCGCTAACGGTTAAATGAAATGAAGTCTACATAAAATGTTTAAAGAATTTTTCTTTTTTCTTAATTTTCGTCCAACCGACTGAAATTGGTCGCCGGTCGCGACATATGACAATGGATACCAAACTTTAATCATTAGGTATTTTCACTTCGCAGCATCAATCCCTCAAAACCCCAAGCTGTCCTTACCGATTTATATTAGAGACTGACTGACTGACTGACTGTCCGACTGACTTACCGACCGACCGACCGACCGACCGACCGACCGACTGACCGACTGACTGACTGACTGACTGACTGACTGACTAATTGACTGACAGACTGACTAGAGGACGTAAAATCGTAACTTAGAAGTAAAGAGTCAGACGCTTCCGCACTGCCGAAACAGCTGTTTATGAAGACAAATTTTCTGTCATCACCAACATTTTACAAGTGCAGATAATAGGTCGTGACTTGACAAAGAAATTTTGGCCGAAGCGGACAAATCTTCAAAGGCACGGCCGATAAAATTTGTCTCTGGTAAAACCTGAACAAAATCGACTAAATAAACAAAATTGTGATAAACTTGTCAATCATTTGTCGTAAAACCTACGACCAGCGTGTAATTGAACAAAAATCAGTTTATTAGGAGGATAATAATCGTCATTTGTCGCAAAATTCGGGTCTTCTCAAACTTTAAAGAAGATTAGGATAAATCCTGAAAATCAGAGTTGGAATCCATCTGTAAACCATGGTTCTTACGTTTTCTAACGAGCAAAGGAGACGACACCACTCAACAGAGTTTTTCATAAATCCGATCCGATCCTCTTATGGTCCGCTGCCCTTCGTGGTGGTCAGCGGCTTTGATTAGACTTCATGTTACTACAATGGTGGCCGCTCTTAAGAGCAGATCAAAATTTGTCCTTTGATTTTGTCGTAACCCTCCTAGTTCTTTTTCCGCTAGTACGGGAACACCCTTAGTGATCGAAAACTGAAGAATTCGTCACAATAGAATCTTTAAACAGATTTAAGAAAACTACTAAGACTCTTTTGTTTGCAGAAGCTGTCTAATTCTTTGTATGTAATTTTTACGTTTCTACATCTCGTTAGTCAACATTTTTATCTTTAGCTTTAACGTTTAGATATAGTTGAATTATTAACATCGTAATGCGCAAATGAAAATTTTATACTCATGAGGTGTTTCTGTAGTTCATTGAATGCAAGTGCATGTGAAGATCATTGTCTAAAAATTTTGTGAATTTTTAATCTAATGTTAAAGAGATATGACTGTTCTTGTTTGGTTGCCCACCGGGGGGCAGCATTTGCTAATTCTCAGCGGCGATAATAAAATATCAAGTCAAAAACTGCAAAGATATAGTTGTCTCCATGTGTCATTTTATGTGATATAGATAACTTTTTGTAAAAAAAACATATGAAAAAATGTTGATTTTTTGAGGGTTGTACCACCTAAAGGGTGTGGGCGGAACATTTCCAATGAGCGAAGGGATAAAAAAAGAGGTTTAGCGCAGCTTTTTTTTGAATATTTGTTTAAATCATCTAAGACCCCTACAAAAACACGAGCGTGTATTGCAGAAATATCTTAGATCCACGTGTTTTAAATCTACAAACCGCATATTGAAGCCGTTTTTTCCATATACAGATTTCCTTGGCCCCATGGAGTTCAGTGAGGACCACCGGAGAGATGTTTACGGCTAAAAGTTGACGGCAAAATTCTTGTAACTTTACGATTGACGGAAGTTGGCGATTCGATGTTTAAAGGTTAACCCCGTCGAAAATCTCTTCTTTAAAATCACTATATTATTACTTTTAATTGATAAAGAGAAAGGCTAACTGCACTCGGATAAGACTCCCATCACCCACACCCTCGGTATTTTTTGGTCTCCGAACCCTGCTGCAACCAACGCCATCACCATAGCAATGACAGTTATCTGGCTTTTATCTAAGCGTAACTCTTGGTCTGGGTCCTTTGTATACATAAAATAAGATGAAAGAAAACGACCGAAATATCTTTCCTCAGTGTTGTTTTTGAACAGTTTGTTTGTTTGTTTGTATTTTCTTGTACTATTTCCGTCGCTGAGAGACTTTATAATGTAACCATAATATTTCCTCACTCTGTTGAGCGAAGTTTCCTTCCTTTTAGCTTCCAAAATGAGCAGCACAGTTTGCAAATCTCGACCAAATTTCGCCCAGACTTACAGTTTCATCATTTTCAAGTCAATCTTCTGAACCATCATCGGCAATCTTTGCCAACTCTTGGTTTGCAATTTTCTCTTTTGGTTTTATAAGATGGCAAGTTGACCGAACTGATTTATTGTTTTTCCCTTTCAGTAAGATGATAGTTCCTCTGATAATTTTGCACGTCACAAAACAAAAGAGAGAAATTAAAAAATCGGCATTTTTATACTACTTTGAAAAGGCACACTTAAAGGAAACCTTGATTTTTATCCCGATCATAAAAGAACAAATCCTTAAGGTCTGAAATAACAATTCTTTCATCTTTGTTTGACATAATAAGTATGGCATGAGCCGATTTGAAGCTACATGATTAGAATATAATTGTGTTTTAATGGCATTATGTTCTGATATTGAAATTGCATCAAAAAATCGTCATCAAAAATTGTTCAATATTTTGCCGCAAGCATAAACGAAGAGTCACAGCTTTCTTTCGCAGCAAATTGAAAGTTTGCACTATTATGAGAAGTTTAAATTCCACATTCATACTAACATGACTAATGAAAATAAATCGCTTTAAAGATTTGGATCATTTTTACGTCGGTTATTCCTCGCTATCTTACAATCTGTCCGGTTTAATAAACTTCATGATGGACGTTGCTAATCAACATAACAATGGATTTCGCAACAGTGATCACAACCCACACCTGACCACCTGTTTCAACCGACGCATGAAAAATTTTGAATCCCCCTGACTGCCGCAGATATTAAGGTTTCAAATTTCGTTTTCCTTTTTCATTAGCCCGATCCAGTATATTTTTCAAAACAAGTTTTCTTTTTCTTATGTTCTCGATTCTACGAGACAACTTATCCAGATAGTTTTGCAATCCGACGCTTCCCTAAGCAATCCCATTTGCCAAACCGTGGGCTTTCATTACCAATAGATATCTCATTATACGATTAACACTTAGAATTTAAAAAAATGCAACATTCCCTGGAAATAACAGAAAATACTCCGATAATCTGTGAACGTTTAGAGCGAAAAAGGCTTTCGGGTGATTTCATTAGCACGACAAGAAAACATGCACAATTTGATTCACTGCACTGAAACCGTTTACGTTCAAGCAACTCTGTCGTCATGGATTTCTCTCAAAACAGCTGCTGTTATGATATCGATATGCACAAGGTAATAGCAGCCCACATGAGCATATTTACACGGAATGAATATTTCATGGAATACCACTTTTATTATGACTAAGCTTTTAAAAGAGGCTTAGAATCTAATAATGGCCAAAGGAAACACCCTGATGTAAACATCGACGTGATTAAGGTATGTTCGTCAAAATTGATTCTTCACTGTAAAATTTTTCTCGTCTTTGCCCCAAGATTAAGGAAGCCATTAAATTTCCATAAAGATTAACGGTCCATAAAAATTTTGTGTGAGAGTTATCGAGCGCGCGCTTGTCTCCGAAGCTGCGTGTTCATTTCACGACAAGAAAGTGCAAGTTAAAAATACTGTAGTTAGCTAGAGCAATCGAGTCCACGAGTTCAATACTGCGGAAACAAATAGTGTGTAAACACAGTAACGCTTGACTAAGTTCTTGAGTACATCCACGTGCTTTAAAGTAATCACGGTGTGCTTTGAGGACTGAAAAAGACATAACAGCGAAAAGCTTAGTTCCTTATATTGTGATGCTGCACTGGCATAGTGGGGGTTACTGCCGATTATTTTGGCAGTAAATGCCTCGTATTGGATTTTAGATAGACAGCAAAATCTGTGCGTAAAACAAAAATTTTAAAACTGATTTTATTGCTCAGTCATGGAGACTCGTTCAGGATCGTTTTCCTCTGAAGGAAGGTGAGTTAAGTAGTCAAATTAAAAATTTTAAACCGAATTTACACTTTAATCAACCTGCATTAACATAGACACAACAAAAAAATTAAACTATAGTGAAATAGGATCAGAAAACGCCTCAGGCCCTGACATACTAGGGGCTTTCTAGACGCACAGCACAGAGGTCCCTTTCATCATTTCTTAAAGCCGTTAAACATTTGAACAATACAGTGATTCAGTGACTTAAGATATACATCGATAGTGTTTCTTTATATAAAGAATAATGTATGTGGTGTATAGATGACGAAAACTGCTCAGGTGGCTATAGCAATGCTGAAAGACTGAGAACTTTGCTGTTTAGCAGTCCACTCGGCGGGTGGTTCGGGCCATGATTCTAAATAAATTGGAATTATGAATCGACTTTATACTTCAATTAGGTTATATTAGCGAAAAAAGGTCAAGGAGATTAACCGAGCGCGAAATTTAAAGGAATATAAGAAGGCCACAATCCCAGCGACCCTGCAAATATAGACGACAATTAAATAGTTTAGTCGCGTTATGGTTTCTTAATGGGAAACCTAAGCGACTTGCGGTAAAGCGACTATGACTTTCAAAAGCTTGACTTGCTCAGATGTAATATTGCTCTTTTTTTATGTCAACTCAAAAAGAAAATTAAGGTTCATGCTACACTAAAGAAGAAAGGATAAGAAAACAAGGCGAGCGCTGGTTGGAATCGAAGAACGCCTGCGGGTGTATATAACGACGGTTTTTTCTTCTGAACTTTGCATATTTCGACAGTACAAAATGTATTAATTTAGGGTCTTTTCAGTTTTTAACTCTTTCCTGAGTTATTACCTTAGTCATTGGAGGTAAAGTGAAGTGCTATTAACGATAATTTTGCTGAAGGGAAGACTTTGCTCTTTTATATCGGAACTCAGAGGGTGTGCTATCCTCCAAGGACGCATCCTCTCACAAGACAAGTCGGTAAAATCTTAAATGCTCTGAGTCTCGGTAATCCTGGAAAACTAGCCCCCGCTTTGATGACAAGACAGACTCGCCGGTGAGCAAACGTCATGCTCGATTGAGCCCTCAATATCAACTACTCACGAAGGATTTTAAGCACGAAAAGGTGGCTCACGTATATAAGCAGGTGTAATTCTTATTTACCGTGCATCTGAAGATTATCAGATAAAGCGAACAGGCCGCGCAATTGTAGTAAAAAAAAAAACGTGCTCTAAGTAAGTTAATTTAATTTGAGAATCTTCCAAAAACACAGGTCTAGTTTGTTTTATTGAGCTTTAAAAAGCTTATAATAAACGGTCATAACAGAGGTTTCTAAAGAAAACGAAAATTGTTTACGATTATTTACAAATGTTCGCATATTTTACGAATTATACTTGAAAAAGATTTTTAAATTTTGTCACTGGCATGCGAAAAGATATTAATTTATTTTTCATCTGAAGTATACGAGACAAGGCAAATTTCTCATTAAAAGCTATCTCAAAAATAATATCGATCAAAACTGCAGTAATGTCAGCTTTTCTTCCTTCACTTTCAGTTACTTTTGTTTGTTCTCAAAAGCCTCTCACTGCATTGCGAAATCGTTGCAAGCTAAAGAAAGGGTGCTTTCCACAAGTCGCCTCGTGTTCCAAACTCTCAGTGCCTTCCGGAAAAATAGAAAGAAAACAAATTGGACGGATGCTTGTTATCTAGCTTTGCTTGACATAGAATAAAGGGGGCACGTTTCTAAAGAACCTGGGGTGCTGTGTCGATGGGGGAGTTTATCAACTGGGTTGATGATGTGAATTGGCCGCCATAGAGTTTATAAGCTGACCTTTCGAGTGTTAGCCCTTCGTTAGAGCGGAACACGCTTGAAACTGCTTTCTAGGATCCCATCACACAATTATTGCATGATGACGTTACTTGAGTCACTAAAATTAAAAACAACTAACAATATCGCGTGTAAGCCTTTATAATAAAGACCTAATATTGATAGTGAAAAATGAAAACACTCATGCATAATGTTATATGTATTTACCTTCAAATGCAAGCAAAGAAGTAAATATCAAATGATATACGCACGCACGACCTCCCGCAAGTTCACAACCCACTAGGATTTTTGACATAATTACCACGCCATGTAAACATTGTCATGAACCATTGTTATTGAAAAAAGGCACTGAACGCACATAATTGATTTCCCTCAGTGAGATATCTTAACTGACTCGCTTCTGTTTACTCCAGCATCCCTTGACTGAACACAATACATTTCTGCAGATTCCGTAATATTTGTAAAATGGATTGACAGACGTTACTTAGAATTCTTCACTAGCGTGTAGACCAAGTTACCGAGTCAAGCAAGTTGTATCAGTATCTTTTAAAATCGATGAAGCTAAGGCTATGTATCCTTTGCTTCATGATGCAATATTTAGCTGGTGGGAAATCCTTTACCTCAGATATATCTTGGTGTGAAAAACCATCCGGCTCAACCGCAACGCGAACGGTAACGAGCATTTCCGCTATTTCCCAAATCAGTAGCAAATTTAAATTTGCGAGCTAAAACTGAAGTGGAAAAGCAATTGTGGATGCGTGGGATGTTTTCTACAGTGTTTATTGCCACGTTTCAACCGTTGCCGTGTGTGTCTAGGTAACTGGAGAGATAGATGGGCCAGTCATTTCCACTATTCATGCTATGTGACCATGTTTACCTAGAAAAAGTCATTAACATTAAGCAGAGGCTTTATCATAATTAAATTACCAAAACCACGAGCGAAGCCAAAACGTTATGATCGAACACCTGGCGTTTAGGTTAACAAAGAGCACAAGCCGGAAAAAAATAATCTAGTGATCGACAGAACGCGCAAACAGAAGCACGCGAAGAACTCATCGGCAAATAAGGGAGCTCTACATGTTTGCTTTGCAAACCTTTGCAACAAAAGGTTTAAGAAACGTAAGTAACATGTTTACTTCAAGCATGTGTCCAAACATCACTTCTGGGATATGACTGCATTAATCAACAAATAATGCACACGTTTATTGGTTTAACGGACTTTCCATTCATAAACAAAGGAGGAAATGTCTTCCCCTCTTTTATTGGCAACAAACTAACACATGCTTCTGTTAGACTGCCAATTAATAAATCCTCTAACGGTTTCTTTCGACGCCGCCAAAAGTGAATCGAAATTGTTTCCGTTTGCAACAAGACTAACGAACTTCACACGCCGTAAACACGTACAAGAAGTGAGCCCAGAACTCAGAATAACCAAGAGATGTAGGGGTACGTTTTGTTTTCCATACAATATCGTTTGTCAGGATAGTGAGTGCTCTTAGCAAAAGTGAACTACAGATCTTCTGGGTTTGAACTGTTATCAAAAGGCAAATACAAATGTTAAGGACCTTTGTAAATTAAACACAGCTTAACTTAAGATTCATTTTCCAAATTATCCCTTGATTTTAAAGAAAATAAGGGAGGCTCCTTTCTCGTTACCATAGAGTTAAACAACAGAACTCCGGAACGCCTAAGTGGAGCTGAAACAGCTGCAGAAACATGCGCTCACAATTGCTGTTCTCTCTCTTTTTTTGTTTTAAATCATTATTATTCTCCTCTACATCAACTCCACGGGGAACTCAGCATTCCGATTTTCATACCTTATGATTGAAGCTGTGATTTAACGTTAAGATTTCAATGGAAACTTTGCTGAAATCAGGGGCATTTACATCGTCAAAGAAAAGATAATATCCCAGAAATTGTTCTTGTTACTGTTTATTTGCAATTTTTTGCTCAAAACTTAATAAAATGTAGTTGATCGGAACAAACTGACAAAACATTAGAATTTCATTTTCTATCTAATTTGTTTTTTCCCTAAGTGGCAGTTCCGCTACCTTGACAAGGTTTTGTCCCTTTTCTGAGATGATCGGAATAAAAGCTTAGTCCAGACTGGGATGAGCTCTGCCCGAAGCGCAATCGCTACTTGAACGCAATATTTAATTATGATTTTGCGCGGCATGATAAAACTACCACATTTGTTGGACTGTCGAGGTTAAACGGAGACACCAGGAGTTTGATCAGGAACTTTTACTCATTCTCTGCTTAATGAATCTTAAGGGCTCTTCATTTGAATATATGAGTCTCTGTGTCTCATTTAGCCGTAATTACACGCTCTTAAATATCCTATCTGTAGGCATGTTTGGGCTTACGGAACAACTGACCTTGGCAGAGTAAACAAGTTTTAAGAACGCTAACCCAAACAATTTCACGAGACATTCGTCATGAACAACAAAGTACTTGAAAAATCACCGATCTTCGAGAACTAAAACCCAGACAAAACTTCTCGTTGAGGATTCTAAGCAAGGTCAAGAACGTACTCAAACACAATTAGCTAAGACGATTACCATGCGAGAATTAAGTCTACTACAACGGTCAAGGACGCTTTACTCAAATCGAAAAATAAAAGTGAGGTCTTGCAGCACATAACAAACCAAGGCTCACAAGACTCGCATAATGATTTCAAGATAATCTGACAGGCCTAAACAATTCCCAAACACTTCTAATTTTTAATAAGTAGTAGTCACTTTAGTGATTCGCAAACACTTCAAATTTTAGTAGTTCAAAACACATTATTATTTTTTTCTTTTTCAGATTTGCTACTAGACGTTAACTGTGTAAAAGATCATGGCCCAGCCTCATGTATTTCTTTTCATTTTATCTCTGCTGCTTTTGCTGTCGTTGGTGACATCAGAGATGGCCAAAAGAGAAGCCCATCAGTGTGAGGACCCTTTAGCCGGCACTTGCAAACAAACGTGCGACGAGAATTGCAAAATGTCATGTCCCAGCATTAACAAACCATGTGAGCAACTTTGTGAGTATGGCCCGTGTGATATGAAGTGCGCGACGAAAGACAGTTGCCTTCAGGAACAGTGGTGCGAAATGTACGCACCTCAAACCTGTGGCGCAGTACGCTGCACATCAACAAACTGTACGCAGAAATGCGACGACGGCGCGTGCAACTTGACTTGTCGAGTGCGTTCACAATGTAGGCAGGTATGAGAGTACCTTGTAAAATTATAATTTGTCCTGAATGAACCAAATAAGCAACGAACTTACTTAAGAATAGACGAACCTCGAGGAAAAGATGAACGAAAACCTTCAAAACGATGAACTAGCGAGCGAACGTTAGAGCCGCGCATGTACGATCCGGAACAAAAGAACGAACGAGCAAGCTGTCAAGAAAACAAAAAAGAATGGGAGAACGTCATGCGATCTTCGAGCAAAGGAAGAATCGAGTAGCCTCGTTTGCGGAGTCTGTTCTTTCCATTTGCAAGGTCGAGAAAAAGAGAGAGATAAATAATAGATTACACGAGGGAAAAAAGCAACAGCAGTAACAAAGACGAACAAAATGCGCTCTAACTCTATGATTTCTTTATTTCTTCGCTAGGACTGCATTGGTGGTTCCTGTCGAGCATTCTGTAAAGCCAAGGAGAGATGCGTTCAAAATTGTGTCGATGGACGCTGTCCAATGAGGTGTGTCTCGCATCAGTGCCAACAGTCTTGTCAAGTGGGAGCGTGCTCTTTGAAATGCAGAACTGTTAAAGACTGTGATCAGCAGTGCTCGTCCGACTGCCCGTTGGTGAACTGCCACAGTAAAGAAGGCTCTTGTAAACAGGTTAGTAAATGTATAAAATGCTGCTTTCAATTATGAAGGGAAGGTATAGCCGGGGGAAAGGGGCAAATGGGACTTGCAATCCTTCACTGTTATCCCTAGGGGAAAGTGTTTCTCGTATAAAAAGATTTTATCTTCATTCCGGCCCCTTTTCAACGCCTGGGTCTATTTAATACTTGGCTTTGAATAACTGTTACTTATCTTACGCTTGAGTTATGGGGGAGAGCGGGGTCTGAAGATTTTGACTGTTTAAAAATTTACCTGATCCCCCTATCAGGCTCTGTAATATTCTCATATTTTCTCCCCACCCCCTCACTGGCAGTTAATTGGCATTCGTTTATCCAAAGTTTTTGCACTCTGTTGGTGTCAACTGATACCCGCTCTGTTCCCTCTGAAAACCACGTGATCCCCCAAATCCTTCCAGTCCCTCCCAGGCTATAAACAATGACTGCTCCCTTTGTATATAATTACAAAATGCAGCTGGGAAACGGTGGGAAGAAGATGATAATACGAGCCAAGACAGTCGGGTACCAGGAATGCCATCGTGGTAACTGCCAGCAAAAATGCACGACAGACTTAAGATGCTACCAGCATTGCGGAGGGAGCTGCAATCAAGAATGCAACTCTGGCAAAAGCTGTGACCAGTATTGTACCATCGATGGTCACTGTGACCAAACATGTAGCTCCAACAAATGCTTGCAGCGATGTGGTCAAGGCAGAAACTGCAAGATGACTTGCGGAGCGACGCTGCAATGTGAGCAGGTATGCTAACGGACTTTTTCTTTCAGAAAAATCTCATATTTTGAGTAATCAGTCAAAATTTATGCGAACTGGCAAAATTGGGCGTTGAATAGTTGAAATGCGAGACGAGGTGCTCTAATGTTTAGAGCGCTGGACTCCTAGTCGAGAGGTCTGGGTTCGAGACCTGGCCGCATCAATGTGAAGGAATAACCTTACGATGGGCTGGTGTCCCATCCAGGGGGGAATAGTGATACCCCTAGTCGCTTATGCTGAGAGAAACTGGTATAAGCCCCGGCTGGATGGGCCACTTGTCTCGAGAACAGACTTTACCTTTACCTGTTCATTCACATTTGTGTGTGCCTTTCTTTATGAGCTCAGGATGGCTTAAAACGAGCGCCTACAAACTGCTCAAGAACTCGGAGATCCAGATAGGACGAAGTCGAACACTTCTCTGTGAGCTTTCAATTTCTTAGCGACAGAACCCACTCATATTGTGTTACTCACCCCTAAACTGATAAAGTTGTAATTTAGTCGGGTTTAACAAACAAACGGGTGTTCCTTCTCTTTGCAGCGATGCCCTCAAGGTGGCTGTCAAGGGGTCTGCAATTCACCCTCGTGCTTTCAGCTTTGTGATTCAGGTAACTGCTCTTTCGGATGCAAGGGACCTCACTGCCATCAAAACTGCTCGGGTGGTGGCTGTACCTTGAGTTGCCCCGTGGGCGCCAAATCGTGTATTCAGCACTGTCCAGCTCAAAACTGTAGCATAACAAGAACTACGACAAAGGAAGATGGGCATTTTATGGTTAAAAACACGTCAGACGATTACGGGATCCACTTTAACGGAATTAAAACGAAGACAAACAGTGGCAGTGTTTGGTTGCCTTGTTCTTTAGATTTTAGAAACGTTTTTGCCTTCTATGCGGTGTGGATTGTATCGACTTATACATTGACTTAGAGCAGTTTTCAAATTAGTGTCGAAAAACAAAACCAGAGTTATCCTAGTGACCAGTCAGGACAAAGATTTACACTGTCATTAGCCAATGAGAACTTAAAGTGAAAACAAGTAAACTACTAAAGCGCGGGAAAACGCGAGTGGCCAAGCCGCGGTTATTTTTAGTTTTTCACCTGATTGGTTGAGAGGAGAGTGCAAGTTTTCTAGACCACTCTCAGAGCAAAGGCAAGTCTCAGTTTATTTCGACGCTGAATTGAAAATTTCTCTAATTCGTGCTACTTGCGTAGACCAAAATGAAACCAGTCTAAAAAGGTGCCCACTATTTAAGTATTTTTGTACATATATAACTGTGTAAAATGAAGTCTTTTGGGGCTTCAATATTTTATAAAGTCATGAATAAAACCAGCAGTCTTTAAAGATATACAATTACCAGGAACTTTACGACAGCCAAAATCACCTTTCTCATTAATACATTCATAAGCACTATAACATACATAGGTTTACAAACAAAACTGGAAGTAAATTTATTTCCAAATGCCACCATATATTGTAAATAGGGCATAAATAGTAGCAAAATGATGTTTTATAAATACTTAATGCTATCATTGTCTGTGATATCTAGTTTAATTATATTTAATTAGCTAACCTTCTTGTAACCCTGTTCAGTTTACAGATTGTAACGGATATATGTAAAAAGACAGACAGTATTTACTGAATAAATACTGAATAAACCAGAACTACAGCCGTGAACTTGCTTAAAAATCTTGTCAATTTCTTCCACGCGCTCTCAGCGTCATATTCTGTCGGACGAGCGTTCCAAAACAAAATTCTTCGATTTTTTTCTCTCCAAATGATCCAAGTTTATTTACAGAAGGTTTTCTCTTTTCTCTTTCAACTGGGAACTTTGGAATCCTCCTACAAATCTTACCTTATAATGCCCGGTCACGCGTAACACAATGAACACCGGCGTCATGGTAACCAACAAGAGACTGAATTGTGATTGGTTTTTATGCGATAAAAACATGATAAATATCCATCGATCGCGATCGTCGACTGCACGTTGCGTGTGGCAAACACGGATCTAACTCGCATGAAGGTTAGAACAGCAACCTTCAGCAGAAAATTATGATCAATCAAGAGTTCACGTGGCCAGAAGAACTTCAGCCAGTCATTATTGGAGAAAGGAAATTCTTCCGCATAGAAGACCCGTTACTTTCCCATTTTGGATTAAAGATGCATGTGAAGAAGAGAGGTTACAAACATTTGGATAAGATTATCGAGACCAACGGTACGTATATCTAGTCATTGAGGACTTCAAACATTTAGTTTGCGAATCCGATTACGTGAGATGCTTAAGTTATATGTTATAATAATCACAGATTCGATGAAAAAGACTTGTAATTTAATCATTTGTTTATTGTAAATAGACAAGATAACTCAGAACTCACATTATCGAATTATGTAAACTTTAAGACATACGTCCTCGATTTTAGCGAACCCTTTGGTCCCCAAGATGTGAAAGCTAATTCTCTCTCTGATGATAATACTTTTCTTTGTTGGGTAGTCCTGAGAATTTGGTATTATATCAAGACAATATCCCCTAGTTGATACTGTTCATAATTCTCATACCTCTCTGTTTAACAGTGCATAGAAATTGTGAGAAGAATTAATTCTTATACTTAATAATTTATACTTGCCTTTAGAGGGGTGTAAAATAGTCCCTTGAAATTTTCAAGTGCTCACAAGATTTTGGTTTTGCTCGAAATGCTTTAAAAATTTTTAAGGAGGCACACTTTCTTATGCAAACAACCCTTTGTTATTGCTTACACGCTCGGATCCTGGAGTACTCGCAGTTCCGTGAATCATATTTTGTAAGTTGTTTTGGAAAGAAATAATTCTATCCTTACCTTTCCTGAACTGGAGGTACAAAGAGATATCTTTTTATTTATTAAAACAAAAAATTATAATAAATTCATAACAATTTGAGAAGCTGAAAAAGGATTGTTGTCAGTGGAAAATTTGCAAAGCACTACTGCTTGTGCTCACAAAATGTAATGCAAAGCTCCCATGCCAAGAAATGCTCACAAGGACTAATAAATACCTCTTATAGGAAATGGAATAGCCATTCTTTCATCGAGTCAAACTTTCTGTCATATTGTCCGGTAGTAAACATTTAATTTGTCCTCAAAATATCAATCCTTTTAGGATAGACAGGTGGTGAAAGTAAAATAAAACAATCAACAAGGGGGTATTCTCTTCATTCCTGACATGGCAATCAGCAATCAATAATTATTGTTGATATTTAGAGCTTACAAATGACAGCTTAAACTATATCTTTTGAATTTATGTGTAATAATAAAGTCCCATCATCCTAGATAGGCAGAAATATCAAATATCTTTTATGCTTATTGGTAAATATACAATCATGTACATGTCTGTATTTTACAGGTTTGTCTGTCAGTGAAGAATATCTGTTTAAAAATGAAAGTTCCAAGCTCCGAACTCACATGTCTTGCAAAGTTGGGATATTATTACTCTTTACGCACAACAGTAGACTGCAAGGAGAAGACAATGAAACTGCTTCAAGACTTCGATGTTATTTAATCGATATGCTTCTTGGCACTGTGCTGAATACAGCTGCATATGATACTGCTCACAATGAACTAAATTCAGTAGAACCACTCAGAAATCAGTCATCTTTGAATGCACCATCTTCTCCTCCTCCACAGTTGGAAACAGGAACTTCACCTTTTTCTGATACACATTTATCTGGACCACTGTTACCAGAAAATTCATCTTTCTCACACCCTCCATCCTCTGTACCACTGTTGCAACCAACAACTCCAGCAAGTTCATCTTTCTCCAATCCACCATCCTTTGGGCCACTGTTACAACCACACAGACAAATGAAAATTAAGCAGGAACTCTTAGAAACCAATGAGATTTAACTATCAGTCTCCGAAGACATTGACACATGATGCAATCTGGGGCAAAATGCAAGCCTATTTTTCCCACCAAGCTGTAGGAGTTAGTGGTCAGAATTATTTACACCCAAATACAGATTTTTTTGTCTTGACTCAGTTTTATACATTCAGTTAGAGTTTAAGTGTGTCAATGGTATATTTAAGCTTGATGAATCTCATGTCAACTTTGTTGGAACATTCTCATGTCTAAAGTTAACCAATTAAAGTAGGAAAATGCCACAGCAATGTAGCAGTTACTTCTGTATTTGACCTGAAATAATTAGGCAGCAAACTGGATCACGTGCTGGGGTGGGGGCCTCAAAATTTCACACCCTAGTGTTTATCCCTTAAATTTGCAATTTTGGCTCAGTTTGATTAAGAATATAAAATAAGTGTAAGCAGAATGTGAGGGAAAAACTTAACCAACAAGTGATGCTAACAAGTTGGATACTTATATTTTTATTATCATTTGCAAGTTGTGGTCAAGTTTGTTGTTGTTTTCCTTTACGGTGTGAGCCTTCTTATTAATTACAAGAGTTTTAATGAACTCTTGATGAGCGGTGTCTGTGCCAAACAAAACGAAAGGTAATCTTTCATGTATTTTGCATCTTCATGAATATTAGCTACCATAACATATTTGTCTTGAAGTAAACTTCTTCAGCACAATGTCCACAGGTATCACATTCACAATAAATGAGGTGTTTGTAATGCAATCCTTATGTCTGTTTCAAGGCTGAGACATCAGGTTTGATGTCACAATCTTGAAGTTCTTCAAAACAAGTCCATGGACATTGTATTAGTCCATTGTAAATATTCTTGATGCAATGTCTGAGATAATCCAGTCAATGCCATCCAGTAGTTTCTCTCCTGTAACTGCACTGCACCATTGAATATTCCAGTGATGTGTCTTGATGGATTCCAAATCAAGAGCCTTTTGATAGAAAAAAGAATAACAAAGACTCCTCTCAGAAACCTGAGGCAGATTAAGGGATGATCAAGGGATCATCACTCCCTTCTTTTTCAGGACATTTTTATTTGATTTTATTTTGCGACTCAATAGCATGAACACTCAGTTTGTGCATTACCATGCACTGTTGTTTTTGTATGTAGGTTATGAATTTGTATTTCCAAATATATGCACCCATACTCAAATTCTTAACACTCTTGGAGACAACGACTATAAATATATGAAAATCATATATGTGCACTGCAGTGAAGAAATGAATTCAAGCGATCCTCACAGCTAAGAACACTACTGAACTAGTAGTTGAAATAAGACCTGAATAAAAATTCAGGCCTGTACAGGATTTGAATCCATGACCTCTGCACTAGTATCCCAGAGGTCATGGGTTCAAATCCCATATGGGCCTGAATTTTTTTTTAAGTCTTATTTCAACTACTGGTTCAGTAGTGTTATAGCTGCAAGGATTGCTTATATTCGACTCTCGGAGACAGTTTACAAATAGTTAGGTTTCCCTTTGGAATCTCGCAGTGCTACCAGTGGTTATTTTTACAATATAAACATGAAACTAAGATGGTCTTAAAAATATACTTCTTCTATGAATAATTTTTCTGGATCTACCATTTGATATATACAATGCATCGTTTTTAGAAACTCACACTATAGTCTTCAATACTCACGAGTTGAAACAATATCGACATCCTTACTAACACTACATTAAAGAAATAATAACTTCTATAAGTTAGAAATACTCACATCTCTAATTTCTTCAGCAGACAAGGCACCAGGTAGGTCCTGTTTATTGGCAAACACTAATAACGTAGCACCTGCAAGCCTCTGGGTAAATACAAAGAAACTTTTTGTCAGGGACATTTTTTGACTTTAGAAAGTTTATAAATATGAAAAACACATTTGGTTGAGTATTTTGGATGCAGATCTTGGAGAACCTTGTGTCTCCCCTATGATAAAGCTCAGAGTTAGGTAAAGTCTCTTTTTTCAAAGCTTTAATAGTAGCTTTCTGTGTCAATGTCAAAGGGTGTGTATGCTTACTATGAGATGATACAACATCTTTGCACCACATAACCCCCAAACAACATCACTCAACAGGCAGTTTGCAGACACAACATGACATGAAATGATACAACAGCATCTATGAACTTTAATCACAGACAACCAGACAAGAAATTACTAAAAACATTTTCCAGGTTTGTGCTTCATATGATTCATAACAGCAGCCATAGCCTTACATGCATGCCTGTATTGAGGTCTCATTTCATTATTATTACAGTATATCTAACTTCAGTATGAACACCCAAGTTTATCATACACATATGTAAAAAGATTAAAAGCATGGCAAGTTCTTAAATTCAGTTTTCCCTTGGAAAAGAGTCTAGTTTTTTAAGTTACCTCTTCTAGAAGGAGACCTTTCAGTTCCTCCTTGCAGTCTGTCAGCCTTCTTCTGTCAGCACTATCCACTACCCATATCAAACCGTCAGTGCTTTCAAAATAGTTTCTCCAATATGATCGAAGAGACTTCTGTCCTCCAACATCCCAAATATTTAACTTGAATCTATAGTACATTTAAAAGCAAGTCAGGAGATTTTGGATAAGAAGATTCTTTTTTTTAAAATAATCAACATGTTATTTCTTCACATACTAAAACAATGTAATTGAGTCCAGTCTCCTTATTCACATCAATGCTAAAAATTTGCTTTAAACATCCTCCTATCCAAACTATGCACCTGCCTCCCCTAAACCCTTTGACTCCCAAGATCTGACTGTTAATTCTCTCTACCCACTACTACACATTTCCTTGTTAACTAATTATGAGAATTTGGTGTTAGATCAAGATAACAACTTGTACCTGATAAGTATGAGTATTCTCAATACCTGGTTGTTTGCTACATAATGCATGGAAATTATGGGGAGAAGTTACATTTGTAATCACCTCTGGGAGTTAAAAGGTTAAGAAATCAGTTAACCCTGTAATTCCCAAGAGTGGTCAACATGAAACTTCTCCCAATGAAATCCTTTCATTATCCAACAAACAGCTAATGAGAATATTCAAACTTATCATGTAAAAGTTGTTGTCTTGATCTAACACCAAATTCTTATAACTAATTTACAAGGACATGTGTAGAAGCTAGAGGGGAGGATTAACAATCAGATCTTGGGAGTAAAAGGGTTAATCTAATGTTTAAAAGAAGTTGGTTTGGAGAACCCATCCCCATCATCATTTCCATTAACCCTTTCACTCCCACAAGTAACCAAGACAGAATTTCTCCTTACAATATCAATACAATATCAAGCAGGTAGGTGATGAGAATCGAGGAGAATATCAATCATGGGATTATTAGTTGATCCAATACCAAATTCTCTGAACTACCATCATTAGAAATTGTATGGCAGATAGTAAGGAGAATTACTAATTAGATCTTGGGAGTGAAAGGGTTAAAATTATTGAGTTTCAGCCAGGGGAAAATTTAAACTACAATAAATATAGTTATTGTACAATGATAACACAACAACACTGACAACATCAAGAGACAAGATGGAAAAATGGTTAGTGTGCTGCACTCAAGAGTCAAGGGTCAAGGGTCAAACCCTGGTAGGGTTACTGTGTTGTGTTCTTGTGTAAGACACCTTACTCTCACATTGCCTCTCTGTACTGATCCAGGAGCATACTGTAAATGGGTCATGATGAATGAACATGGAAGCCTGATGAAATACTGGGGATAACCTTACCATGCACTGGTATCACATTCAGGAGGGAGTAGTAATTCTCCTAATTGTTTCATGTTAAGTAAACCAGAATAACCTCTGGCTGGGTGGGCCACTTGACTCAAGTACAGACTTTACCTAGCTATCTTCACTCTGATAAACAGGTAAGTGGGCATGTGGATGGACGGAACAGTGGACAGAGGAATGAATGAATGGAGTAACCAGACAGATCGACTGACAAGCATGAAGGCAGACCGACAAATTACAGTCATGTAGGTAAACAGACACTCAGACAGATTGACAGAAACACATACACAGAGGGAGACACAGATTGATAGAGAGATGAGACACAATTAAGCAGACTAACAGGTAGACAGATGGGTAGACAGACATAAATGGGGTGGAGACAGACATGTACAACTAGACGAACAGACAGGCAGGAATGCTAACAAACTGCCTAACGAACAAAACACAGGCTTTGCCTTTTTTTCTTACTCTTTGTGTTCTAAGGTTTTGATATTAAATCCTAAAGTAGGTTCGATTGTGTTGATATCTTCTCCATTGAACTTCTTCAAAATAGTCGTTTTCCCAGCATTATCAAGTCCTCTGTAAAGCGCAGTCAAGGTTACAATTCTATATTTTGTTCCGTCAAACCAAATGATACACCTGAGGCATACCGTATTTCACCTTTCAAAAGTAAGAAATTGCAAACGGATATAATACAGAACGCATAAAAGGATACAGCATAAGAATTCTCATCTCTTTCTCCTTCTGCTTCATCTTCTTTAAAATAGTTAATAGCCCCATACTGTTTACTATGAAAATTTTCCTGATCGTCATTGAGTTTTCCGTTTCACCGGCGCCATCTTCCTTTCTAATCAGCATTACACGACGCTAGTTTGGATTTACCTATCACCGCTAGTCAATAAAATAAGGGCGCAGAAATCAAGATGGCCGCAAGTAGCCGAGCTCGTGTTCGACTTTCGGAAGCTTCACAAGCCTTTCTAAATGACGATGCAGACGCCCGAGCTTCTGGAGAATATTCTGCTGAAGATTCTACATCAGAAAAGGTTAAATATATATTTTTAAAAGTTAAATGCACGAATTTCGTCCTCTCGCAGATATGCCAAACTCGTAAACTTCTCAATAACTTATTGCTTCAATCAAGACTGTTTCCTTTGTCAGTGTTTCGTTGAGAGGAAAATAAGCAAATCTGTGCATAACAATGATTATTGTAAGGGTCAGGGTCAGATTGAACTCACTCCAAACAAACTTTTTTTTTTCAGGTAATTGATTTGCTTAATCAAGCTCAGCTGGAGAAGGAAAACAAACTGAATTGTCTGAAACAGGTAAGCTTACCGTATGCAACCACAGAGTACACTACGGAGCAGTGCTCAGTGGTATAAACACACCTTATTTGAAGGTTTAACATTTAATACAAGCGGATATGTTACGAGTTGCTTGGTGTTTTATACGAGCAATGAGCAAAATTTCCGTTCGTATTATTGTACATACACAACAAACCATCAAATAAGGGAAATACTGTTCCACTGTTATTTCATTTTCCAACGTTTTGGCTTCTGGTTTCGAACAACTTTCTACGGCCTTCTTTGAGCCTGTTACCGATCGCATATAAAGCTTACGTGGAAGATAAAAACCACAGAAACGAAACGATTTAAATGTTTTTTCAATCATGACCTACTTAAGAATCAGATGGGCTTCAAAGTTTGCTGCTGAAAAATTCATACAGTACCAAAAAAAAGAGAAAAGTGAAAGTGTGGATCGTTTATAGTGGCCATTTTGTTGGTCCTCTTTCCATTCTTAATTTGCCTTGTTATAAAGTGTACTGCTGTGGAAATGTGTTAGTTCTATCTTGTGAGAGCAGTATGGAGTGTGCTTGAGGACATTCCAGATATTCTTACTCCAAAATATTACCCTACCCAACCACCAGCATGAAGCATTGTTGAAAGTGTAGGCCCACAGCTCTTGCTGCAGTTTCTTTTAGGATAATACTGAAAGGGATTTTTACCTCTTTTTCTGTTTCTGTCACAGGTCCAAGAGTTCATTGTGAACAAAGACCCAACCCTTCTTGATAATTTTTTAGATGTAAGTACAACTTATTTTTAATTATTTGTTTGTTATTTTAACCCTTTAACTCCCAAGATGTAATCAGTGATTCTCCTTATCATCTGCCAAATGATTCTCACAATGGTAGCAGGAGAATTTGGTATCAGATCAATTAGTAATCCCATAATTAATATTTTTCTTTATTCTCATCACTTGTCTACTTGAAACTATATTAATATAGTGAAGAGAAATGCTGTCTTGGTCACTCATGTGAGTTAAAGGGTTAATTACAATACCCCTTAATAATAATATATTAACAAACATCATTTCTAATACCTGATATTTACATGTTGTTTTCAATTTAAAGCAAACATTTCAGACACTTACCTTGGGCTAAGACATTCTACAAATGAGATGCAGTGTACTTTGTTGTTCCCACAACATAGAGGGTGTACATGTATTTTCTTTTACCTGTAATTAATTGCTTAACTTTATTACATTGTTTTTGTGGATGCAGTAGTCAAATAAAGGCCAATGATATTTTGTAATCTGAAGTTTTTTTTCGAAATTTTGTTCCAAAGGAAATCCTGGTTTTCCAGCAAGATCGATCAGCAGATGTACGTAAATTTGTGGTTGGATTCATTGAGGAGGCATGGTATGTCTGTAATTGTTTATTAAAGTATTAGTAGAATTGAAATATCAGTAGTCATGAAAAAGTCTTAAAAGAGTGTTCTTGTAAGACTTTGCTCGTAACTTGAGGGTTTTTTAAATCCTTGTTACAAATCTTGAAAAACTCTTGTTCAAGGTGCTTCTTCCCCCTTCCAATGTTGGCCATTAGAAAAAGTGTTATGCTTGCAGAAATATCAACACAGTGAGGAGCAGTTTGTATGAAGAAAATTGAAAGTGGGTTAATGGTGTTTTGCCATTCTCCTTGAGAAGTTGCAATTTCATTACCCATTACCCTCAGTAGTTTATCAGTTTTCCTTGAGAGTTCACCAGTGTCCATACTGATTTACTCCTAGGCAAAGAGAGGAACTGAGAGCCTAGCGCTTTCTTTCTTTTATTCTTTTCACCCTAATGTCAGTATGCATATTGATTCTTCATACTGTTCTTTGTACATTTCCTAATTTTCAGACTGGGAGAATAAATTATGTTTAACAATCAAGAGTTTTCTTAGTTGGTGATCATTCCCTTTATTCTCCCAACCTTAACAGGTCATTTGGGGGTGATATTGTAAGGAGAAAGTAGATGGTAGTCACTCTTAGGGGACAAAGCCCTGTTTCTTAGGGTCAGAGGGTTAAAAGCGACACTCAATAAGACCATGACCTCTTGGTGCTTAGCAGTAACTGACTATCTATAGCTAGGCTTTTTTCTTTCTGGTTGATTATTATCAATTATGACAACTTATTTTCCTGTTCAGCAACACTGTCTTTAGCTCCAATGAATGGCTAACACTTGAAACTTCAGTTTTGAAACTCGTTATGGTGGCCAATTTACGTTAGCATCTCAGTTAATGATACCAAATTACCTTGTTATACTATCCCACTGACACAGCACCACAGTTTCTTAAGAAACTTGCCCTCTTTACACTGACAGTAATTTTGCTTGAAACATGTTTCTTTTTATGTACCACATGACTCATTCATGTACCTAATAGACTATTAACTTTGATCTCAAATCTGCAGCAAAAAAGACATTGAACTGTTGAGCAAGGTGCTCAACAATCTGGGTTTTATGTTGAATGATGATAATGTTGCTGTTCAGAAGCGAGTCATGCTGTGTTTTACACAGCTGTACAAGTATGCTTTACAGGTCAGTAAATGTTTGTTTCAAATTTAAAGTGTTTTCACTTATTTTATGCATGTACATCTAAAGTTGAAGTGAAGTTTTTGCTAACCCTTACCAACACTTTAACTCAGATTGTATTAACTAGTGCTTTGTCTCCTTCTTCGATTAGTACATCTGCAAGCAAAAAGCAATATCTGAAGAGCTCGAACGCATGTGGGAGGTGAGTAGATTGAATTTTCTTTGACAAATTGTACAATTAACTTTTGCCTTGTAGACACCCTGAAATTGAAGAAAGGTGTTGACCCTTTGTCAGAGCGATTGATGAAAGGCTAACACTTGAATAGTCAGCCTTTAAACTCTTTATGGTGGCCAATTTATGTTGTCAACTCAGTTGATAACACTTAATCACCCTGTATATTAAAAGATTTGTATATTGTAAGATCTCTAAATTCTTATCTCCATTGTATCCCTCTGTTACCTGTAGCTATCAGTATTGTGGTGTCTTTATTTCTTGTTTGTTTTTTTTTTTGTTTCAACTTTATTCTGTTTTTACCTACAGCTTCTCATCCAGATAAAGGAACAGATTATTGATATGCTGGAATCTGACAATGATGGGTAATGTGAAAACTTTTTAAAATTATATATATATATATATATATATATATAATACATGACCAATGTACCCTCAATTGCTACAAAATTATGTGTAGCTACAATATAGTAAGCTTTTGAGCAAGCACTTTTTATTAGCACTGCAGCTAATGAAATAAAATGTGTGTTTCTCCATCAGTGGGAAGATTTGAGATGACTTAGGGAGAGGTTTGCTGGGATCTGGCCTCATTGTCATTGATAAACCCCTTACAGACCACTCATTGGTTCACATTTCACAAGGACTCAGACTTTCCCCTAGGCGAAGAATTGTGTGCCAAAGCTTGCAGGCTATAGTACTAGTACATAAGTTTATAAAATCTAATTTTTCTCAAAATGGGATTTTTTCCATTTCAGAATAAGAACTCATGCTATAAAGTTTATGGAGATGCTTGTTCTTGTCCAGTCACTTAAAACTCAGGTATGCTTTGTTATTTCTTTGAAAAGGCAAAAGAAAATGTATTAAGTGTAACCATGTATGTTATTAATGCAGGATTCTGAGTCACTGAAGAAAGGTGAGGCTGACATCTCATTGGAGATAGTTCCCAGAAATCATCCTCTAATCAAGATGACAGAACTAAGAGAGGAGGGAGGATCAACACTGGAGTCTCTACTCACCCTCATTGCATCTCACACCATCTCCAGGTTTGCTTTGGATGGAGTTCTTTAAGTTTAGAAGTAAACAGTTTTGATTTGCGATTCTAAATGAAAGCGCACTTTGCAATGTAACACCTATATTGAATTGTCAGCTTGGGGCAGGGCTATTTGTTGTTGTTGTTGTCATCACCATCATTAAGCATTGTTAACCTGTCAAGGCTGATGGAGTTGTTGTTGATGCAAGCTTTTATTCCTTTGTTAACTGCAAAGTTATAGTACTGGAGCTACTACCCCATGAAGCTACATGTACAGTTAAACTAATCAAGATTGATGTTTGAAGTGTGGGTGCAACTGATTTTTGAATCAATTAACTTGCAATGAGCTCCAGAGCATCATGATCTCCCCATTTAAGACAAGGTCGCACAGGGAGTTGCAGCATGTCTGGGACAACCTTGCTTGGGAGCAACATGACTACTAACGATTCAAACAAAGTTGTAAATGTTAACTGTATGCTTTACCTGTAAACCTAGCATATTAACCCTTTAACTCCCAAGATCTGATTGTTAATTCTCTCGGCTAGTTGCTTCACATTTCCCTCGAAATAAGTGACAAGAATTTGATGTTAGATCAAGATAGCAACTTCTATCTACTGAAGTCGAGTTTTCTCATTATCTGCTTGCTGGATAATGTGTAGATGTTATAGGAAGAAGTTACATGTTAATCACTTCAATCTGTATCTATCACCAGTGTTAACCTCATGGCTTCCCTTGGATCCCTGTCAGCAATTGCTCGTCAAAGGCCTGCTTTTATGTCCATTGTTGTTCAGGCATTTGAGTCCCTCCATGGTAAGAAATTACTTTTCATGTCTTTTGTGGTCTTTGTACTTTTTCATGTTACAAAGAGAGTTTATATGTATTATTCACCAGCCAGGAGGTCTGTATTGGGAAAAAATAAAAGAAATTACATAGGGGAGGTTGAAGATAACACAGCATCAAAAATGTTAATGCAATTTCATTCAAAAATAAGAATTACTTTGTCACATCTAATCTTGGATGCTTTATACAATGTAAATTTCATGTAGATATTTTTTAAATCTTTCTCAACAGCTAATCTTCCAACCTCTCTGAGCAAATCGCAAGTCAGCAGTGTTAGGAAAAATCTGAAGGTATTTTTTGTTAAAAAATGAAATTTCATTTTACAATTTAGAACTTAGCAATTCATCTGTTCCATTCTAACGGTAACAGATACACTGATGTACTTATTACTGTCAGAAAGATGAAGGAATTAATTGAGCCTAAATCTTCTGCCAGACTTAAACTGTGGTTTTAGACATCAACAGAACTCAAGCTTTGGCTGTTTGAAGTAAATATTAAATGTTTTTCCACTGAGGGCAGTCAGCCTTCTTCACACCATTCACAAAAATCAGTTTTCTTTCTGAAGAATTACTGATCAGTATGTCAAGCTATTAAATTATGCTTCAAATTTACAATTGCTATCAGGGTGAGTTGATTAATGACAAAAATAAGTGTGAACCTTTACTGTTAAGACTGCTCTAACAAGAAAAAGACCTTACTGTTTTGCTTTAAAGTCCCCTTTCCTATTCATTGCTGCACACAAACTAAGCAAGTCTTATTTAGGGAGAAGGTACTACATGTATTTGTCTGGCATTCTTAAAACAGTTATATACATGTATGTTGCTGATCTTTGAAATGATGTGAAATTTAAATAGTGCTGTGGTACTTTTTCATTGGAAGAGCTAATTGCTAATTGTAATTTTTTTACATCATTTTAGCTTCATCTGATGAGTTTGATGAAACATCCATCTTCAAGTAAGTGAAATTAAATCTCAGACGTTTTTTCTCCCATTTTTTTTTTTTTCGGGGCATTAGTTGTAGCCCCAGAGTCAACTTGCTCGTTCTTCCACTTTATCCAACTCTGTTAATGCAAATGGTACATTTTCTTGTAAAGATGGAAAGTGAGAAATCATACTTGTAAACTAATTTGATTGAACCTGGGGATGAAAATTATGCAAAGAAATTATCATAAGTGGCTTGATGAAATGTATTTTTAAGGAATGATTTGTTTTCAAATTCCTCTATGGGAAAGAAGAACCCTTTAAAATTGGTCTAGCTTTCAATATGTGGCCTCTTAACACAGTTTGTGGTTTTGAGGCTTGAGTTTCTTCATGCTTCTTTTCTGTTATTACTAAAATTGCAGTTTATCTGTGAGTATCTTTATTTGCTTGATTTTTATCTGCAGGTCAATTGAAATTTATTTCATTGTAAGTTGTTAAGCAGATGTTGTTATTGTTTTTCAGTTGAGTTCCTTCCCCAGATTACCACACTTTTAACAGATCTTGGGGCTTCTCAGGCTGAGGTCAGTATCGTTGACGGAAACCTAGTGCATAAAAGTTTAAAAAAAAAGTGTTATAGCTGTAAATTATAAAGGCTCTGACACAGCCGGTCGCTACACTTCTTTTGGATGTAGGGTTACGTGACATCTTTCAGAACCTAAACGCGAGAGACTTAAGATTATGTGGCTACAATTGTTTCTTTGATATCTTGAGGACTCGCCCCATTGCAAGTTCGCCCCCTCCTGGATGACTTCGCCCAAGCATGGGATGAAACCTCTATAAACCATTTTTTTGTACTTTCAATCAGTGAATTTTGATTTGATGTTTTCTTTGATTTCTGTAGCTTCAAAGGAATATGCCAAAAGCCAGTGCCGAGAAAAGAAGGTTAGTCAGTTTATGCATAGATCATGTCGCTTCAAGACTGAGTTCATAATATAAGTTGGCCACCGTTTTGAAGTCTAAAAACCACATGATATTAATCTTTGTTGTATTTTGATTTGACCTTCGAGGTCTGAACCAGAAGCGGCGACTTCAAAGAAGCCGAAGCTTGATGTAAGTAAAATTCTGAAAAAAACACAGAAACAAAAACAATAACGAACCAAACACACACGTTGAGAAGCTCGTGACAAGACCTACAAATATTTTTCTCAACTTTGTCAGACTGAAGAGATAGAGACGATGTCTGCATCAGATGCGGTAGACATGACAGCACAGGATATTATCCCCAGACTCAACAAAGACACTGTAACAGACCTTGTACTGGTCAGCATGTTGGCTCTTCCTGACAGCATTCCTTCCCACTTCCACGACACCTACACCCCCATCGCCGCCGCAGGTGGACAGGCGCAGGTTGTTCATCTTGCTCGACTGTTAGCCACCCAGATGAATGCTGCCAAGATTGGAAAAGGCTATGAGAGAATGGAAGCTTTGCGAAAGGTATGTGTCTGGTTAAATATTGTCTGAGATCTAAAAGTTAGAAAGGAGAAACTGGAGGTGGAAGGGGGGAGGGGGGCAGGGGTTGTTTGGTTATCGTAAAAAGGGAGATTCCAGATTTATTAAGATTCCAAAATGTTTACAAAATCGCTGAATTGAATGAAGATTCGTCAAACTCGCCAACCTGAAAGTTATGTGAACGGTACATTAAACCCTTTTATAGAGTGGGTAATCAAAAAACGACAGAAAACGGCAGCTGCGGTTGTTAGAGAAACGGCTGACGACGTGGAAGCCAGACGTTGGGAAAAACTTGCCGTATTTTCCCATCTATACTGCCGAAGATCTCATTAGGGAAAATTTCTCTACTTGTTACTTTGATTGCGCCGTAAACATTCGTCGTTGTATCGTATCAACAGGCTCAGAATGACCCACGAATGAAGGAGGAGAGTATGTCGATCCCCGTGATTGGTGGACCAGGCTTTAACGCGCCTGGCGCTGAGGACGATCCTATGGTAAGTGATGGAAAGATTCATGTACTTTTTCAGTTGATGACAGAGTCTTACTTGGAACAATTAGTCCGCAATGTTCCACAAAGGCCCAGTTGTAACGTTCGAACAAACGGGGCCAGGAGTCGAATCGCGTTAGCCCTTCGTCAGAGCGAAGGGCTAACGCTCGAAACGTCAGCTTTAAAACTCTTTACGGTGGCCAATTTACATTATCAGCTCAGTTGATGGTACAAAATTACCCTGATTATTACTTCGAATGGTTTTCAACGAGCTGGAGACGAGTTACGCGGGGAAAGGGGGAAGGGACTAATACCTGGATCCTTTTGTTTGCTAGTCTTAATTGTAACTCGTTTATATATAGTATCATTTTTTTTCTCAGTTTATGTTTGGTGTACCTAAACCCGAGGAGGATTCAGCTTTGCAAAGGATGCTAGGTAAACGATGAATTAAGCTTCATTGTTAGAAGTTCAGTTATATGAACACCAGAACCCTTTCCTGTCACACCTGGTTTCAATTTGAACTAAACGCAGCCTAGATGAGGCTTAAGAAAAGTTTCTTAACTTTGTTTGTGTCCCATGCGGACAACTTCTGATGAAACTTATATCACGTGGGATCTACGTAATCCGCCTACACTATCAAATTAAACACAGCGGTCAAACGTAGGGCATGCGCGAGGGGATCAATTTTGACCTTCCGCGCGCTGATTTTCCGCGCAAAAGTTTAAAGGGAAATGTAAGAAACAGCTGCCGCCTCGCAGAATAAGCGAGAGGAATTTAGGATGGTAAATCATCGTATCATTTTCATCATAGGTGGACACCTTGAGGCAACTAAAGAAAAGAGACCGATGGATATAAAAAAGGTATCGGAGAAGGCTGTTTTCCCTTGCTTGATATGAATGAAACTTCATGTTTGATAACAGTATTAACCCTTTGAACCCTAAGAGAGACCAGCATCTAATTTCTCCCAACAAAATCCCTCATGAAACACACATTAAGGTCATGAGAATAAAGGAAATGATCACCAACTATTCAAGCTTTTGATTGTTTAACAAATTCTCCTTGTCAGCACCTGAGGAAATTTTATAGAGAACAGTATGGAGAATTTGCATCCTGATGTTAGGGTGTGAAGGGATAATGCAGTGATGAAGCAGAATGCACGAGTAACAGTTTTATAAAAAAATAACTACTTATTTAAATAAAGGTTATGTAAATTATTATATAGGTTAGAAACGGAAGAGAGTTGCAAATATCCTTACACCCTCAGAAATTGATGTATTTGTTTATCAGATTTAATGTTAGTGCTTTTTTCTTTCTTAGACGCCATTTGTACCTAAAGAACCTGCTGTCCCTCAGCTGGTAGGATCATTTTTCGTTAATTAGTGAAAACTTTTTTGTGAGTCTGAGATCCCATGTGTTCGTTTATTCACCATGAAACGATTTAACGGAGGGTGAAAGGGATCTATCAATTGGTGCGCTGGACTTTGGACTGAGAGGTCTGGGGTAGAGCCAGGGGCGGGCTCAGTGTCTGATGTTGTTGGACCAGGCCCTTCACTCGGCAGTGCTCTACTGCTAACTGCCTGGGAAGTTTGTAAAATGTTAAGGGAAGGTGGGGATCGCGATTCTCCTAGTCTCTTTATGTCTATACCGAGGTTGTTCTTCTCAATGAAATATCACTGCAAGTTTTGGAAAAAACGAGAGAAAGGAAAGTTTTTTAATCACCTTTTTTCGTTTGCTTGAATGTTTGTTATATAATATGCAGCGCATGAGGAAGATCAAGCCATTCAAGTTATCTGATGTGACAAGGGAATTGAATCCGGACGAACGACAAAGTATGATGACGAACGCTGTCAGTAGAATACTTGCCTCCGAAGGTGAGAATCTGAGAAGGTCTGGTGAGACAAAGTGACAGAGTATCTAAAGCTTTCCTTCTCGTAAATATCTTACAGTTGTCTTTTATCCGTGTTTTTTTTTTTTTTCGTTATTTGTTTGTTTGTTCGTCGGTTGGTTTGTCTCTTTTTTTGTGTCGTTGCTATTTGATATAACGAAGATTGACTAACGGGTGGAAATAAAAGCAACAATAGCAAAAGTTGAAGAAATACTGAAATAATGAATTTTCTCCGTAACCAACCGGAAGTCGGTCAGTATGTTGTCACAAGTGTGTTTTTTTTTTTTTTGTTTGTTTTTTTTTTTTTACATGTGGACCTTTTACATGGTCTTGCTGGCCGATGAGTTCTCCTCAGCTCTTTGGAAGAGCATCAGAACGAGAAATTAAAAGTGATAGCGGTTGCAATTCTCTTTGATGCTCTCATCTTCTACGCTCGTCTTAAGTATTTGACCGCGGTTTTCTTCTTGAAATCAAAGCAGATGTATCTTTAACTCTTCTTTTACTTGTTTCTTCGTAGGTAGTGCTGCAAGGAGCGGAGTTACACAGGTAGATTTTTATACGAGATTTATTTACAAATTTTGTTCCTCTTCTTCTATCCAAGCCTGTACAAATCTTATTTTATGCTGTAAAACAACTTCCCTGTGACGTTTTTGTGTCCATGTTGGCAGTCGGTGAGATGATAAAGGTATTCTTAATGACCCTTTTTTCGGCAGGAACGCATCAATCTCATTGTCGGACTTGTTACACAATTGGGAGGGGATCTTAAAATGGGTAAGTCCTCTTTTTTTTCCTATCCTTTTCTTTTGTTTTCCTTCAGAGGAATTGGCTGAAACTTCAATCGCACAGAAAAAATGCTAAGTTTTATTTGTTGTCTAGTTGTTGGTGCCTATCTTGTGCGACCGCTGGAGGTTGGCACAACTTTTTAATTACCAGCCGTTGTGCGGGAAATTAGGACCGCATCCGAGGGACCCACGTGTTTCTAAAGCAATCACACAATCATCCTGAACTGAAACCAAATGCAGTACCTGTTTTCCCTTTAAATTCAATCGAAAATTTTATCGTGGATCGTAAAAGAAAACAGCAACAACATTGTTTAACTTGTTCTTATGACCTGTGAAAGTTTTTGGATTACCTTGTCATTTCTTAAATTTTAAGCGTTCTTTTGTGCTTTTGATGGATGATTTCAAATTGTGTTACTTTCTATCACTGCAGTTCTCCAAGAATTTATTCAGGAGGAGATCCGATCCCGATATGATCTGTTGATGTCCTGGCTATATCAAGAATACGCATCATCAGAAATTGAAGGAATAGATGAGGATTCTGACCTGCGCCAATCGTACAGTGATTGTCTTCTAAATCTTATGGACGGACTTTACGCTAAACTGGATCCTAAGGATAAGTAAGTAATTCCTCTTCATTCCCAATGAAACTCCAATTTTTTTTTGTTAAGGGGGGGGGAAGGTATCACATGGACTCAGAGGAAACGGCGGTGGGTCAGTCGTTGGTTACAGAGCATAAAGGGGTCGGGACTATAGAAAATTGACTGCCAATTAGGGAGGATGTAAAATACTACAGAGCCTTACGGGGGATCAGGTGAATTTTTGTTGTGATACAACCAAAATCCTACGACCGCTTCTTCCCCCCACCCCCCCCCCTCCAGATGGTAAATCATGACTTGTTATGGAAACTGCAGAGCTGTCAGGCTGGAGGAACCTTTTTTTTTTCCTCGCTCGCTCCGCTTTCGCTCCCGCCTACATACTAGAATCATGTGTTAGTGTTCCTTTTGTTTTACGTGTATTTTAATAATTAAGACGACCCTTGTTTCTCTAACAGATTGTTTACTCGTATTCTCCTTGACATCCCGGCATTAACGGACGGAGCAGTAATGGCTGTGAGAATGTATTGTGAAGACTTGGTGAGTAAAGACTGCATCAGAAGTCACGAACTTTGCACCAGTTAGTCACATGATCGATGATCTTGAAAATTGTGTCAAAGAGCAACTATCTTTTTAAATTGAGTGTGCGTAAAGAACTCGTTTGAAAAAATACCAACACAAACGACTCGCCCAGCGACCAGGAGTATTCATTCCTCTTTCGCGGTGTGGAATGGATATTTATAAGCCCCCTTCCCCTCCGTATTTCGTCATGCTTCATTGACAGTTTGCTGATTTACGCTTTTTTATTCCTCGGGTTTTGATATCAGATGTCAACATTTCTTTTTCTCCCAACTCGGCTTTCACAGGTCGTCTTGTAAGTAAGTCTAATACTAGTCTCCTTCTCAGCCGTCCTTAGGGATGTCACGCAACGTATTTCCCAGAAGAAGGAAAAGGAATGCAGTACGGATGTGACCAGCCGCCACTTTTGGGGGAAGCGTTGCGTGACAAACCAAGGAAGAACTGCGATGGCATCAGTTATTCCGAAACTTATTTACTTCTGTTTTTTTTTTTTACCTTTATGAGCCAGTGCATCAGAATTCATCACGTAAGTTAGAGTGTAAGTGTTTGCTGCTCTTTCTTTGTAGGATCGGCTTCAAGTTGGATTCTCTACTCTAAGAGAACTAATCTTAAAACGTCCAGCCACCCAAGAGCAGTTGTTACAGACTCTGCTAGAGCTGACCACGAACGAGAAGGAGCAAGTTAGGGTGCAGGCCATTCACTCGGCCAAGAAACTCCACACGCGGCCTGAACTCGCCGAATCTATTGAGGTAAGTGTTGCTCTTTCAGAATGATTATCTCGCAATTGAAATAGAGCGACCTAGATTTTCCCCTTACCGTTGTTCACATGATGTTTATTCTGCTTACTTGGTGTGAATTTCAGAAATATGCGCTCACTTCCTTGCAACAATTGTTAGCCGACCATCCACCCGCTCCGGAAGGACTGGACCCAGATATAGGTACAGGCCTCATTAAGCATCTTAGCTCGTTTGTTTTTTCTTTGCTTTTTTTCCTTTCTCCTTTGGTGGCACGAAAAAATAACATCTTACCAATTGCGTCAAGATCATATTTACAGAAACATTATATATATATATATATATATATATATATATATTTTTTTTTTTGTGGGGGGGGGGGAGGGGAATAACGAACGCTGTGCAAAGCGAGGGTGAAAATTATCCAACACTCAATTCGGAAACAACACGCAACTTGTATAACGGTTTGTTGGGGGGGACTGTATTTTTCTTTGAGAGGTTGTGACAAGAAACACGTTGGAAGTTACAGAGGATTAACTCTTTCCTTAAATCGTTTTTGTCTTTGTCTGTCTTGCAGAAGTAGCTCCTGGCGAGTGGACAGATGACACGATCAAACTTTGTCTTTATCTATACCTCGCGTTGCTTCCACAAAACCACAAGTTGTTTCACGAGTAAGTCAGTAACTTACATACAACAGTAATATAAGTAGATACCTTGGAGGAGAGTTGTAACTTAACAAGGGCCCTCTGGGGTTCTTGGAGTTGCTTAACTTGGGTGGGCTTTTCATGATTAGGGGTGTGGTAGAGAGTACGGAAACTGTTATTTGTTGGTCGAAATGTTTGCCGAGGTCACACAAGAAAAAAAAAAATGTTTAAAAATCATTCAGTTTAACCTAAAGCTTATTTCTTTCGTTCTTGTTATCATTGTATGTATAAATTTAGAAAGAAAAGCACTGTACTGTAATTCTACTCAGTTCGTGATCTCATTTTCAAAGCTTTACAGGGTATCCCTTTTCTGTATTCTACTGAACCTCAGTTATTGCTGACTCTCACATGATGAAAAACAGTAGGAGATAGAGAATTGTTTTACTGCGGCGCTAGCCCCTAGGAATGTCAACCAGTTTCAAGGCGAAGGACTGTGTGTGCAATTCCAAGAAAGCACATAACCTTCCTTTTAAAATATTTTTGCCAAGCGTCAATCTGGCGCAGTGAAACCTCCGTTTATCTATTTTAAGGCGATTGATTGATAGTTTTCGCTTTGCCGTTTGCATTAGTGACTCAGACCTGATCAGAATTCCCGTGTTATAACTCTCGAAAGCTTCCACTCGGTACGCCTGGTAATGAGGTCAGCAGTCGGTAAGGAGAAGGGCTGGAAACTAGATGAAGATCATCGAGCCAGACGACTGTATCATTCCTAAAACCTTAACTTACTTGTTTCTACTTTTCTTGTCCATCCTAGGTTGGCCAAAGTGTACACAGCTTCCTCGCAAATCATAAAAAGAATCATTCTCAGACACCTTGAACATCCTGTAAGTATCCTGAGTCTGTTTAAACGTAATTTGGCGCACGGAAGAGGCGTAGCTATTACAAAGGACTTTCCTGTGGTTTTCTTAGTACTGTTCCTTGGTCATTACGGAGTTGTTTCGTTAAATCCCGACCCCGTTATAACCAACCCTGAGCACGCTATGCAGTCCGTCAGATGGGTCTTATTTATATTTTTTCAACCGAAATCTTTCAGGTTCGTGCAATTGGCATGGCTTCTCCTGAGCTCTTGCAGTTGGTGGAGAACTGTCCTACAGGCGCTGAAACTCTTATTGCCAGAATCTTGAACATTATTACCGACAAAGGTAGTGTGATGATTTATTTTTTTGAGATCAAACTCCATTTTAACCTGTAGTATGATAAAGTCGAGAGAGGAAATTAGTGAAATAGTGTCGCAGAAATGTACGAAATATTTTATTGCCACTGATAGGAAATTGACTTGAAAACGTTGAGTGCAGAAATAGGCAAGCGAAGTCGAATCAATATCAGTATCTGGGCAACTGCCCACCTACTCCTCCCCTAACCCAACATTAACCCTAGCTTGTTATCAATTGACTGTTGTTGAGTTAGGGGAGGGGTAGGTGGGCAGTTGCCCAGATACTGATATTGATCCGCGAAGCCATTGTTTTTACGCAAAGGAGAGAACTAAAACAAACTTTTTACAACGATGAAGGCGTCTTTCTTTACTTCTTAAGAAAGTGATCACTTTTTGCCTCTCCTCAGTTGATCTGTGAACTTTAGTCTCTAAACGTTCCTGAGAATTAAAGTAATGAAGTACACAGGTTGGAGTCGAAACTCTACCAACGAGTGCTCATTTTGGCTTTTTCTTTGGCTTCTAGCGGTGCCCACGGATGAACTGGTGAAGCGAGTCAAAGAGCTGTACCACAAGCGTGTGTCTGATGTGCGATTCCTGATTCCTGTACTTACTGGACTGAAAAAACAAGAGATTATCGCTGTGCTGCCCAAACTGATCAAACAGTCGCCCAGCGTGGTCAAAGAAGTGTTTAACAGGCTGCTAGGATGCTTCCATAGTGAGTACAGTGTTTCGCTGGAATAGATGAAAACACAATTCGGCCTGAGTGACCGCGCGGTATCAGAAGTTGTTACGTATCAGTTACCTCTTCATTATTTCACCACTATTGCCGCATCCCACAAGTGTACCGTATTTGTATCTCTGCATACTTTTATGTGGGATTTCCAAAGCCATCACGTTTGCCATTCCTAATCAGTGAGGTCGAAGCAACTTTCAATGGCTCTTAACATGGCGTTTCTCTTCTTCCTCGTTCATTTTTCGGATTGTAAAGAACTTAATTGACCAACATTTTCTCTTTCATGCAAAATCTGTGGCTAACTTATTGGTATCATGTCATCGAGAAGAATTGCCTGGTTGCAATTTGTTTCATGTTTTGATGTGTTACCTCACTAGAGAAGACGCCGCACAGGTCTTTATCAATTTTTTTTTCACCCTGGGATTGCGTAGTCAGGATCGTTCAGCTCCCAGCGCTTTTTCACGGGTTTAATCTACCGACTTAGCGTCACATATGTGTCGAGTTTAACATGTGGTTTTCGACCTTTCCAGAAGGATATTTCTCTAAGTTCTCACATTTTCCATCTTCCTGAAAAACTAATACATCAAATTCCAATTCGTCCTCAAATTAGTGGATGAAAAAGCATTGTGGATATGTGCCACAGCTTGATTTACTATGGTTTTTCTTTGTTGTGTACTTTGTGTTCACAACGCAGCGGACTCCTCAATTTTTGCACTTCAAACTTCGCATGATCACTGCATCCCGTTACGTTCATGCCTTTATTGTACTATTTCCTTTTGTTTACTTTTTTGAAGTAGCTGAAAAGTGGCTATGTGAAGAATGTCGGGGAAAAAAGGAAAACTGGAAGGATTTGCTGGTTTAATAAGATGACTAACAATGTGTTTTTCCTTATTAGGTGATTCTAAAGTATCCGCCACTAGCCCCCTCAGTCCGTCCGAGCTCCTGGTTGCTCTTCATCAGATCGAGGCTAAAAGTGACATGAAGTCTGTTATGAAAGGTAACCCAGTATTCAAAGAGGAAGATTTCGATTAGATTTTAACAATTGTTCCCTAAGGAAGGAACTATTAAGGGATAAATTTTCAATTGATTTTGGACACTGATGAAAGATTTAAGATTTTGGACACTAGTGGCCGACTTTCGATTTTTTGTTTTCGCTCCAGGACCCCGAAATTGAAACTCGGCCCCTAGTGTCCAAAATCGAAGATCGCCCACGAGGGTCCAAAGTAGAAAATCGGCCATTGGGGCCCAAAATCGGAAATCGGCCATTAGTATCCAAGTGGGCCTCTAGTGATCGAAAATCGGCCACTAGGGTCCAAAATTGAAAACCGGTACCAGTGTCCAAAATTGAAAATCGGCCACTAGGGTTCAAATTCATCTTTCGATTTTGGATTCAAGAGGCCAATTTACAATTTTCGATTTTATATACTAGTGACTGATGACAAGTTTATAAAAATACGTGTTTCATTCCTCCCCCAGCCAGCAGCTTGTGTTTCGCGGAGAAGACCATTTACACTCAAGAGGTGCTAGCAGTGGTTCTGCATCAGTTGATGGAAATGAATCCTCTCCCTACCCTATTTATGAGAACGGTAAATTTCTTTTTAACAATTTAAATTCTTCTCCCTCCCTAAAGTTTTTTCTTTCTCTCCTCAGTATGAGATAGGCTCATTTAAGACTGACTGCAATTCCATTTTACGCCGCCAGAACACAATTGTGAATATTCAGCAGCAGATTGTGTCACCCACACATTTGTATCACAGACCGTTCTCTTGTTTTGTGAAAAGTGCACCTGTAATAAGAGACAATAACATTTTTGTAGCGTTATCGAGTTGCTTACATTGTATCTTCACCCTGTAGGTGATCCAGTCTCTCAGTATTTGTCCTCGGTTGGTCGGTTTTGTCATGAATATTCTCGCAAAACTTATCACAAAACAGGTGAGTAAACTAAGGCCACAATGTTTTCTTTATCACCGAAAAGTGGACTGACTTTAGACTGAAGCGACAGACTTAATAGATAATAGCGTCCGATTTTGGACACTAGTGTCCGATTTTAGACACCTGTGTCTGACTGTAGACATTAGTGTCCGAATATAGACACTTTTGACTGATTTTAGACCCTAGAGTCCGATTTTGGACACCAGTGTCCGATTTTACACACAAGTGTCTTATCTTGGACGCTAGTGTCCGAAATCGGGCGCTAGGGTGCGGTTTTTAGACTCAATGTCAGATTTTAGACTCTAGTGTTCAATTTTCAGTTCTTTATTGACCCTCCACTGATTCTTTTGTTCAAGGTGTGGAAACAGCCAAAAGTGTGGCAGGGATTTGTGAAGTGTTGTCAGGTAATTTTTCAAGCTCTCAAAATTAGAACTTTGACTCCTAATTGAGTGTAATTTATGGGCCTCATGGTCCTATAGAGGCAGAGCAACTGCGCACATACCCCTCCCCTAAGCCAACATTAACCCTAACTTGTTATTAGTGGCCTTTTTTTTGGTTAGAAGGGGGGTAGGTACGCAGCTGTTCAGATACTGACGTTGATCCAATTTATACATCGTCTTTTCAGACGCACTAGTAGTAAACGCAGTTCTGTACACAACTGAAGTGGTCAATCTATATATATCTAAAAAAAGACCCAAGGTTTGACTGGTGCCGATATTCCTTTATTAACGATATTTATTCCGCAGTTCAAATTTCTTAATTTTCATTTACTGCCTTTGCACATTTGAACTAGAAAAATAATAGTCACGCTAACATTTAATACTTCTTTTTCTTGTCAGATGACCAAGCCTCAGTCCTTCTCGGTCCTTCTTCAACTCCCTCCCCGACAGTTAGAGAGTGTATTTGAGGTAAGACATCTTGAAAGTTCTCGGTCGTAAAGATAAATTCCGTCTACTCTTTGCCATACCTTAGGTGAATTGTGAGTATGCGAATGTGCGGCAATACGTCATCTAGGAAGTGCAATTTCCTAATCCTTCTCCCTCGGCAGCCACCCACCTTGTCCCCCTCCCCCTCCCCCTCTCGCTCCCCACCAATCCCTCCGTTGTGTGTTTACGTGGAAATTTTTGACTCGTGAACAAACATACGTAAGATACAGATGATAGTATCGTGATGAGTTACTTTATTCATGAAAAATTTGAAGAGAATTATGAAGAAGGTAATTTTCTCAGTATTTTTTCAGGTTCCTTGACGCACAAGTTTTGTTATAATTTTCTAATCACATTATTTTTCAGATTTGCCCAGAGCTCAAAGAAAATCTGGTTTTGCATGTTCAGTCGTTCACTCCTCACCAGGTAAGCTCGGTTGATCATTGGTGATCAGTGCTTCATATCAAAACAGCCACAGCTCAGCTTTCACGTAATAACAGAGCTCCAAGGCTGTAAGATCGAAACATCCGCGTAGAGTCAAGCTGTATCCCTTAATTACCATAGAAGGCTTATATATAGAGAGCAACCTACATATTACAGAAATTTGTTCAGTTGGCTTCAAATTTGTGTTCATTCAAGCATGATACAGGTAACAGATTGAAAGAAGGTAAAGCGTTTTCAAGGTCGCGCCTTCACAATTGTGGACAAATATACGCTAAAATTTGTTACCTTAAATTTTCAAAAGACCATTGAATGGTCGGAACTTGTTTCTCCTTCATCGCCTTTTTTTGTGGTTGCACCTCGTCTGGGTCCCATAAGAAAACGAGAAACAAAAACACCTGACGAGAAAAAGGGACGATATAAGTGCACCGTATAAATCCTGTCAGAGTTGAGTTCTTTCCGTGCGAGTTCTGTTCACTTCAGTGAGAGCGCTCTTCAGAGTAACTTAGAAACTTCAATTCAAAATAAGTGTAAACATGAACTATATGCAGATTAATGGAAACTGAAGACAACTACACAACGTAGAAAAAAGTAATTAAGCATTGTAGGAAAATAACTGTTTGAGCAGCGAGTTTATTTTTCCTTACAGCGAGCTCACATACCAAGATCCCTGTTGCAAATCTTAGAAAAGGACGGAAAAAAAGACGAAAAGAAACCGAAACCAGAAAAACCAGATAAGGAACAAATCGACCCTGAGGAAGAGGAGGAGGAAGAGGAAGAGGAAGACTCAACGAAGGGCGACAAATCTCCGAAGCGGACACGATCACACATCAGGGAGGCGCTGAAAGATAAACGGAAATCACGAAGATCGCGCTCTCGCTCCAGGTCACCGCGGAAGAAACGGGAGAAAAGTGCTGGCGAAGAAAGTGCAAGCGAAGGGGAAATCAACTAAATGAATGAGGATGGATACTTCACTTTTTATAACATGATGTGTATAGAATGGTGGTAGAGTTACACCATCTGATAAATTTTTAAGACTCAACTTCGTTCCCAGACCATCTCTCCTCCCCACTCGCTGGAGCAAGACACCCGAGGAACAGAGCTGGAAAAGGGCCTGCAGTTTAACAAGGACATTATTGTCAGGGTTGATTACTCATGTGGTCTTACGGGGGAAAACACTGAAAGAGACGAATTCTCGGAGCAAGTCACAGTTTCTGTATCTTAGAAAATATTTCCTAAACTGTTGAAATTTGTTATTTCCAAATGGTGTCACTCTTTCCTAATCTTCCTGGTCCCCCCTGATGTACCATTGCCCTGTTTGTATTGTTCTTTCTGCGTTTAGTTCTTTCTTTCGTCTTTGTACATAAGACTTCGTCCAGAGAAAGAAACTGTGGAATAAAAAAGAAAACGTGAAGACGAGTGGGTCGTGCTAAACTCAGAGTGTAGTAGAGCTCTGCTCCCTGATCACCAACTTGCGGACTCAGTATTTCTGTGGTTGTTTTCCCCTGACAGGTGGGAGCCCTTAAATATATAAGGTAACATTATCTGGCGTAATCAGGTGAAGGCGGTATAATATTTTTTTTTTTTTTTTTTTCCCAAATATCAAAATTGATGCTATCTAGAGCAATAGCAGTTACGTTGATAAATCCAATTTTATGATAGCAATCTTTTCAGTGTGTGGGAATATAAGCTTAAACTCTCTCTTCACTTTAAGATTTCAATCTATCAATAACCCGCTTGTGAAATCCATAGATACATACATTTCCGAAACGTGTAAAACAATTTAATTTTGAAAATTAGCCTCTAAATAGGTATTTACGAAGAGCCATATCAGAAATACCACGATTGCTGAAGTGAATCTAAGATCTCAACGTCGTACGTGCGCATCGTTTTAAAAAAAATTGTTTGATGTTCTGTAAATTTACAAGAAATTCATTAAAGCTGAGATTAAGGATTTAAGTAGGAAATCCTGTCATCTCCAACCAATCGGGAAACGTTGGTAGAGATTGTAAACAGTTATCAGACATGATTTGTGTGATTAGTTGTCAAAATATGTGCTTTAATTTTGTAAGAATCATTTGCTATGTAGAACTGGTCAAAGGCAACGTTCATAGAAAATTGTGAAATATTTTTTCAACTGAGAATTTATTCAACGTTAAAAAAAGAAGTTAAAGAAGAGGCTATATGAGAGCCCTTTGTACAGGTGCAAAACTAAGCCTTTTATGTAAATAAAGTAGTCTTTAATTAATCGGTTTTATTGACGGTTGTGATCGAATCTAGATGCCATAATTTTGTGAACGTGCTTTGAGGTTCACAGCGTTAAGAAACTCGCGCGAGAATGGCCACGACAAATCTAACAATCGGAAGGAAACAAACTGGGTCTTTCGAAGAACTTCGCTGCTCGTCCATTCTCACTAGTGGAATACACCAGCATCTGATTTGGATTTCAGCTGTTAATACCCTTCTTTCTATCGTTTCTGTTATTGGTAACGTTCTGATCCTAGCCGCTCTCCGCAGGGAATCTTCACTTCACCTACCATCAAAACTTTTTCTCCGTTGTCTGGCGATAAGTGATTTAAGCGTCGGTCTTCTTGCAGAACCTCTCAACATTGTCTACTGGATGTCACTAGTCTATGAAAACTGGGATCTTTGCCAGTTCGCGTCGGCTGCTTCATTTATAGTGGGCTATGTATTAGCTTCGGTTTCCTTGTTTACACTGACTGCGATAAGCGTAGATAGAGTTCTTGCTCTGGTACTGAGGTTAAGGTACAGATATGTTGTAACTATACAACGAACATATGTGGCCGTCGGTTTCTTTTGGGGATTATCCACCGCTGCAGCAGTATCATCCCTTCGTACGCACCTAATTACCTTCTGGTTTAGCCGTATAGGAATATCAGTTTGTCTAACAACGTCAATTATTGCCTACACGAAGATTTTCGTCACTCTTCTTCGTCGTCGAGTTCAAGTTCGTGCTGAAATTGAACAACCTGTGCCTAGCGATCAAAGTGTGCTTAACATTGCACGATACAGAAAGGCAGTGTACTCTGCGCTCTGGATACAGTTGGCGCTTCTTGCTTGTTATCTTCCCTACAGTATAGTAACAGCTCTGCTCAGTTATAGAAGGCCGTCTCAGTTGTTTTTTCTCGCTTGGGTGATGGCAGTAAGCTTAGTTTACGCTAATTCATCGTTAAATCCAATTCTTTATTGCTGGAAGATTAGTGAAGTGAGGCAAGCAGTGAAGGAGACGATCAGAAATTCTCTCTGTTGGAGATATTCATAGAGTTGAAATATTCTCACATTAAAAGCGCGCAAATGCAGAGGAATACCCAAACATTTGTGTAGAAATAGCATGAATACGAAATAGCCTGTGAAAGTTGTTCTCTGTCCTGCCGACCTCGTTTTCCTGCTCAGAAAAAAATTTCTTCTGGGAGTGTTTTATACCAATTAAACGGATAAAAGTGTTATTGAGGAGATCCATTAAGCTTTATTTACTTGACAAAAAGCTTTTAATCAATCAAACAGGTGATTTTTACTGATATAACCTACCTCATAGGAAGTGAATAATTCTTTTTAGTATGCATCGCACAGGTTAGTAGTATTTTTCGCGCGCGCTTATTGGCTGTTTCGGAAGCGATTAGCAAGCACTATTTACTTCGAGCAGCTCAAGAGGCAATTTAAACTATTTTCTTTCGGTTTCTGTGTGGTATATTCTTAAGCAATTATTCACCTCCACCTTGGTAAATTATTGTTAACTATAGAAGATGAGAGTGACGATGTCATAGACAATTTCATGGTGACAATTTTTGTAGAATATCATGAAAATCGTTATATTTATTGAGAGGGACTTCAATAAAGAGAATTCAGTTAATCCACAGCTAATTTTAGATATGTACTCTTTATTTTAAAGGAAAAGTTGTTCAACATTTCTACGTTTCACGAATGAACTGCCTCTATACGATGTATGTATTGATTGTGCATCATAAACTCTTTATGTTTAATTTGATAATTAGTGTCAGAATACAAACTGACCACATACAAAGCTCTGCATATTCACCCCTAAGGCCACTTTCAATAAATAAACCCCTTCAACCGGCGGAGAGATTGTCCAAAAAATGATTACTTGATCAAGATTTTTGAGAAATTTCAAATATGAAGTACCTTTTTTTTTCGCTTTGGCTGGCTTTTTTATTTTCGACAGAATAACAGGGACAAATATCCATGCAGACGGGGGTTATTGCGTGATTACTGTCTGGTGATTTTGCAGCACGTGACGTAAAGTAGCCCAAAAAGTCACGTGGAAATTAATGGGGTGTATTATAACTCATATTATCTTTGTAAATGATCCTCTCAATCACGAAGTGTATGCATGATGACCTGATGACATCAACGAGATGGCTATGTCTGATAAATCCGGAAAAAAAGCTATGCTATTCATTGCTTCTAAAACGAAAAGTCTCCCTGTAATACAGGAGGCAAACACATGAAGTACTTAAAAGAAAGCTTCACTCAAGACTCTAAGAAATAATGCAATGATAGCGGGATTGAGGGAGTCACTTCACAGAAAGTACTGTACTGGGGAGGAAATAAAACAGCCACTTAAATCTTGTCGTACATATTGATGACCTATCCAGACACAAAGTGCCCCTCTGAAGAAGATTATGTGTAGAACATCAGCTGTATTTTAACGCGTTGAGCAAGCTGACAAGGCTCTATGGATCATGCGATCAACACGTCAGAAGAGAAAATCAAACCAGTATCAAACTAACAAACGCGAGCAGCTCGCGTGATTTTGGATACAATTATAGAGAAAAAAGAGAAATACCACTTAGACGTCTTGATTTAATGCCAATGCAGATTTCAAATGACTTGTGTGATAACAAGAGAAAATAGTATCCCATTATTTTCTCTCTCGGTACATTTTGAGCTTAAGTGAAGTAGAGAAAAAACTCTTTCTTCTTGTCACCGGAGCGAATCTCAGACCTTCGGATTCCGCGCTCTGATGCTTTACCACTGAGCCACAGAGTATCTAGCGACTAAGCTAGACTATTACAAGGTTTCTTGTGGATATCTGGTTGCGTCCGTGGTATGCATCGATACACTTACGATCTCTTATTTACCAAGAATATGCCGTTTGGAAACTTTTCACCCGTTTTTTCGTATTAAAAAAAAAACAATTCAAAAAAGTACAATGCAGTATCAAACCGAATGAAGCGTACGTGATGATAATTGTGAAAATGTCGCTTATTTATTTTAACGTCAAATATTTTTCAAAGGAAACGAAACACTCGACAACAACAACTCAACTCAACTGGGTATTTATACAATAGATTCAGAGGCCAAAATTGCTAAGTTAGGTTTAGGCACAGTGTTTTCTGATACGCACTGATAATAGTATTCTGACCTGACATGATTGATTCATTGATTTTGACAAATCATGCTTCTAAACCGTAGAACTACATAGAGAAACACTCTTTTAAAACCGGCAAAGAAAACTAAAGTAATCGTAAGAAAATACATTTTATGATGCGGAGACGTCGATAAGCATGTTTTTTAAGTAACTTTCGCTTACAGCCGTAATTACATCGAACAACGTGCTATACAATATGGCTAGTAAACAAACTTCAGAGAAAAAATTTAAAAACCAGACAAAATATCTTGCGCTTACAATAGAGTCGCGACTCGGCAATCATATAACAAAGCTACCGGGGTCTTTGACTATATGAAGTGAGATAATTAAAAACATCGAACAAAAGTTGACGTGAGTCGCGTTTTTTAGGATAGCCTTTTTAAAACATAGTTGAGTCATGGTTGAATTAATGCTATAGCTTGCACTCAGCAACGTGAGGGTTTTTGCAAGCATCAATGTGAGGGTTTTTGCCTATGCGCTCATTGAGTTCTAAGTTAGTTTCCGGTTTGGTCCTTAAATTCCAATTTACAAGGAATCTCCTGCAAAAATTCCAATTTACGAGGAATCTCCTGCAATCAATGTCCAGACCAACAAAAACGTTGTCTATTTCCCTCTTTGACACTAAACTGTGAATGAATTCACAACAGTCTGAACACTTTTAGGAGATAATTCATTGGATGTTAAACGAGGGTAATATCTGCAAATAAGAAACTCAGGAAATGCGAACATGACATGTATTCTTACATACGAAAGAAAAGTCTGTGAGAAAAACAAAATAAAATTAGACTAAATATGTTTTCTAAAACTAGACATCAATACGTACCGCTCGTTTAAAACTTGCTTCTTCTTACCGGAGCAAACAGAAGGGAAAAAAACGCAGTTCAGAAAGATCTGATACCTGTCTTGTATGACAACATGCGTCCAGTCTGTGAACTTTTTTTTATTTCACGCTTTACTCCAAGACAGGATGAAGTGTCGGAGGAACCAGAAGGACATGATGGTTTCATTCAAGTTGATCACGTGGGTGTAGTAATGCATTCGAATGCCAGCGGCGCAGGATACATATTAGGGGACTTAAGCACCTGACGTTTTCAACGGGGCGACGGCAACCGGAAGTCAAATTTACTTCCGATCCACGTTTCCCGCCGACAGAGTCCACCGTCGCGACTCTGCGCCGACTTTGTTTTGCTTATTTTGACGTCGCCTGTAAAACGTGAGTTTCACTTTTATGATTTTCGTGCTTTTATATCTTTTTGCCTGCGATGTTTTGCACTTAGTGACACGTTAAATATTATTCTGTCGTTTTGGCGCTTGTACGAGCGATTGTCAACTATTACAGGTCTTTTTTTTTAACTTTTTAGGCTCTAGCGTGAAGATGGCTACCAAAAAACAACCTGTAGTGGAATGGACAGATGACCATGACATTCTTCTGTTGCGTGAAATGATTGCCAGCGAATTGTTTCAGTTCAAGAAAGGCAGTCCAGACCGTGGCAAAATCTGGGAGTCAATCCAGGAAAGATTGAACAAGCTCGATAATCCAAAATTTATGATAAAGGAGAAGAGGGGAGTCAGAGACCGATGGAATCTGCTTCAGGCCAAGTTTAAACGCACGCAACGAGAAGAGCTACAAGCCAGTGGCATTGATTGTGAGTTATCTGAGAAAGATGCCCTAATAGAAGAGTTATGTGAGAAAGAAGATAGCTTTTCCGCCAAAGACAAGAAAAAGTCAGATGATAAAGAGGCAGCTGAAGAAATCAGAAAGAAAGCCATGGAACGCATGGCCTCGAAAAAAAAAATCAAACGAATCTGCTGGAGGCAGCGCCAAAAAGAGCCGAAGAAGCGGAGGTGATGCGGTTGAGCTCAAAGTGAGTATTCCATTCGCCAACAGGAGCTAGAGCTGCAAAGAAAGGAGCAGGAAGTAAGGGCCAGACAACAAGAGCTACAGACTGAACTGCTACGGAAGCAAACACAGCAGCAAGTGCAGATTTCACAGGCATTGATGACCATGATGCAAAATCTGGTTAAGAAGTAAGATCTTAGGTTAGATCATTCAAGAAAGAACACTTTAATCGTCCTTTTTAAATTTTGTAGTTTAACAGTTTATACACGTTATTTATAGTTGCTTGTGCTAGGGACAAAGCATTGTGTTTACGAAAATGGGCTGCCTGCCTCTACTGAGTTTAGTGTTGATTGACAATACAGCTCTTTATATTATGTGCTGTAAAAACTTAAAACAAACTGTTCATTGCTTGACAGTCAGCCTTTGTGTTTTGCTGTGTTACGTTTACTCATTTGTCGTAAGTTTTAAGTATGATTTTGGTATTTTTATTATAAGCCACTGTCCTTTAAATCAGGAAACACTACTGATGTGTATGTTTACTTTCACTGAAATAAATTCATTCAATATATTTGATTTATGTGAAGTAGTCCTGTAAGGAAGGAGGGTTTAGCCCAAAAAACTCTGAGGTGCTGTTTCCATATAAGCAGGTTATTGCATTGTTAAGAATAGCACAGACTAGGTACATTTTTCCAACACTGCTCATGCCAATTTTTAAATTCTTTTTGAAGTCCAACAATTTAAATCATTAATAATATCGCCAAAGAGCCACTCGACTGTCACTCTGACAGAACTCATCTCTGCATTATATCCTTCCATCACTGGGGTTAGTATACCATGACGAAATGGTGCCTGTAGGTGCACACGTAAAGGGTAAGCAGGGTCGCCAAACACACACATGGGCTCTCCAGTTGGGGAAAATGCATTTTGCTCAAGCTCATGAAGAAGGTTGGAGTCCACCAGCATACTAGCATCATGCTTTTTACCCTCTGCAGGCAAGAACAATAATAACAATTATCATAACCATAAGTTAATG